TACATTAATCATTTGGGAAAAAAGAGATAATTATAATAAGAATTATAAAATATTACTTATATTGAAATTGAAGAAATTCTGGATTATTACATCAAAAATAAAAGTTTATAATTTGGTATTTGGAACAAGGAAAATATTATTCAATTATTAGAAGTATTTAATTTGTGGATGTTATTAGTACAATGATTAAAATTTGAAATCTTAATTTTTAGATCATTTTTCAACTGTTTAATTTATTGAATACATTGAATAAACAGCATTATTAATTTTAATAGATCAAGAATGTTATTATTTTATGAGATAGAAGATCATAATAGGAGAATTCTAAGATTTCACTTAGGCATGAATTCATAATCCGTCCGTTATTAATAGTAATCTTTATTTGATGAGAAAAATATGTTAAAAGCAACAACACACCACCTTCATTACGTTATTATGATAATAAAATCAAATAAAGTAAATATAAATAAGAAATTCTTGAATAAAATATGATTATATAAAATAATTAACAAAAAAGATATCAGGGGATACATATTGAATAGTAAAGAAAATAAAAAAATGAATAATAGATTATTTAATTGATGAAGCTAAAAATACAAATTGAAAAATGGTTTGATTCAAGCTCTAAGTGCTCAAGTAAAGTCAGATTAGAATAGAATAAATAAAACATCTAATGATACAAAAAGGACTTTTACAAGATAAAGTTTTTATTTTTTTTATTATACTAAATAGAAAGAAATGTTAGCTACTACAAGTAAGATATCTCAGTCTCAATTTTAAACAAGAAAAGAGCATCATGACTTGCAATAATTTTTGAATGATTTAGATGGTAAATTGAAAATTTCAAAAAAAATAATCATTACTATTTTTTTTTTTTGATTTTTTTTGTCAATTCTCCAAAAGTTTTTTACTATTATTATTTAGGTTACCTTTTATTTTCACATTCTGTACATTGACAATGTGATGTACATTTTTTTCCTCTAATGAAACATTCACAATAACCTTTGACACATTTTGTCTTCTTACATTTACAACCCCATACTTATTTAGTATCGAAAGAATCTAAATCATGATGTGATGCTCTTTATTCTTTTAATTTAATTTATTCAACCGCTTTTAGGACTTCATCTTCATGTTTTCCATCATTAAAACAATCGTTACATTTACATTCATTTGTACATGGTCTTCGATTATGAAAGCAAGAACAATATAATTATAAACAATGTGTTTTAGCACAATGACAAGGTTTGAGATCATCTTCTTCTGTTGGTGAATCATCGACATTATAATTTGTTTTATTAACTTTTCTACGAGTTTATATGTAAGGGACTTCTTCTTTTTCAACTTAATTGATTTCAACTTACTTGATTTCAATCTAATTAGATTCCATCTTTTCTTTATTCCTTTTTATAGGAGATGGACTTATCAATTCAATTGACATTTATTTTCTTATTTAATGTTAAGGGTCATCTATTGACATTTATGAGCTATTCAAATCATTTGACTTAATACAAGTATTATAATAGTTAAGGGACAGGCTGAATTTCTAATTATTCCATAGAAGGTAAAGAACTATTCGTATGTGGCTGCAATAATTATAGTTTATCATCTTCACTCTTTTAGATTCCATCTATTTGATTCTCTTCATTTATTTTCAAATCAGATGGAAATTAAAATAAAGCATTATTATTGTTAGTTTAACCCTAATTGCTCATCCTTAATTTTAATTAAAGTAATAAGTCTTATATCATTCATTTTTTACATGAATATTGTTATATAATTTGTATATTAATCTAATCCAACTTATTTTATACACAATCAATATTCTTAACATTAAAGATTATTTTTATCACACATCTAATAATTATTATATATACGTTAATTTAATACATGAATTTAGAAGAAACTCTCCTTATTCTTTTTGAAAGAACTTTAGAATCTAATAAAGATGATCATTTACAAACCATTTTAGCAAGTCAAGCTAAAATTATATAATAAAAAAAAGAAAATGTCAATCCTTCTTAAATATAGACATCAGTAATTTAGAAAAAACTTTAGGCGATAGAAAAGAATTTTATTAGCTAAGATGCTTTTAAAAAGAGAAGAAGGTCTAAATATGATCATCGTTCTAATACAGGATCATAATAAGATAATGAAGAAGTTCCAACTATCATTCTTGATTAAGATAATCAAGAAATAAATAATAATCAAAATAATTTATAATAGCTAAAAACAGAAAATTCAAAGTTAGAAAATCAAATTACTTAATTAGAATATCAACAAAGAGAAAAATACCTAAAAAATTGTAGTGAAATTGAATAAATTAACAGAGAAAAATAATTATTATTTGAAAATGATAAGAAACTCAACGAAAAGTAAAGAAAATTAAATTAACGATAATTATTACTCTAATAAAAATAGATCAATCTATAAAAATAAGAATAAAATTATTAAATCTAATAACATAATATAGATGAATGCTAATAGGAATAATCTAATTATGTAAATTTATATCTAATTCAATAGGAAAATCAATTAAATAATAGAAGAGATGAAATGGAAAAACTTCAAATCAAATTGAATAGCTATGTATCTCAATTACTAAGTTTACAAAGAAGCAAAAATAAAGTCTAGTGTTAGTTAAATGTATAAATTGATGCAGTTGAATAATTGGCTTAATTTATTTTAAAGGAACGTTCTAAATTACAATAAGAATAGCAATACATAAGATAATTCAAGGAAAGAGTTTTAGAAGAAAAGAAACAAGTACTTTAAATGAAAGAGTAGATTTCATGAACTATAATATTTTGCTATAAACAAATTAATAAATCAAATTGTTGTTTATATTATTACGAACAATATTCTTGTAAGTATAAAGAATTCCATATTTTCATATATTCATTTATTGTCCTTAGCTATCTCCTTAACCTACATAACTTATAATATTCGTATATATTGCATGTGACATATCTGAAATGATANTAATTTTAATTAAAGTAATAAGTCTTATATCATTCATTTTTTACATGAATATTGTTATATAATTTGTATATTAATCTAATCCAACTTATTTTATACACAATCAATATTCTTAACATTAAAGATTATTTTTATCACACATCTAATAATTATTATATATACGTTAATTTAATACATGAATTTAGAAGAAACTCTCCTTATTCTTTTTGAAAGAACTTTAGAATCTAATAAAGATGATCATTTACAAACCATTTTAGCAAGTCAAGCTAAAATTATATAATAAAAAAAAGAAAATGTCAATCCTTCTTAAATATAGACATCAGTAATTTAGAAAAAACTTTAGGCGATAGAAAAGAATTTTATTAGCTAAGATGCTTTTAAAAAGAGAAGAAGGTCTAAATATGATCATCGTTCTAATACAGGATCATAATAAGATAATGAAGAAGTTCCAACTATCATTCTTGATTAAGATAATCAAGAAATAAATAATAATCAAAATAATTTATAATAGCTAAAAACAGAAAATTCAAAGTTAGAAAATCAAATTACTTAATTAGAATATCAACAAAGAGAAAAATACCTAAAAAATTGTAGTGAAATTGAATAAATTAACAGAGAAAAATAATTATTATTTGAAAATGATAAGAAACTCAACGAAAAGTAAAGAAAATTAAATTAACGATAATTATTACTCTAATAAAAATAGATCAATCTATAAAAATAAGAATAAAATTATTAAATCTAATAACATAATATAGATGAATGCTAATAGGAATAATCTAATTATGTAAATTTATATCTAATTCAATAGGAAAATCAATTAAATAATAGAAGAGATGAAATGGAAAAACTTCAAATCAAATTGAATAGCTATGTATCTCAATTACTAAGTTTACAAAGAAGCAAAAATAAAGTCTAGTGTTAGTTAAATGTATAAATTGATGCAGTTGAATAATTGGCTTAATTTATTTTAAAGGAACGTTCTAAATTACAATAAGAATAGCAATACATAAGATAATTCAAGGAAAGAGTTTTAGAAGAAAAGAAACAAGTACTTTAAATGAAAGAGTAGATTTCATGAACTATAATATTTTGCTATAAACAAATTAATAAATCAAATTGTTGTTTATATTATTACGAACAATATTCTTGTAAGTATAAAGAATTCCATATTTTCATATATTCATTTATTGTCCTTAGCTATCTCCTTAACCTACATAACTTATAATATTCGTATATATTGCATGTGACATATCTGAAATGATAGTAAATTTAACAGATATTTAAGATCAAAATTTGAATTGAAAGATTTTTATTAAATTGACATCAATAGCTGGAGCTAAACCTCCTAGTAGAATAAGAAAATAAGCTAATAAATGTAAATAACTGGATAAATAAGGTCTATTGGATAAATAATTATAGTATTAAAAAGAGGAATCCAAATATTGAAGAAATCTAATAAAATTATTTTTAAAATACTTATAAAAAAGGGAATATAACTGTACTAGATGAATTATCAAATGCTCTGAAAATGGTAATATGAAAATATTCCACTTATAATCAAAAGTGGCATTGATTAAATGGATCCAAAAACTGATTAATTTTTTACTAATTCTAAAGACTGATGTCCAATAAATTCAATATTAATAAAGTATCAAAATATCTAAAATAGTTGTCTAAATATTTACTATAATATAAGTAGTTAATACACATATTAACATTATTTATAAATGAGTGAGATTAGAACTTTTTGATATTTATTATTTTTTTAAGATAAATCTGCCCCTTAAGATTCTAAAATAACATCAAAAGTTGTGTCTGCATAAGCTCCAACAAAATGGGGATGAATGACTACTAAAATCCAAAACATTAATTTAGGTAAATAAATTATTATATAATCATTTTTATTATTTTGATTTTCTTATTGCATCTAAAACTGCTTCTTTATCCCCAGAATCAACATTTTATAATAGCTGAAATAAACGTTTTTTTCTCTCTTAGATTTCTACTTCATTATGTTAAATTCCTAACTCTTCTTCTAAATCAGGTACATCATTAGGATCAACTCCATCTGATTCTTCATCTTCTACTTATTATTATTAATCTTCCTCTTCTTCTTCTTCTTCATCTTCTTTCAATTCTTTTTCTTTCTCCTCCAATTTTGTCTTAAATTCAGATAAAAATTTATTGCATTTTCCAATTAATGGATTGTTAGGATCTATCTTTAATACTATTATGTATATTCAATAGTATCTTACTTTTTTGAATTATAACATGTGCCTCCTAATATTTACTATTCTTCATACAACTTAAAAATGTCATTTTTAATTCAAGTATTTCATGATTTCTTTAATCCATTTTTATATTTTAAAGAATTTGAAAGATGTTTTAATAAAATATGTAAACAAGGGATACTTAATATTGTTATTATAGTAATTTCAACTTATTTGAAAACACCTCTTAATTAATAAAAAAAGAAAAGTTTATTAAGGCACTCCTTTAAACATTAGGTGAAGAATGGAGAGTTTATGCAGGATATGCAATTTCAATTGAATTAGAAGGTTCTATTAATTATTTAGCTTGGTAATTTTGTTTTGAGAATCTATTATTTACTTGGTTAGAGAATGAAGATTGTTAATATGATGAATTTTATGATAAAGCTATTTTGAGAATATAACCATATAAAATCGGTATCAAATACTGTAATCAAAATAGAAAATGTTTACTTTCGACCAGTTTTTGATGGTTTCTATTATTCTGCTTAATAATTGTGGTCCAAAATGAAATTAAGTAGGCCTCCATCATAAGAATCCTTAAAATAAGTTGACTAAATCTAATAAGAAGAATTTAGACCAATTTAAAATATCTTGAAACCATTAGTTCTAGTTAGTGAGAAGATTATAAACTATTTTAAGAAAGAGGATTAAGTTCAATAATAAGAATAGACTCAATATAATCAACCTTCTTGGAAATAAATCTCGAAACTCACTGAAGAATCTCTACCTATAGATTTAGTTGAAAATGCTTATATATACGTAATACAATTTATGGAAAACTCTTATAAAAATTGTTAAGTTGCAAAATCTTTCATTGTTAATATTATTGAATTAAATCAAGATGTACTTAGTAAATTTCAAATATAAAATTAATCCGTGAAAGTTAGAATTATGTAACCTTCTAATTTAATGTATAATAATCTATTATCAATATGGATCTTAGCAAATGCTGGTGTATAACCATAATATTTTGATTTAATCGGTAGAGCTAAATCATTATTGGGAGTTAATTGGAAAGATAATTTCTAATATCCTGTAGAAATATTCTTTAAATTGATCACAAAATTGTATGGAAACATTTTATTAAATCCATAAATTAAAGCTGAAGAACAATTAAATCAATTATTAAAAAGTTTAAAAGTTTAATTAGCCATATTATGGGATTAAGAAATTGTTCAATAAACAATTTAAAATTCATAATGAGCTATTATGTTTATATATCAAATATATTTATATATATATATATAAACAATAGAAGTTTTCTATTTGAAATGTTTATTATTACATTTGTATTAAGAGAGTTAATAAAACATCTGCAATCAAAATTAGAATTACTGAATAATTAAATTAAATATTATTAAAATATATGATCAGAGCTACGCCTTCATATTCTTTAGATAGTGGTGTTTAACTAAAATTTTAGTAAAAACAAATTTGTAAACCCATTTTTTATATCAAATCACTCGTTAAAAAAAGAAAAATAAGACCTAAAAGTTAAGAAGCTACTGATTCAGATTAATAAAATATAAGTCTTGTTCAAGGTCCTTCAAGAAGGAAAAGCTGTTATTGTAATTAATGTGGAAGCATGGGAAAGAAATAATTATAATTCATGGACCTAAAATTATCATAATAAACAAAATTGATTAACAGAAGAGCATAATGTAATATTGATAGAAGATGCACTCTAAATATTTAAAGCATAAGTACACTGAATTAAGTATTTAAAGATCGCAGCGTATTTTATCGCAGGAATACTTAAAAAAATTCAGAAAAAGTGGACAATTTAAAATCTCCTACTTATGATTTAGGTGATTCCAAAAGTCCTGGTTGGTTTATTAGACAAATGGCTATGCGAAAATCAATTATAGATGTTTAGAAATTGATAGAGAATTCTCATTCAAAAAATTCTTATCAGTAATCTAATAAAAAACTTATAGTTGATGACACAATAAATCCTAAAAGCCAATAAACTATCCATGTGCCTACTAGTATACGTACTTTATATCAAAAGTGTTACATAGATAGTCCTGGCGTTAGAATAAGAACAGTGGCAGGATTTGATTGTGAAAACAATCTAACATCACCAAAATAAAGGGATATTCCTAAATTATCTCCTTATCTTAGTTTCAGATAAATTAATTTCAATTTATTAGTACCATTAAAATTGAAAAGTAATTCTTCAACCAGGAAAACCAATAAAAAAATATTTTTCCACTCTAAAGTCTAAAATTGATTATAATTTCTAACTTTGAAATTTTATTGTATTTATCTGCCAAATAATGTTCAGCAATTTTATTGAGTATTTATCCTTATTACAAATTAAAAAAATATTAATGAGCGAATTCAATCCACTTAAAAAAAGATCTGGAAGTGTTTAATGTATTGAACCTGATCTTTTATTTAATCTCAATCTTCATAATAGAAGAAAAAGCTGTACATGTACACTATGTGGAAAAGATAGCGAATTTTAAATAAGATTTCATGATGTGTAGATTTTAGAGTTTTCATAGACATCTAATGAATTAGATTCATAATAAGAAACTAAAAAACTTGAATAACTAGATTACAGACTAAAAACTTTATAAGAAGATTTTGAGAAATTTGAATTAGTGTCCAAAAAAAGAAGAAAAAGTTGTTATTGTTCTGATTGTGGTAGTTTAACATAGTATGAATTGAGAAATTAAAATATTCCACTTTTAAAACTAGCCTCTATAAATAAATGTAAAAATCAAAGAAAAGTCCATTTATTAGTATCGAACATTAACATGTGTAATAATTATTTTATAATTTAGAGTCTAAAAGTCAATTTTTTAGAAATTATAAATAATATAATCATGCATTAATGTATTAATTATCTCATTAAACATCTAAAACAACAACTAGATTGCTTAAATAATCAAAACTAAAATTATCTAATTTGGAATCAAAACTTTCTTTGACTCCAAAGTTGATAAATTCTCCTATGAGTGATTAATCATCACCATAATAGCATAAGATCATTTCATTTGATTATCCTATGAATGGTGCTTATTTAAATCCTTATTTGGGATCTCCTAGAAAGTTTTTATCCCCTCCTCGAAATTTTATTCCAAAATTGCCTCCAATAAATAATAAAACTAAAGATTAATAATTACATTTTAGAAAATCTTTAATACGTAAACAGGATTGAGTTTTTATTTGATTTTTTTTTTCCTTTGTTAATGGTTATTTAATTAAATGAAAAATATTTCTTTTTCATAAGACTTTTAAGCTCTTGCCTTAATTGATACATATAATGTAGTCTTAAATGAAAGAAAAAGAAATCGTTAATGTACCAATTTCTAAATTGCATAAAAAAAATTAGTAGAGTAGAGTGTCAAAATAAGAAGAAAAAGTTGTCATTGTCAATTATGTGGTAATATGAGTGTATTTTAATTTGACATGATGAATGTTCCATTTTAAAAAAAGGAAAAATAAGTAGAAAAAGAAGAACCTTAAATATAAGAGTTCCCTGGTTAACCAATTTGTAACTATTGTAATAATAATAATAGAGAGAAGAAGTATTTTTTATCGTTTATAATCATTAAAAACGTAAGAAATGGATAAAGTGAGACTTTCTTTACAGATTCATGGATGTGATTAGAAATACTTAAGATAAAATACATTGTAGTAATTAATAGCTGAAAGCAATGAGAGACCAAGAAAAGGAAGTATAAATAGTAGTGGAATTGTCAATACATCAACATCTGATAATCATTCGGTAAAATCGCTTAATATTAATACATGTTCTGAATATAGTTCAACACTCATATAATCACCTCTCAATGCAGTTACTACTAGTAGACATAAAATAATAGACTCAAAAAAATTGAAAATGATGAGTTCATATTTTTCTTAGTCAGCACGTAGTCTAAAAACAACTCAATACTAATAAATTAGTAAATCAAAAGTTTTAATATTACCTAAAATAACATAGAAAAAAAAAAAATTTGATTTTTTATCATGAATATCTTTTTATATAAAAAAAAGATTTAAAAAATAACTTTTTATATATATATATATATATAAAATAATATTCCTATTTAATATTCACTGAACTTATCTATAAAGGGAAGTAATAATTTTAAGAGGTTCTCCATTATAAAATTAAAAATTAAATTCTTCTTTAAAAAAGGTTTAAGTGTATGTTCTATTCCTTCCTTAAAAAATAAAATTATTATAAAATGAATTTGACTTTAAATGAATTAATTAGAAAGATAAAAGCTAAAGAATTCAAAAATATAACAATTGCAGCAGGTGCAGGAATAAGTGTAGCTGCTGGACTTAGTGATTATAGAAGTAAGGATACAGGTTTATATGATTAATTAAAGAAATTCAATTTAAGCAATCCAGAATAGGTTTATGACATTAATGTTTTTAGAAAGAATCCTTAATTATATTATTCAGTTAGCAAATAGTTTGGTACTCATAATTTAGAATTAAAACCAACTGCAGCTCATTAATTCATTTATCATTTAGATAGAAATGATTAATTATTAAATTGTTTCACATAAAATATTGATGGTCTAGAATTAGTTGCAGGTGTTAGAGAATCAAAAGTTATTTAAGTTCATGGACATAGAAGAACTGCTAGTTGTATAGATTGTAAGAAAATTTATAGTGTTAAAACTTTTTATTAAAATGTTGACAAAAATGAGATTATGAAATGTACTGATTGTAATGGTTTAATTAAACCTGATGTGGTATTTTTTGGATAACCATTACCATAATATTACTTTTAAAAATTACCTGAAATTTCATAAAGTGATTTAGTTATAGTTATGGGAACTAGTCTTTAAGTTTAACCATTTTCTAATATGATTTATAAGATCAATGAAAATGTTCCCTTAGTTTTGATTAACAAAGATACAAACTTAAGAAGATTAGAACCTATTAATAATAAATTGTTATTAAAAGGTGATGTTTAGGATATTATATCCTCAATTATGAAACAATTATGATATTAATGGTTCAATTATTTTTCTGCTATAAATATTATCTATATCTCGGAGCCATAAGGAATTAGGTATAGGACTTTATTATTATTCAAATTTTAAGTGAGACAACTTCTAAATTATTTATTATTAATTCTCTCCATAGATTATCATACTTCTTTGTATTTAATCTTTTTCTAAATGGACAAAAAATACTACTAATGTTTTACATTTTTCTGTATTCATAAATTGACTGAATTCTTCAATTAATTAGTTTTCATTATATTTTGTCATTAAGTCTTGTAATTTGATAAAAATCACACAATATCCAACAGTATAAAACTTTTTATAGTCTTTAAGTAATTATTGTGTTAAAGATAGTTTCAGATTCATTTTCAGATCATATTTCAAGTCTGTAAGATGTTAATATTCTTTTTAAGAATCAAATTAAGGATAATAGGAATGACATAATTCAAAAAGTTATTTATCTTTATCTACCCATCTAATTTAATATTGATTTTATTAAAAATTGAATGTGTCTACTAAAATGGTTTTCATTATCAATTATGCAATTTCTGCTATTTCTTATTTGCATTTATAATTCTTTTCTAATTCCATATGTTCTGCGACCAAGGTTACAGCAGAACCTACTTTTTCTATCTTTTTAAATTGTGTAAAATTCTATCCTTTATCTTCATGATGGTCAATACAGCCAATTTAATTATTTGTATATTTAATATCATTATGATCATAAAGTATCAAATCATATTGATTTAAATCCACATCATTAATAAATATCAAATCATCAATATCAAATAATTGTGCAGTTTCAAAATGAGATCTAAATGATTATCTATTATAATTAATGATAGGTGCTGTTGGAATATTAAATTAAGTCATATGATATGCTAAAAGTATAGATCCAACACATGAATCCATATCAGCTGTTGGATTGCCTAACACTAATTATTTTACATTCTAAAGCAATTTGATATTCCTCAAAAATTGATTAATCATTATAAAATATATATAATAATAATATATATATATATATACAAATTTAGAAATGTCAAATATTGAAGAATTCATAGATTTAATTAGTTATGCTCCTATAGATGTAAGGAGAGCCTTTAGTAAAGTTAGAGAGTTAGCAAATTTAGAAAAAAAATATGAAGAAACTTTGGAATCCACATAAAAACTAGTTTTTCAATTGAAATCTGTAGAGTCTTCAGCAGAAAAGGAAAAATTTATCTTATAATTGAAAGAATAAATACAAAGAAATCATTTATCATTGCTGGCTTTACATAGAGAAAGAATTGCAGCTTTAGAAATAATTTAATAAAATTATTAAAAATATATAGCAACTCTTGATATTGAAGGAGAAAAGTTTTTGGAAGAATTAAAACAATTACCAAGAGAATAAGAAGATATTTCTCGTAAATCTTAAAGAGATGTTAAACCTGAACCACCTGTAATGATACCAAAAAATGATAAAATAAAAAAAACTAAAAGACCATTATAAGATGAATAAGTAGAAGATGCTCAATAACATACATATTGTGTTTGTTAATAACCTAGTTATGGTACTATGGTTGCTTGTGATTCTAAAAATTGTTAAATAGAATGGTTTCATTTATCATGTGTTGGATTAGCTGATGTTCCAGATGAAAAAACTAAATGGTTTTGTCCACATTGTAGAATGACCAGATGAAATATTGTTTTTTAATTAAACAATTAAATACAGCAAGAAATCAAATTTTAAATTCTCGTTTACCTATTGAATAAGATCTTTAATTTCTTCCATTTTTTGCTGTCTGATTTATTGGATTCATCAATATTCTTTCATTGTTCTATTTAACCTATTATTGTTTATAAAATTGTAATTTATTTATCATTATTTCTAAATAGTTTGAACCTTCACCTTAGAATAATTCTAGCCAATCTTTTTTAAAAGGGTCTTTATTTTTCTTTAAATCTTCTGATATTATTTCCTCAAATATATTTATCTTATCTCTCAAATCTTAATTTTCATTCTACATTTGATGGTTTAATTACTATAATAAAAAATTTTCATCTTTAATCTATTATAATTAATCTCTCAACTTTTTATTTTATCCCAAAAGATTATTAATTTAATTAATCTATTCCATTTAGATGCTATTCTATTATTATTAAATCTATTAATTTTATTTCAACGATCTGATAGTATTTTAAGCTATTTTTAATTATTATTCTAAATTTACTATTTATTGTTTCAATTCTCTAATCTATCTTTACTAATCATCTTATTATTATTCTGGTTGTAAAATAATTGTTCTAGCTTTTACTCCATATTATGCAGATTATTAACATTATTATAAATTTTCATCAGAAGGATTTAAACAAATTACCATTACAATATTTGATTTTCCATTTAAACTTTTTTTTAAAATACTTGTTAATTTTGATTATCTATAAGGTATTTATTAAACTTTATCTGCTAAATTTTAAATAACTTATCGTAAATAAAATAAAGACTTATTTATTTCAACACTTTCTTAAATTTGTTAGACTTTTGTTTAATTTAATCTTTCAGAACCAGCCAAATCTACAATATTAAATTCACATTATAAATCTGAGCTTTAACCATGAAATGTATAAATACAATGTGATCTACTTGAAAAGTCATTTAAAGAATGCGAATTAATTATTCGGTTTTTATTTGCTTTATTATATAATTTCGTTAATTCTTCTTAGGAACGACATATAAATTTTGTTAGGTTTTCTGGTACAAATTCATTATTCTTATATCTTAATTTCAGTTGCTATTTATAAAGCATATCCAATATTTTTTCATTATAAATTTGGAGAACAGAAAAGGAAATTTCAAATTTGCTTTCTATGATCTTAGGTAAAATCATAGGTATTAATTAATTAACTGTATAAGTTTTGCCTGAACCTGTTTATCCATAACAAAAAATCACTTAACTTATTCCATTTTTAAATTAATCAAGCAATTGTCCAATATTTAATCCATAATATAGTTCATCTTATTTTGTCTACTCATCTAAAATTACATCAAATTCATATTATTTATCAAGAATTCTTAATTAATTTTTATCAATTATTATTTTTGTTTCTCCTGGTTTCAATCTTGCTACTGTATAAACTTTCATTTTTAATTTTATAAAAATTATTAACATAATCATATTTCCTCTGTTAAAATTTGATTTAAAATCTCTTTCTAAGCTTCAATAGTGCTAAATTCATCAAATTTTTTATCATTCTAAAATTATGACAACACCTTAACTTCAAATGCAGATGCTTATTTAATTAATATTCATACTTCTTTCATTTATATTTCTTATTTTTAAAGTAAGCATATACAAATAATGAGTTAATGCTTGCAAATGTAAATATTTACACTGTAAAAGTTCTTCTGAATTCATGTTTGGTTCTTTATCATAAGTTTGAATAATTTTATCAACAGTATTTGTTAATAAATCTAAATGCTCTGTTTAATCATGAATTAATTATTCTTGATATTATTAAGGAGTCAAAAAAAACTGCTTTCCACAATTTGCTTCTGATAAAAATTCATGAAAGTCTTTCATCGTTTATTATACCTTTTAATAATTAGCTATTTACGCTTCTTCTTTTTTTACAATCTCTAATCCATCTTCTTATATCTTTTAAACCAATCCTAATGTAGATATATAATTATCAAGTTTCCTTGATAACTCTTTCTATCCTGCTAAAAGTTATTCTGATGTTTCAAGAACCTTAGTTGTATCTATACTAAAAATTGTTTAACCTAAAGGTTAAATCATCTATTGCCATTATTGTTATTAATAGATTTATTTAAAAGAACTTTTTTACTTTTCTAAATCCTACAATTTTTAAATTAATATGTTAAATTTATCTTTAAATGCATTCACATCATTTTGTTGAAATAAAATCATATTTTATTAAGATTGATAAGGATTTCCTTATATTTCTAAAGGTTTTTAATATTAAATTCCAAGCTAAAGAGAATTCTAACCAAATGTATTTTACTATTATTAATTAAAATAATTTGGAGTTGCATTTTAAGAAAGGCCAAATAAAATTGGCGCTATATTTGATTATCCCTATGGTTATACTTATCCATATGTCATTTAGTCTTAGTTCATACCATAAGAGCATTAATTTTGAGGATGGATTGACGGTTATTGTTATCCAAAAAGTAAAGGCATTTATTAAATAGTTGATGATTATAAACCCCCAAAAATATTGCTATGATTTGTTTATAATGAAGGTGGGGCTCCATATTAAAGTGAATTCTGCTAATTTTATTTACTAAACATAGTTCCGGTATTTAAGTTTGAAAACATAAATTGTATTTTAAGTTAAATTAAAAGTGAAGTTAATTCAAGTATTTAAATACATTGTATATTTGAAATTTAAACTCAATTAAAGTATATATATAAAAAACTGCATAAAAAAAAATCATATTTATAAAAATATATAAATTAAAATACTTGAAACAATAAATTATTTAGATTTAATTATTTCAATGTAATTCTGGTTCAATTTTGATATCAGATTCTTGAATTATTGAAGAATTTTATTATTAAGTAGTCTAATGTACATCTTTATCATCTGTTGGTATGTAACATTTTGATATTTTTATTTATTTTGAAGAAGGAGATTTAAATTTTTGAGGGCTTCTTCTAGGGCTTTTTCTTGGACTTCTTTTTGGACTAGTTTTAATAATGGCTTTCGATTAATTAAGTTTATAACGAGTTTTTTAAGGCTTTTTAATTTGATTATTATCTTGACTTAAATTCTTCTCAAATTTATTAGCTTTCTTTTTATGTGTATCACAGAAGATTTTGAATTGACTTTCTATTAATTTTCCTTAAAATATATTAATAATATATACCTGTTGAAGAACTTTTCATGAGACAAGTAAAATGAAATGCATTCGGACATACAGCACAACATAACGTAGCTCCAGTTCTACTACACAAAAAACATTTCTAAATTAAATTAAATGATATACAGTTTATTTTGATTTATCAATTTCTTCATCTATATTCTTTGGATTACATTATCCTTATTTATTAAAGAAAACTAAATTTTAACTCCATAATCCACACATTTCATGTAAATTATATTTTTCATTTTAGTTTCTATTAGAAGGAATCTATAATAGTGGACCTAAATTTAACTCATTAGCTTCTAAACCACAAAATAAACAATTTCCATTATCTATTTTTGGATATTCTAATTTCTAATATGAAAATTTTTGTAATCTTCCAAAACTAATAATTTATTCTTTATTTTCTTTGATTTATTTTTATTTAGAAGTTTGATTTCCTTGTAATAAATCTAATTGTGGAGCACTTTAAATTTATAATAAATTATTTTCTTTTTATTGAGTGATTTATTAAGGTTAGAGTAGCAATAAATTTGATAATGTTTCCTTTTATTAATTATTATGTTCATTAGATATTTAATTATGTTAAATAGAGTTAATAATGTTCTAATTTTTTTGCCCACCATTTTAAGCATTTTTAAAAATTGGAAAATATTTTGTTTCTTAAGAGTTGTTCTTTTAAGGTAATTTCTAATCTATTTATTTAATGATTTATTCTTGATCATTAACATCTTCAATAATAAAAGTTTGTGGGTTGGAGGGAATCATATCCCTAAAATCTCTTAATAATCTATCTATATCCTTTTGAGCTTTATTGAAGAATTCAAGTATTTTAAGTTATTATAATTATTGTTTATCTATTTGTTTCATACTATTTGATTCGTCTAAGTTAACAATAATTTAAAATTTTCGCTCCATCTTTTCTAATTGCTTTCGTTTAAGATAGTTTATAAACTTCTATATTGTTGCTTTGGTTAAAGATAGTAATTAATCAGAATCAGATAAAGCTTATTCAATATCTTCTGCTGCTTATTCTAGGTATAAATTCATAATTAAAGAATGATTTTAATATAACGATCAAACAATTTAAAGGAATTTTATGAATAATTTAAAAAAAAAAGAATATTTTTTTATTAAAAATTATTTTAATTAAAAGTCAATTCTTTTTTAACAAATGGCCTAAATAATTAAACAATTAAACTCAAACATCATAATCTGATAAGAGTGAGAGATTATTATAAAATTCTTCAATCTTTCTCTTCTACAACTATTTTTACTTATACTTCATAAATTTTTCAAATTTAAAAATATTATGCTTAATATTTTACATCTTCAAATATGCAGCATGTTATTAAAATTTAGTGAATAAAATATTTGCAATTGATTTGAAGGACTTTAGAATTTAAATATTAAAATTAATCAATAATTATAAATATCTTGGATAAATGTTCTTTATTTTTTATACTTATCTTAAAAAATGATCTATCCCTTAAAAAAATCTCATTTACAAGAGTATTATTAACCCTTACAAAATAAAATGAAAGTAAAAAAATTTTTAAATTATTTAGTCAAGTATGGTTGATTTTAACTTTTATTATAGTCAAAATATTCACTTCTTTTATTGTTGATAGGATAAATGATCTGACTTATTTTCAACAATATATTCGACGGAAGAAATTAGCTTTCTTTATATAATTGAAATAATTCTTAATTTAATGGAGATCTTCTCCTATAATTGAATATATCTGCAAAAATTGCATCTTTTTTTCTTTTATTTAAGATTAATCTTGCGCATATGAAATATGATAGTCTTAGCTGTTGCATATTTTATAAAAAGTTTCTAAGCAGCCTAATTTATTCTTAATCCAGTATAATACTTATTTAATTTTAAACCCTTCCTTAAATACAAGTTAGAAGAGTTATTCTTTTGTTTCTTATGGGACTTTAATGTATGTTCTTTTTTATTCCTAAAATATTCCAGGTATAAGATTATTACGAGGTCTAAGTACCTTTTTTTCAGGAGACTGTAAGACATCAGATTTTGCTTTGATAGAAGCTTCATCTTCACTAAAACATTTGATACTATTCATTATTTATAAATAAAAGATACTCTTTATCATTTCTTTCATATATAATAAACAAATTGATGCGTCATAATTATAAATTCTATAGAAAAGCCATACTGATGTCTTTTTAAATTAACCATTATTCATATATAATCAAGTTTATATTATTTTAAGGAAATTTTAATTTGATTTTCATTATCAATTCTTTTTAATTTACTATATTACTTTCATAAATCAACTTTCGTAGAGATAATTTAATTTCATTAATACTAATTTAATTAAAAACTTGTAAGCTTCATAAAAGTACATACTATCTTCCATAAGAACACTTTTGGAATTGTTCTTATTGGATTACTTGATATTGATAATGTAATTTTTATGTTATGATTTATTCATAAATCATTATATACTTTTTTTACTAATTTTATTTGTTATGCTAATTTCTACTCAATAAACTTTTTAAATGTTCTATCAAAACTTATCTTGTCTTTAGATCAGATATTTTAGAATATCAGGTTATTAAAAACACAATAAAAATTTAACACCAAAAAAACATAAATAATTATCAATAATCTCTAACGTCTCCTTGAATTTAACTTGGATGAAATAATAATTTCCCTAAAAATATGCAATTTCTATATTTGATTAAGAGTATGATTAATTTTATAAAAACTTAGCATAAATTATATAAAAAACAATTATTTTTATATTTGCTAATATTATTCATTCCTATTTACGATTCCTTTCCATAAAATATTAAATAAATACTTAATGCAAATGAATTTTATCGTTCCTTTTATCATTGATGACGTTGTTGATTATAAATCGATAATATCATAACAAAATTTCTCTAAAAATCATCTTTTGATATTAATATGCTATTAAAGGTCAATCATCTTTGAAGTAGAAATGTCATTAAAACACATATTATAAATTACTTCTATAGGAAATTGAAATGATTAAGCATTAATTTTAAATTTTTAGATTGTTCTTTAATAAAAGTATGACATTTATCAAATTCCATTTCATAAATTGAAATTGTCTCATTGTCTTCATATTTTTTATTGTTTAAAAATATTATAATACTTTATGTAATTGATTTTTACTATAAAGTAATTAATTATGATTTTAAGTCTTAGAAAGGCACTATCCAATTGATTTCATGAAAACTAAAAAATTTAGGAATTATTTTTTTTCTTCATAAAATAGTTGATTGCTTTGATATTTATAAATTTGCAATTTATCAAAAAAAGTTAGCTAGGTTAGAATGATGCAATATGATTCAAATTCTAATTAAATTAGTATTTTTTGGAAATAATTAAAGTACAAAGTAAGAAAAAATAATGAATATTATTCTCTGAATGAGGATTATTTTATTAAGTTAAGAGTATAAGTAAAAAATAAATAGTTTATCAAAAATTTTTATTAAATAGGTTCAGAAATTATGATAAAATTCATAATTTTAGAACTTTATTTATTATATTTAGTTATGATAGAGTGTTCTTATTAATAAAGAGTATAATTTTATATAAATAGATATATATTATTAGAAAAATATTTGTAATATTTTATTTGAATAACTTTATATCATTAATAGGGATATTTTTTAATATCATTTTTAATTGTATTTATTGTATAGAAATGTAAGAAGATAATTTAGAAAATATAGATCTAAAAAAGTAGGATATTAGATTGATAAAAATATATATTAAAGAAATTCTTGGAAATTGGAAATGTGAAGCATTAGTTACATATGTATATATCAAAATATAAAATTATTATAATAATATAAATCAATTTAGTAAGGGAAACAATACTTTAGAAGAATGGATTTACTCTCTTTTTCTTGTGTACGACCACATACTATCTTTTCTAAAACATATTACTTAAAAGTAATGGAAGATGAGATAATAATATCAGCAGTAAGAAAATGATGTTATTTTATAAGTTCAACAATTTCAAGAATCCTAAATATTGTATAGAACTGAAACTAAGAACATAAATTCTATGGAAAATGGGAAAGTAAAATTTGAAAGCATTTGGAATATTTTATCAGAATAAAATAAAATATTTTGAAGCTTCGCATGTTAGTTTGGAATAATTAAAAAAATTGATTGGAGGTAGAGTAATATATAGAAATATGGCTTCTTTTTATGAACCAATATAATTGATTGGAGAAGGATTATCAGCTAAGGTATATAGTGTGATATATATAATTGAATAGGTTTTTTAAAGCATTGAGATATAAACAAAAAAGGCAGTAGCAGTAAAAATGATAAAATAAGAGTTTGGTAGAGAAGAACAGGCGTTGGTAAATAATAAAAAATAACTGAATTAGGATATAGTAAGAACAGAAGTACAAATATTGTAGTCAGTGAATCATCCTAATATTATAAAGGTGTTAGAGGTTTATGAAAATGATTAAACATTTTGGATTGTATAAGAATATGTTTAAGGAACTCCTTTAAGTGATGTTTTAAAACAGAAACTACCAAGTGAATAGATAAAGAAGATAATGATTGTAAAATAACCTCATATATCAATAGGGTTTACTGAATACTGTAAGTTATTTGCAATCACTAAGAATTGTACATAGAGATATTAAACCAGAAAATATAATAGTATAAAAAGATGGTTCAATTAAAGTAATTGACTTTGGTTTTGCTGCTAATCTAAAATTTGGTTCTGTAAGTAGTGTTTGTGGAACACCAGGTTATTATGCACCGGAAGTACTTCGCTAAAAAGAATCAAGTTTTAATTCTGATATGTTCAGTGTTGGAGTGGTATTATTCAATTTGTAACTATAATTTTATTTATTATCTTAGAATCACTAATCAACCTATGCTTAAATCTAAAATGTATAATGCATAACAATATGTTGCAGATGAAGAAGCAGCAGATTTATTAAAATTAATGTTAGAAGTTGATCCAACTAAACGCATTACAGCTTAATAAGCACTTTAACATCCTTATTTTAAGGATTTATAATTAAATAATGACAAAAATGATAATCACTATTCATCTGAGCAACAAATATTAAAATAATAATTACAAATTAATTAATAACAACAATATTAACCAAAAAAAAGTAATAACAGTTTAGATGCTAAAACAATCAAATCTCTCCGAACTACTAACATTATCGATTAATGATTTTATATCAATTTAGTAGTTGTACTATATTTATATATGCTTATATTTTCAATCTTTTTAATATACTATTTAAATCTCATTTATATTATTTATCACTATTATTTTTATAGATACTTTTTCCATCACTTAACTATCATATTATTTTAAATGATAGTTTGCTTTCTATCAAGATCTCTTAACTTACTGATTTAATATATCAATTAAATTTCTTTATTTCATAATGAAAGAAAATAATTGTCTTTATTACATTATAGCATTAACCTTCAAAATTTAAAGTTTTTATTATTAAAATGAACATTTTAGATTATAAATAATTTATTTCTCCATAATACAGATCATTGTCGCTCTTCGGAAAAAGGAAAATTAAAATTAAAGGCAGATCAATTAGTTTACAACCTCATAATCAATTAAATATATTCAACATGAAAGGATTGATTTTTTAAAAGGATTCATTAAGAAGAAAAAGTTGTGATTGTAATGAATGTGGAAGTCTAAGTAAATTTTAGTATAAATATATGAATCTTAAACATGTACCAAGTATGAAAAAGAAAATTGAAATTTCATTAAGAGTAGAAAAGAGAAGACAAAGTAAAATATTTTTATTACATTCAATTAGCCAAAAACAGTACATTTTACAAATATCGTACCATTATATTTGATTAAGTTAGAAGAAATAAAGTTGAATAATAACAAGTTGAATCAGTTGAAGCAACTCCTAAAGAATCTACTGACCTTAAAGAATAGATGAATAAATTAAAAGACTATTTTGAAAAATAAGAAACTCAAAAAAAAGAGATTCAAAATAGAGCAAGAAATTTCCGCTATTTTGGCAATAAAACACCTATTTGTTCTCCTAATCATTATTAATCTCCTAGGAATAAAGAATTCATCCCTTATCTTAGTTATAGAAGGATTGAATTGGTTCATCTAAAACCAATAAAATTTAGTGACACTCTCAAATCATTTTAAACACACAAAAAAACTTTATCAACTTAATCTTGAATAATAATTTATATTATTTTTAGTAAATAAAATCAACAACATGAGTAATATTTGTTATCAAATAAATTACATTATTCTTATATTTAATCTTTTAATGGTGGAATCCAATGTGATTGTTAGTTTTTATGAAAGAATGTAATCCTTATATTTTTAAACATTCCATAATTGTAAGGATGATAAAATTTTGGATAAAATTTCAAATATGTAATTTTATCTCTTTAAGTATGTTCCCAAGTTGTTTGTCCAGTCATTATTAACATAGTATGATAAAATAATAAAGCTCCTGTAAAAATACCAAATCCAAATGAAATAGCTCCAATAAGTAGTATAATTAAATATTGTTACTAATATTTATTTTCTTTATCTTCTTAATAAATTGAATAGAGACTCAACTATTTATTAAACTAAAATAAAGCATCAAAACATAACAAACATTAAAAATATAAAAATAACCAAAATGTTCTATGATTTAATTCACCTATGCAACCTCCTACCCAAAAACAATGATGATCATATTTAGGTATGCATTTCTTACATTTTTTGCAATGTTTGGTTCTATAAGGTTAAATTATATTGCATTCTTAACATACATATTTTTGGGGTATTTAATATGATTCTTATTGAGAATTATCTCTTTATTATGTTGAAATTGATAATTATGATATTTCTTGTTCTTCATCAACTTTTAGAGGAATACCTGAAGAATCACTACATTTTAAATAAAAATAAGCAGCTAAAATAGCTTCAATCAATAATCTTATTCCTATTGACAATGTCATTTCATTCTAAAAAAACGTTAGTATAAGAAATCCAGCAAATTCTGTAGTAAATAGAAATCTTTTACAAGCCCTACCTATATCACTAACTTCAGGTGGAACCACCATTTTTAATTTTATTTTATATTATATATTTTCTAAATTTATTTGATTTAAGAGTGTTTTAAATTTCAAATAGCAATTTATTCATTTTAAATTATATTATTATTTATCCATTCTTCATTAATCAATTCGAATCAAAATTAATAATTGTTATTCTATCTAATAATTAGTGACAATATTTCAAGCTTTTTAAATACTATTTCCAATTAAATTAGGAAATAATTTTCTTAAAGCATTTAATTTTCCATATTGTTCTAGTTCTACTGAAATTTCTCGTTTAAATTTAATTGATTATGTATTTTACGTTATTACAATAAAATTAAAATTAATTTTCTTGGTATCAGAAATCATCGATTTGTCAAACATAAGGAACATAAAAACTTAGATCTAGATATAGTTTTAAGAGAAGAATTAGTTTTAACATTAGATGCTATATCATAAATTGATGTTCCAATGTCTTAAAATTTTAAATTGATAACAACTATCAAAAACTCATAAAAAATAAATAAGCGAAAAAACTATAATTGACATAAATTTTAATCTATTCTTTATAAAAAACATCATATTATTATATAAATTCTTTGAACATATGTTAATTCTATTCTAAGTTTGACTATTTCAATATTCAGAAATTTTATTAAAAATTTCAATAGAACTTAAGAATCTAATTATAAATAACGTATAAAGATATTAAAAGCAAGAAATTAAGAAGTAACATTATATAATAAAGGATATTAATTTTTTAAGAAACTTGTACATGTATTTATTAATTTAGATAATATTTTATACAGTACTTTTTTATCAAAAATATTAGAAAGAAGATATTATTATTTAAATAAGTTTTCATTCATCATGATCTACATGAACTTATTAAATACTCTTAAAATATTGAACAAAATTAATGAGAGAGAATTTTTGTTCTTCTCTTTTAACTTATTTAAGTTATTGTCTTAAAGTTTATTTTTTACCACCAATAGTATTTCCTAAGAGATTAGTAATTTGATTTTATAAATGAGGTAATTCGACCCTTGGATCATAAGGAGGTTCATCACCATCAGTGAATGAATCTTCTAATTTTTATTTTAAAGATTTGAAATCATTAATCATACATTTATCAACACCTCTAATATCTGGATCATTAGTTGTTAGAGTCTATTTCATATCATTTCCAATTATAAGATATAAAAGTAGAAGTAAACCATCAATTTTAGATGTCAAATCAAAAGGTCTTCTATCATCAACATCTAATGGTTTATCCCCTCTAATGATTGATAATTTTTCAGCCAATCGACCTACAGCTTCAATAAATTCATGGAAATTCATTTGATAATGTTTACTTGAATATAATTCATCTTTTTAAGTTATCATTGATTGTAAATAAATCAAATAACATTCTCTTTCAGTAAGATCATCACAAATTAATTTACATTATACTATCCAATCTTTAAAATCTTATACTGAAATATAATCATATTTATATAATTATTTGTCTTTCTTACTTAAACGACTAATATATTTAAATAATGATTTTAACATGGCTAAACGATCATTCAAAATAATATCACATTTTTAATTCCATAATCTACTCTTCCTCCACATTTAGGCTTAATCAAATTTAGAAAAGTGTTCTTAAGCTTACTTATGAATCAAACTAATAGCTTCACTCATTGTTGTACAAATACCTTATCTTATAAATTTATCATTGCACATTCTAATCATTATTTCCAAAAGCTGACAACGAACTAATCCTTTTTCATAAGCCTATGGAAATTATACATCTTTTGCAGCTGATGTAGATGTAAAACTTATGTCAATATCATTAGTTTTATATCCATCCAATAATGATGTTTATAGTAAAAAATCAATATAATCTTATAAAGTTATGCATGGAATTGGTGTATTCAATGATCCTGAAGCATGATACTTATAACAATGAAAAAGTTAACGATAAAGTATTTTAAGATTATCTTTTATTTCATTTAATTCAGTATCTTTTACTAAACGAGTGACTTTTGAATTTTAAAAATCAAATTCAAAACATTCATCAATAAGATTAGGTGTATCAGGTTAAAAATGTTTAAAAATAGAATTTTCAACTGACCAACAATGTTTCTTTATGTTAAGATAAGGAGAAAAATCAAATTTAGCTTATTATTCTCTAGGTTTACATTGGACCATAGGCATATATTTATCAAATAACTTTTATTTATCATTTGTATAATAGACATTAACTTAATCCATTACATTTCCATCTACTAAAATTTCATCATTGTATAAAAATGGCATTGATTGAATATTCATTTGTTTCATATTTTAATCCATTGCTGCTTATTATGTACTTAATATTGGATTTGTAAAGAAATAATGAATCTCTTTATTTGGTGGACACATTTTCACAAAAAAGAATTCATTATTTAAAAATGTCATTAAAAGTGGTCTATATTCTTCAAAATCAAAATGAATGAAAATAGGTTCATTATATAAACTACCAGATTTATGAGCAGTCCATTCAAATTTTATTTCTTGCCATCCTTCACAAATCCAACAAGTATCAAGTCTATTAATTTCATTAAAATTTTATTTGTTCAATTTTGTAGATCTTATTTTTCTTTATCTACTAAATGGCATTACTAAAATCTCTTCTCTTTTTAACATAATATTTTCTTTTATTTTCGGTTCATCTAATAATTTAAAATATTATGGCTATTTATATAATAATGATAATTTATCCTATCTCAATTTAAACTATTAAACACTATTAATTAAAAATCCATTGGGGTTGACAAATAATTCTTATTGATTACCTTCAAAATGAAACCCATATATAGTTTCATTCTTTTATAAAGCTTCAGCAATTATTTGAGCTTAGAGGCTTGTAAATTTATTATAAGAAAGATCAACATGTAATAATTCATTATATGGACGTGAAATTGCTTTATTAATTGATTATGCACATTCCAATGAAGCTATATTATTATGAGAAAGATCAAGAATTTTAACACTAGTATTTTTATACATAGCCTTCCAAATTATTGTACCTGCACTCCCATTAAAGAAATTATACCCTAAATACAACTCTAAGAGACGTTATGTTTATTTTAGTAAATTCGATATGGCATTACAAGCACACTCTGTAATTTAATTATTATTCAAATTAATACATTATAGAGTATTATTTGTTAAGAGATGTTTCATTATTATTTAGCATCCTAAATCTCTAATATTATTATTTTCAAGATTCAATTTATAAATTTAATTCTTACTTGTAAATGCCATCAATTATTCCATATGCATATAATTAAGCTTACAATTTTATAATTCTAAATCTTTTAAAGTTATTGGAAAAGTTGTTAATATATTACGCAGTTGAATTGGAGTAAATTAATTATGATTTAATTGCATTACTTATATTTGTCGACTTTATTAAGTAAGCATAGCATTTGAAAAGGCATTACAATCCTCATTATTTCTTAAAGTGTGACTAGCATTCGCATTTGTTAATTGTAGAGTATTTTATATTAATCCAAAAGTTTTTGGCATCCTTTCAGGTTATGAGAAATTTAGACTCAAATAAAGATTATGCGGTTACTATTTGTATAATTTTGTGTAATCATCTAATTTTTAAGAGTGCCGAACACTTTTCAAAAAGTCTTAAGTACTTATAGCTGATAACTACTTGCTTAGGTAAAATTCATATATTACTTAGCTAATTTCATTTTATAGAAATAATTAAATCGATCATTTCCTATAGATTTTATACAAGGATTTGTTTTACATTTAAAAGTTAACCCTTACTTTATATTAGTTTATTGATCTTCCTCATTATTTACTTTATTTATCATATCCTATTCCTGATCGATGAAACCTTACCAATCAAAAATGTCTACTTTCATTAAATCTTTCTGCATTTCAATACTCTCACTCTTCTCACTCTTCTCCTATTCTTATTCATATCTTTTTTGAAAGGGTTGTTTCTTTTTTTTCTATTAAGTACAGATTTATTTTGTCTAATCAATATAAGATTTTGTTATTTAACTCTTATGTAGAAAGAGTATTTTTCTATTTGCTGATTAACGTGATGTACCTGTAGTAATTTCAGCTTATTCATCCTTCATATTAAATAAAAAATATAATATAAACAAAGTTCAATTTTAATCAACCTAATTTTACAGATATTCTTCTTCTCTCTATTTAAAATATTAAACAACATTAGTCAATAAGAAATTTGATTTAAGTTGTTTTTGTTGTTACATTTACTTTAATACAGTAAATAAAGACAAGGCTTTTTTTAATTTTGGGACAGATTGAACAGATTGAACTTAAGTTTATTTAAGTTGTTCTTCTAAAATAGTCAATTCTATTGTAGGATTGTAAGGTTTATCATCTTCATCACTGCCCATTTCTTCAATTTATTATTTAATATTCTTTTATTTTCTTGTCATACATCTATCAAAATCTGAAAAATCTTCAGATTCTTTAAGTTATTATTTGATTGCATCACTTGCTCTTAAATAAATAATCAAAAACAATGCATCAATTTTTTTATGTAATGGTTCCATTCTTCTGTCATCTACATTCATTGTATCTTTGGTTCTAATAAGAGATAATTTTTCAGCACATCTACATAAAGCTTCAATGAATTCATAAAGCTCCATTTAGAAATGTCTTAAACTATATAATTCATCAACTTAGGTTTGCATAGATAATAAGTATGCAATATAAGCATCTCTCTCTACAAATGTATCACAATACAAATCACATTTTAGTAATAGATCTCTAAAATCCTTAAATTGAACATAAGTATGTTTATAAAATTTCTATTTGGAGTTCAATTTGGATGTAAATTTAAATAATAATTTAAGCATAGGTAATCGATCCTCTATTAATAAAATAAATAAAAATTACTAATTAATAGATCACATTGTTCATTCCAAAATCTTATATCTCTCCAATCTTATGCTCTATCAACTTCTTATAATCTCAATCTTACTAAATCATCTTCAAATAATTTCAGAACACTCAATTTCATAGATTTACAAATTCCAGTTCTTGTATATTTATCTAAAGCAATTCTAACTAAAACTTCCATAAATTAATATCTAATCAAAGCTTTTTCATAAACATTAGGATATTAGATATCCTTAATGTTAGAAGTAGAGATAAAATTTAAATCAATATCTCCAGGTCTAAATTTATCATTCATAACGGTAGTTTATCCAATAAAATCAAAAAAAGCATTCGATGATATACATGGTATCTAAAAATAAATAAAATACTATAATTACGGATGATCCAATAAGAGTAGAAGCATAAAATTTATAACTAGCAAAGATTGAAGGATAATATTCCCTAAGTAGTTCTTTTACTTCTAATAATTCATTAGGATCACGAACAATTCTATTAATTTTAGAAGATTAAAAATCATATTCAAAACATTCATCAATTAATTCTTCATTATCAGGTTAATAGTTTTTGAATATTGATATTTCATAACTCCAAAAAGTTTATTTCTTATTCATATATTGTGTTAAATCATAAGTTCTTTCTTCTTCTCTAGGTTTACTAAATATTTTAGGAACATATTTATCAACAACTGTTTACTTACCTTCAGTAAATACTTCATTTACGAATGACATTTTATTTCCTTCAATTAAAATATCTCCATTATATAGAAATTCTTAAGTTCCTTAAGCTATGATATCATTAGCAGGAGTAGGCATTATCATTTAATTTTTTGCTGTTGTTTATATTCCTAAAATAGGATTACTAAAAAAATATAAAATCTTCTAATTTGGAGGACACATTCTATATAAATGATATTCACCTTAATATGGACTCATCAATACTGGACGATATCCATCAAAATTAACATGTAAAAATATAGGATCATTATTCATTCCTCCTGATTTTCCTGGACTCCAAGTAAATTTAACTTCTTCCCAACCTTCACAAATCCAACAAGAATCTCTATTTTTATCATAATTTTAATTTTATTTTACAGGTTTCATTCCCCATATTCTTCTAAATCTATGTACTTATTAAATTTTCTCTTATTTTTTATCTGTAACCTATTTAGGTTAATATTTTATATCATCATCTAAAAAACGTAAAGATGTTTAAGGATTCTTTCTACATTATTCAATCTTCTTTTATCTAATCTATTCTTACATTTCCTAATTTATAAGATGACCAGTAGCATCTACCAAAAATTTTGGGCAATTTCCTTCAAAATGAAATCCATAAATATTTTAATTAGAATTTAAAGCTTTCATTATTTCATTTGCAGATGCTTCATCAAATCCATTATGTGAAATATCTATATGCATTAATTCTGGATATGGTTTCGCTATTACTTTAGCCATCTATTGAGCACATTCAAATGATGATGTATGATTATATGATATATCAAAGACTTTTACACTTGAATTCTTATATAATGCTTTCCATATCATCAATCCTCCTTTACTACTTATTGAATTAAAATGCAAATATAATTCAAATAACATATTTGACTTTTTTAAGTAATTTGATAATTCAACAGAACAACCATCTAAAATTAAATACAATCAAAAATACCAGTCAAATTATTTCTACTCAAATTTAAAAGATTCAAATAATCATTATCTAATAAAGCCAAAAATAAATAATTAGCTCCTTAATCTCCTATCTTATTATTTTCAATAGATAATTTCTTCACTCTTGATTTTTATAAGTACCTAGCCAAAAATTCACAACCTTTAAAATCTATTCCATTATTATCAAGATCTAAATCTTAAACATGAGATGGAAAATTAGACACCAAAGTTTTAAACCTAGGTGATGTCAATTAATTATGACTCAATTTCAAATCAGTTATAGTTTTACATTATGGTGATTATAAAGCCTCTGTAAATACTTTTATTTTTTATTCATTTCTCAACATTCCTGATGATTCTGCTGCCTTTATTGTATAATTTGTATTAATTAATCCTAAACCTGTTTAAAATATATTATGTTCTAAATAGATATCATATTCTATTTACTTTATGAACTCTTATTTAATTAAAGATAAATATTTGGTTATTATTTATAAAATTCTGCATAATCTTCAAGTTTCTCATAATTTTTGGTCACACTTCTAAATTCTTTCTAAGTAATCTTCTATAGATTTTTGCTAAGAGTATATCTAAATAAAAACATACTTTCCTAATTTATAATTCTTTAAGAACTTTCCTCTATCAGAAAGATCATCAAATGGAGTTTCTTTAGGTTCATTATACAGAAATGGCTAATTTTTTTTTAACTCTTCTAACTTAGTAGCAGCAATCAATGTTCCTCCACGTCTTTAAGGCTTTTTTTATTATTGAGGTTAGTGATGCTTACGTTGAAAAGGACGAATAGGACTTATCTCTTCTTTAAACCCCAACCTTTCTGATAATACTTAAGCCTCTTCATTTAGTTACTCTATTAGTTTTTAATCCTCACTACGTAGTTCTTATATTGTTTCCTATTCTAAATTCTTTTATAAGTCTTTCAACTCTATACTATCATCATCTTAAGTTGTTTTTATTTATCTTTTTTGTTAAGTTTAAAAATCAGTTAAACGAGCATAAGAACTCAATTTAGGAGAAGATAATTGAATTTTTTAAATATCAGCTTATGATTTGATATGAATTGATTTTAAAGTAGGGGTTTTATGTGTTAGAGAATTCCAAGTATGTTAAAAACTTAATTGTCTTACAAGATATCTCTCTGATGAGGGTTCAGTTTTTTAAATTTTTGAGACCTAATTAACTTGTTCTTTCTCTTCTGTTTCTTAGATTTTACGAACTTCACGTAATTTTTCTAATAATTTGGCTGGAGTGTTATAAATCTTGAGTTTCTCAAACAACATAAAATTATTATTGATGTTAATTAGAATGAATTTAACAAATCAACCATTAGAAATAAAATAAATGTATTATATTTAAAATAGCTAGAAGAAGGTAATAATTGAAATTCAAAAAAGTGATATAGATATATAAAAAACGGTGTTATATTAAATAATGAATTTGATGTAATTAAATTGATGGTATATTTATTATTTTATTAATATATAAATAGTAATAAAGAAAGATTGGAAAAATAAAATGATATTGAAATAGAAGAACAAAAATGTCAAAATTACCCAGCACTTTCTTTAAGTAATTCATCATCATGTTTTTCATCGTAATTCTTTTCCTACTTAATATTGAATAAGGCTTATATCAAATATTACTTTTATTGATCACTAATATTTAATGATAGTAGATTAGGTTCACTCATCTGCATTAAGCTCTATTCAGTGATTTTCATTCCTTCAAGAGTGTGTAATATGAAATCAGACTAGGAAATATACTGAAATCACATTACCCCAGATATTTTCCATAATTCATCCTACAATCTACGAGAATATTTGATTAATTGATTTTTTATTTATTGTTATTACTTTTGATCAGGTGTTGTAGGAGCTGTACGATGATGTTTATGTTAAGTATTCCATTTTTTCTTTTATCTATCTGAGAAATCTGAACCTCTTCTTGAAAGTGGATTAGATGAAGTAGTTATCGAACTAAATAATTCAAGTGGTTATCCAACTTCCATTTTCTCTCTATTAAGATCTTAAGGAATATAACTTGGAATAATAGGTCCTTAATAATTAGAATTGGATTTATATGGAATTCTAAGTAGATTCTATGTATTAGGTTCTTCAATAATCCATTATTTTTCATTCTATTATTTTGGTATTCTAAATAAATATAATTTCTATTCAATATACCTGCGTTCTTAATCATTATGAAAGAATGGACACTCTTTTTTTATACAATTAGGTTATGCACAAGGTTTAGTTTTATAAATTAAGGGATGATATTCAAATTCTTTCCATCCATGACAATTAAGACAATTCTCTTAATCAGGACAACCTCCTTAATCATATCTTTATATTTAATCAGTCTTATTCCAATAAGAACATTCTTTAGATTAAAGTAATTGAGGATCTCTTCTAAAATCTTATGCATTATGAGCATAAACACAACTAGCACGATCATGTCTAATCTATTAAATTATAATATATACGCTACAATATATGGACACCATATAGTTTTATAATGAAACATCCAAAATTTCTTATCTTATGGCAATTATTCTAATTTAAGAGGTACTCTCAATTCATGTTCATTATGAGCAAATGAACAATACATTCCATATTCACAATCTTTATTTTATACACAATATTTGCTTTTGTATCTATTTGGATGGTACACTTATTCTACTTTGTTGTGTGAAAATACACACAAATCTCCATTTGGACATTGTTCATATTAAGGACATATTTGACACCTTTCAATCATTATTACTATTCTCACTTATATTTAAATTAATGAGGATCTCGTCTACGATCAGATTCATCATGGTAGTACGGACAAAACTTTTTATGTGTACTAGGATGTTATAGACTACATTGATAGGTTTTAAATTAAGCAGAGTCTATTTTTCTTTATTAATCTAAATTTGTATAAGAATTTTCATGTGAGCGTACTTTCCTTAATTGCATTGAAATATATATTAATATATTAATTTATAAATATTAGAAAAAAACTATCCAAAACCTTGCATTCTTTCAACAATCTCTTTTATCTTCTCTAATTTCTATTCATTCTAAAAGAGATCCCAATTCTTTTTCTATATAAAAAAATTATAAATTAGTATCCATCTAAATTACTTTCTCTATTATTTTTTGAATTATTTTTGTATAATAATTAAAAAACGAATACATTCATGGAATAGCAGAGATTTTAGATTTCCTATCCCCAAATGTAAAGTATGTTTGATACACCAAATTTATAATCAGGTTAATCATCTGAAATTTTACATTAACTTGGGTAAATAAGTTAATCTATAAAAGGGATGTTGAATAAATAATGAATAAATTAGAAACTGATTCCAAAAATGGAATAACAGATATTGAGGGAAGATAAGAACAATTTGGAAGTAATCGATTAGAACCTCCAAAATTGTCTCCATTCTATATGTGCATGTATAAATAAACAAAAGACTTTTGCATTCGTATTTTGGCTTTTGCTACAATCATAATGTTTATGATGGCATTCTTCTCTGAAGAACCATTTGAATAAATAGTTTAAGCATTTTCAATATTGATTGCTATTTGTGCAGTTGTTATAATAGGAGCAATGACAGACTATAGAAAAGAAAAATAATTTAGATAATTATATTTAGAATAAGAAGAATAACAAAAAAAAATATTTTAAGTAGTTCGAAATGGGAATGTGAGTTAGATGAATCATCTAGATTTATTAGTAGGAGATATTATTACAATAAAACCAGGTGATAATATCACAATAGATGGAATATTACTTGAAGGTACAGAAACAGTGGAAGTAGATGAAAGTATGATTTCAGGTTTAACAGATACTATATCAAAATAACCTAGATCTAAAGGATAAAACTGTTTTATACGTGGTGGCAGTAATATTTTTGAAGGCACAGCTAAAGCAATAGTTTTAGCAGTTGGTTCATCAACTTATTCAAATAGAATGAAACATGATAATTAATAAAAAGAAGAAGGAGAAGAAGAATTAGTACATGATGAAAGATCTCCATTGGCTAAAGCACTAGAAACTTTAGCTAAATTTTTAGTGTTTATTGGATGCATGAGTGCGTTAGCCATGTTTATAGTCTTAGAATTATATATGGTTAGAGAATTGAATGAATTATAACAAAAGATTTTCTCATAATTTGCACTTAAGAAAGTATTAACAGATTTTATAGATGCCTTTTTAATTATAGTATTATCTATTCCTGAAGGATTACCTCTAATCGTTACTTTATCTTTGGCATTCTCTATTGCTAAATTAAGATAACATGATATTGTTATTAGAAATTTACATGTATGTTAAGTCTTAGGTGGAGTTGATACATTATGTTTTGATAAGACAGGAACATTAACCTATAATAATCTAAAAGTAAGTAATCTACATATTGCCAATGAAGAAAGAATTCATAATATTCCACCTTAAGATCCTATCTTTAGAATGATCTCAGAAGCTATACTTACAACTAATTCAGCCTTTCTACCAGATGAAATTCCTAAATAATAATAATATAATGAATAATTAGATCTTAATATTAATCAAAATAATAAAAAATCACAAAATGCCAAATAGTAATAATCTGTTCAGGATATCAATAAAAAAAGTGATTGGAGTGGAAATAGATTAGATGTTGCTCTAATTGATTACTTAGAAGTCAAACTAACAAGAGATTTTGTTAAAGAGTATATGCAAGACCTTAAAAGTAAAATTAGGAAGACTATTCCTATTAATAATTATGGTTTTCATGTTGAAATCCTTCATATTAGAGGTGATAAATATAGAATCATTTTAAAAGGAAAGGCAAAAGAAATTATTGAAAAATCTAATCAACTTAATATATCAATACCAGACAATTAAAACTTTTAAGTTTATGAACCAGGAAATTTTACTATTTAATATTGTTGTAATTCAAATATGATAACTGAATCTGTACAAATTGAAAAAACAGCAGTATTAAATTATAATTCTTAATCATTAAAAACTATTTCATTCGCTTATAAAGATGTAGAGATACAAAATCTTATTGAATAAGATTGGAATAATTTGCTTAGGGAAAACAATTTTATTTATATTGGTACTGTAGCAATGAGAGATGATATTAGATAGGAAGCAAAAAGATTAGATAGTGCTTTAAAGATGGGCAATATGAGTGTGATGATTTTAACAGGGGATACAAGAGTAAATACTGTGAATGTAGCTAAATAATTAGGTTGGGTTAGTTGTGATTAAGCTGATGCTGAAATTCAAAGAACTAGTGAACATTTACCAAAATCATCTTAATTAATGAATCATTAACAAGAGATTATAATAGAACCTACTGGTATTGAAGAATCAAAGAGTGGATAAATAGTTTCATAAATAATGGAATGTCCATAAGATGATATTCAACCTTTATTAAAGGATGATTATGAAGGTTAATATTTAAAATAAGGATCATTTAACAATCTTCTGATTTTAAACTTTTAAGAGTATGTTATAAGGATTAGAAAAATATTGAAAGAATCAAAGATTTTTTATACTCATAAAGAAATAAATGAGAAAAACATAGTATCAAAAATACCAGAGATTTTAGATGATAATTTAGCAAGTGAAGTATTTTATTATAAATATAATATTTAGAAAGTTTAAAAAATGAATAATTAATTATAGATTTTAGCAGACTTGAATTAACACTAGAAACATTAATTTTTAGAAGTATATTCTAGTATTAATGAATCTACAATTGGATATGTAGGAGATGGTAATAATGATGCAATAGCATTATAAACTGCTTCAGTTGGTATTACTTTGGGTAAAACTGCTACAAATATAGCAAGAGAATGTAGTGGTATAATTTTAATGAATGATAAATTGGATGGTATAGAATTATGTATGAAATATGGCAGAAATATCTTTTTAAACATCAAAAGATTTATCTATTTCTAATTGAGTTTCTTTTTAAATTCAATAGCTATCATGTTAACTTCTTCTATTGTATTAAAATAATAACCATACACAGTATTATAAGTTATTTGGTTAAGTTTGTAAGATTATATTTATTAATCTTTTAGAGTATAAGATATCTTCTCAGCAGTTGCTTTGAGTACCGAAGTTCCTTAAGATGATATTTTAAAAAGAACTAAACCAGCTAAAAGAGGAGAAAATATCATTGATAAATTCTTACTTTAAATGACTTGCACTTAAGCAGTTTTCTAATATTTAGCTACTCTTTTTGTTTTATTTTTAACCCCAACTATTTTTGGAATTGAGTAATTATTATTATTATAATTCAATAGACCTTCTTATAAACATGATTTACATGGTTTAGGAGCAGAATTTATACCAGAATTTGCTATTCATTATACTTTGGTTTATCATTTGACTGCTATGTTTTAAATTGTTAATTTGATATGTAGTAGAAGAATAGGATAACATGAATACAATGTATTTGATGGAATTCATAAAAATAAACCATTCACAATAATGATAATAGGTTTACTTATAATCTAATAAGTGATCATTTATGCTGGAGGTAAGTATTTCAAAACTGCTCAATTAACTATTTGGTAAAACTTATTCTGTCTTTGCTTATCATTTGGAGCCTTGCTTGTATTTTGGTTGTCTAAATATTATTATTCAACTAAGAAATGAAGTAATCAATCAATAAAATAATAAATAAAATATTAAATCAACTTATTACATATTATTTTATCTCTATTCCATTCATCTACTCTTTTTATTTTATTAAATATGAAACTTCTTCTTCTCTTTTTATAAAAATTAGACTCCCAAATAGAATTAAAGAAATCACTAATTAAATTATCAATATCCACACACTTAGATTTTCAGACTCAGCCCCAGTCATTAAAATTATTGACATTATAAACAAACTTGTACCACTCAAAAATATTGAAATCAATGAAACAATATTAAATATTGCAACATTACCTGGTAAATTTGAATGCTTCATCAAACTCATCACTATAGTCATAATAATCAATACTCCATCTATTATTGATATTGGATACGTTGCTAAAATTGAATTGCACATATATTCAAATTTACAATCCTCCTTAGTTATTTTATTATTTGTTAATATTCTATTATTTAATCTACATTTCAATTTGGCATCGTATTTTAACTTACATTTTAATTATTCTCCATTAAAGGGAATTTCTTATTCCCTATATGTTGAAAATAACAATATACACAATAATAAGCCTGCTGTTACTAAAAATATTAGCTGTAATGTTGCATTGATCTTAGAATTAAAGTTTGGAATAATTTAGTTCATTTATTATATTAATACAATCACTTTATGGAATCGAATCGCTTATTTAATTATAAAATAAAATTTTCTTAATATTTTATTAGTTTTTATATTATTTAATGATTTGAGTGATTTTCTCACTAAAATTAAAGTAAGTGTGCAAAATATGATACTTTAATTCGCAAATATTGTATTTCCTTGAATAAAAATATCATTTAATGCTGACTAGAAAATAATCAAGAGAACAATAACAAAAGAAACAAAACCAAGCTTCAAAAGCATCTCAATAGCATTCTTCTCATAATGAAAGTCTCTCAACTGAAATTATGGAAAATGTTATAATTGAAATGCTAGAACTGTTAGATGTTTAAAACAAGTTATAGATAGAGACTGATTTTCAAGAAAGTCCTTTAGATCCTTAGATAAAAAGAATAGAGGATTATAATAATTGTTACAATAAAGAGTTCTTTGAATCTTTACTCAATGATTAAATTGATTTGAGTAAATGTTTGCTCAATCATCAAATTAGAGAATGGGTTCGAGGTAAAATGGTTGATTGGATGATTGAAGTTTTTGCCGCTAATCAATGCATAAACGATAATTCATTTTTTAGAGCTGTTAATTTGATGGATGCATTTCTTAAGAATACTTACAATTATACTGAATAACATCTATATTTGATAGGTGTTACTTGTATATTCATAGCTTCCAAGATTGAAGATATATACTCTTTTGGAATTAAAACTATAACTGAAGATCTTTCTCATAATAAATTTTCATCATACTAAATTAAAGAATTTGAATCAATAATATTAGAGACTTTGAATTATGATACCAATTTTCCAACTGTCAACGATTACTTATAATATTTAAGATATTAATTATTTGGTTAATCCTAAAAGTATTCAAATGATTTTATTTTAGTTAATCTGTCTAAGTCATTCATGAAACAGCTGTTTATATTCTAAAAATGTGCTATCATGATTATTAACTAATGCAAAATAAATAGATGCTTTTAGCCGCTAGTATATTAGGATACACAATTTAAAATTATATAGAAATGCACATGTCTAGTTTAGGAGGAAACCTTAAGAAATAATTGCTATAAACAGTATAAAATTATATCTATTCTTAGCAAAACAATCTACTAAGAATTGGAAACCTTGATTTATTTGATTTTTTAGATTGTCTTTAGAAAGTAAAAAAATTAACATAAAACTTTCACAGAAAGTATCCTCTTTATCAAAACCTATAGAAATTTAATTGACTTGATTTTTCATAGTTTTTTATTTTTTTTTATAAATTTGATAATAAATAAATATCGATTCAAATTTTCTAAAAGAGCAGTTAGTTGAATATTAAAAAAGTTTGGAAAATAAAAAATTGTTTTTAAAGAATTATGGCATAAAAGTAGTGAATTTAATTCATTATTAAAATATAATATTAATATAAAATGAATAAGGATTGATTATAAAATTAAGTTGATATATTTTCACTATAATAAAACCATGGTCATTATTTTTTTGGTTAATTACATAATAAAAATAATAATTAATAAAATTATATTAATGATTATAGAAAATGTGCTAATGTTAAAATTTATAGTGGTAGGTGATTAATGTAATTTGATATTCAAGTCTTAACTGTTAGAAATAGTAGTTTTGTAGAATAATATTCAGATCATCAATTTATAGAGGATATGAATAGAGCATCTATTGAAGTGGAATTTGTGAAGAAATTAGTAATAGTTGATAAACATAGAGTTGTATTTTAAATATGGGATAATTTATAAGTTTTTAAATGATTGATTAGGCAGAATAAGAATAATTTCGAAGCATGATTAAAGGTTTTTATCGTGGAGGTGCATGTACAATATCAATTAAAGAGATTCATTTGAAAAATTATAAGATTTTTTATCAGAATTACTTAAAAGTAATCATGAAGAAATAGTGAAAATACTTTTTGGAAATAGATTAGATAATGAAAAAGAGGAAGCTGAAAAATTCATGAATTATTATAAATTTAGTTTGATTTTGAAACATCAACAAAGACTGGAGAGAAAATGTAGAAATAGTAGAGTAAAATTGAATATGACAGGATTTCGTTGTAGCTGTAAATTGATTATAATGAGAATGTTTAAAAGTGATTTCTTTAAAAATAATATAAAAACTACAAAATGAATTTCCAGCTAATTTAAAATAGAATACAAATAAAAGTGATTAACCAATTTAAGAGGTGATTTCATTATCTTAAAAGCCTAATTTAATTGCAATCTTAGAATAACTAAGAAAATCATCATGCAACAAAAATAATGTTGTTGTTTTTAAATTTGTAAATTACAAATATATTTTATAATTAATTACCTTAATGATTAAAGCTTTATTTGCTGCTGAATTTGATTTAGTCAAAGGTATTTATAATATATTCTTATCTATTAGGATGTGTAATAACTGCTTGTTATCCGCCAATAAATCATTAAGGATTTCATGAATTAGCATCATATATGATTCCTGATGGAGTCCATAAAATTCAATAAGACAAATTCTTTTTTAGAATTGGAAATATCAGATTTATACCTGGATAAGTATATACATATCATTTTGATTATCGATGGAATTAATTGTTATAAAGTTCAATTCAAACTTTAAGTTATTCAGATGAAAATGTAATTAAAATAAGAGGTGAAAAAGAATCTGAATGGTTGGATATCAATTTAATCAATGCTCAAGTTTAAGTAATTTCTCATGATTTTGTATCCATCACTTTAAATCCTGATTTAATTTATGGAATCAAAGGAAAATTTACATAAGATTATTATTTAACATGTCTTAAGAATAAGAAAGATGTCACAATTAAAAGAGGATCTTTGATTAGATCCATATCTATATGTACATCAGACTTACTTTTTTTAGGAATATGCAATTTGAAAATTGAAAAATATTTGGAAGAATATTTTTTATAAGTTGGCCTTGATCATTGGATAAATGATGTTGATACTAATTCTGAAACAATTTAAAAAATTTTAGAAAAAGGATTCAATGAACTTTCAAGTGATTTAACATATTATAAATTTTCTCATTCTCTTCTTGATTATTCATTTAAAGATTTAGGTAACTTATATCCTAAAAGAGCATATAGTTTAACAACAAATGCCTCATTACTTAATCTATTTAAAATGCTTGATATGAAGATTCGTATTCTTTATAGAGCTTTATTATAATAATAAAGAATCATTTTTCTTTGTCATGAATACAACAATTAAGAAAAATATATTGGAGATGATATGGTAAAAATGACATTATATCAAAAAGTATTTTAATGTCTGCAACCTTGTTTTGAGCTTATGTTTTCTTGTTTCCCCTTTGAATATCATTTACAATATTCAGGGTTACAAATCCTTACTTGATAAAGGATGGGAATAATAAAATTCTTGGATATCTATAGTTTCTAATCCAATTTTTGAGTATCGTAAAGAATGGTGGGATATTTTAATTGATATAAATTCAGGAAAAATTATAGAATCCAAAAAAGAGTAATCATTATTTATAAACAATCAAACAGATATTGATTTCTTTTAAAATTTAATCAACCTCATTCAGGTATCACATATAAATGAATTCTAAATTAGATCTATTCTACAAAAATACACATCTTCAATTATTGAAAATTTAGTAATCTATTTTATTATTATGTAGCCTCAAACACTTTTATTTAAGGGATATAGAAAAATGAAGATTAAAAATTTATTAAATGAATAACAATATGCACAAATTCTAAATATTTTAGCAATCATAAAATTATAAAAAACCATGAAAGACTAAGAACTGTTTTAAATGTATGTGAATCTATTAGATTGCTTAAAAACAGAACTTCAATTTAAAGAATTTTTTAAAGTAAATTAAATTAAAAATTTTTTAGTTATTTACTGAATCTAATTATGAATTAAATACATTTGGAATTGGAACAATGTGTTAAGATGTTTTAGTTTAAGAGAAATGTAGAGAGTTCTTAAAATTAATAGAAAAGTGGGATAAACAACTAATGCAGTAAATTAACTTATTCTTAGTAATTTGATATAAAATATTTATTTTCTTATATTATAATTACTAATTACAGAGTCCGATCATAATTTTTGAATTTATAAGAAAAAATATTAATAATTAATAATTATTTATTCATTTTATTATTTTTTATATCTTTTTTCAATGTTCTGTAATGGATGTTTGCAATTTCTCGAAAAATATTTTTATCTTTTTTCTTCATATAATAAACCAAAGTATTCCAAATAGAATCTCACTAAAAAATATATCAATTCTTACATGTTTAGCCAGCTCCTCTGATTCCTTATTATCCTCACATTAATTTATCTCCTATTATATTATATTTAATAATCCTAAATAAAAAATGCAGATTAAAAAAAATTATTGGAATAAAAGTATTCATCAAAATCGAATATTCTATTTCCTAAATTTTTCGGAATTAAGAATTATCTATATCAATCTCTTTCATTTTTATATTATCAATCTTTATACTATTTTAATATCTAGCTATTCTACAAGTCGAAATGTTTGAAGGAAAATTTAAGTTAAACATTGTTTCTTATTGAAATAGAAAAAATATTATATTTAGGATTTTTAGTCCAAAAAAAATCTTTTAAAAAAAATTTAATTTAATATCCGTGTTTTAATTATGTTCTAAAAAATAATGATAAAAATTTAGAATACAATGGATCTTCAGATTTAAGAACTTAATATAATAAATCTATTCATTATATATTTTACAATTATAATAATTAATTATAATGAAATAAACATACATTAAAAGCATCTTGTTAATAATCAAATACCAACTTTTTACTTGGAATTTTAGATATATTGTTATGAAGTAAGAAATTATAAAATAGTATTCTCATTAAGAGAATACTATTTTATAATTTCTTACTCCATAAAAAGTTATTTTAAAATAATTGAAAAATAAGATAATTTAAAATTACTTTAAGAAATTCAATTTGTGTCTATTCTCGAGAGAAAGCATCAAAAAGCAAATTTTTTATTAAAGAAATAATTATATTATTTTAAGTAGATTAGAAATAGATGTTAATTTTTTATATAATTTAACTACTATCAAGAAAAAGGTTTAGCAATAAATCTATAAGAGTAAAAGAATGCCTTAATTTATGATATTTCAGCATTATGAACTTTTTTTCAGACTTAGAATTGATCCTAAATTTGGCTTATTTGCATAGGTTTAGAATGTTTCATCTTACTCAAATTAAAAGAAATCAACATAAATTAAAATATATCCTACTAATAAACTCTTGCCTGAAATGAATGAATTGAATTTTTTGAAAAATTCACCAAGTTACGTTAGTGAAATATTTATTCTTCTAATGAAGACAATCTAATTCTCGAATAGAAATTAAGGATCTTGCAAAGTGAATCAAGTTTTTTTATACAATTCAATAAAAAAAAAAAGAATTTACTGAATATAGGATTATAAAAGAGAAAATTTANTGGATGTTTGCAATTTCTCGAAAAATATTTTTATCTTTTTTCTTCATATAATAAACCAAAGTATTCCAAATAGAATCTCACTAAAAAATATATCAATTCTTACATGTTTAGCCAGCTCCTCTGATTCCTTATTATCCTCACATTAATTTATCTCCTATTATATTATATTTAATAATCCTAAATAAAAAATGCAGATTAAAAAAAATTATTGGAATAAAAGTATTCATCAAAATCGAATATTCTATTTCCTAAATTTTTCGGAATTAAGAATTATCTATATCAATCTCTTTCATTTTTATATTATCAATCTTTATACTATTTTAATATCTAGCTATTCTACAAGTCGAAATGTTTGAAGGAAAATTTAAGTTAAACATTGTTTCTTATTGAAATAGAAAAAATATTATATTTAGGATTTTTAGTCCAAAAAAAATCTTTTAAAAAAAATTTAATTTAATATCCGTGTTTTAATTATGTTCTAAAAAATAATGATAAAAATTTAGAATACAATGGATCTTCAGATTTAAGAACTTAATATAATAAATCTATTCATTATATATTTTACAATTATAATAATTAATTATAATGAAATAAACATACATTAAAAGCATCTTGTTAATAATCAAATACCAACTTTTTACTTGGAATTTTAGATATATTGTTATGAAGTAAGAAATTATAAAATAGTATTCTCATTAAGAGAATACTATTTTATAATTTCTTACTCCATAAAAAGTTATTTTAAAATAATTGAAAAATAAGATAATTTAAAATTACTTTAAGAAATTCAATTTGTGTCTATTCTCGAGAGAAAGCATCAAAAAGCAAATTTTTTATTAAAGAAATAATTATATTATTTTAAGTAGATTAGAAATAGATGTTAATTTTTTATATAATTTAACTACTATCAAGAAAAAGGTTTAGCAATAAATCTATAAGAGTAAAAGAATGCCTTAATTTATGATATTTCAGCATTATGAACTTTTTTTCAGACTTAGAATTGATCCTAAATTTGGCTTATTTGCATAGGTTTAGAATGTTTCATCTTACTCAAATTAAAAGAAATCAACATAAATTAAAATATATCCTACTAATAAACTCTTGCCTGAAATGAATGAATTGAATTTTTTGAAAAATTCACCAAGTTACGTTAGTGAAATATTTATTCTTCTAATGAAGACAATCTAATTCTCGAATAGAAATTAAGGATCTTGCAAAGTGAATCAAGTTTTTTTATACAATTCAATAAAAAAAAAAAGAATTTACTGAATATAGGATTATAAAAGAGAAAATTTAATTATTGAATTATTTGTCATTATAAAATTTATAATAATAAAATCCTGAAAATATTTATGTCAAAGCATTATGCAATCATCATCTTCTTCTATTTAGCCAGGGTCATTTAAATTCTTTACAGTCACATATTTTTCATATTGTTCTTGTTTTGATAAGACCTTAATTTCCTTTTTATCTTGAATTTAATTCATACATTTACTTTTTGGTTTCTCTTGTAATGATTTGTATAATTCCTTGATTCTTAATTAATCTTCTGCCTTTAAGGTTTACAATCGAAAAAGTGGCAATTCTTATCCTTTTTCTCCAGTAGGCCATTTTTTAATGCAATGAACATGATACCAAACCTTCTTATCAAATTATTACCCTGAAATTATTTGAATTACAATTATACCTTCATCTTTTCTTAAAAATATATGTCCAATCTTTAGTTCATGCTTAAAAATAACTACATGACAAGTTGCACACTTTATTCGATTTGAGAGTGCATATTCGCACTCAAGAAATTGTTTCATCTTCATTTATTAATTATTAAATTATTTATATTGTGCTCATTACTATATATTTAAATGAGACTGAGCTTGTAAAGACTATTCATTAAAGTGCGCATATACTTTAAAAGAGTACTAACTTAGAATAGGTCAAATCAATGATAGTTTACATAAATGAATAAATAATATTATAATTGCTTAAATAAAAGGAATTAGATAGATATTAACTTTTTTTTGTTTAATTTCTTTAAATATACTTCTAGAGTATTAGATATAGAATCTAAAAGATGATCTGAATATTAAATTTAATTAATATTTTCAAGCCTATGTAAATTATTTTCTTTAAATTTATAGAATTTAATAATTAAATTTGAATGTATATGTATAATTTAAAAAGCATGCTAAAAAAATTTAGTTTAATAGATTATATAAAGGATGAAGTTTTAAGTTTAATGGTACTTTATATGAGTTCAGATTTGAAATGGGTCCAGTAGAGATTTGGGTAATTTTAACAATTTGTTGTAGTATTTACTAGGGTTGTTAAGGTTGGAATAGAGAGTTAAAGAGTGGCTGAATTACTCTTTTAATTTGTAAATTACTGAGTAATATTGAAGAATATATTAGACTCAGAAAAGAATGGTGATTCTAAATTTATCTGCTAATTTAAATACGATTTATGAGATAGAAAGGTTGTCAATAATTTATTTTAAACAAATTAAGAATAGATGGCTTCTTTGTAACAAATGGACAGTAGATCAATTTCAGAGTTTTAGAATGGTTTAAAGGAATCTTAGAGTGATTTAAAAATTTCTTAATGCTAAAGAATTGTGGAAGAAAAGGGTAAAAAATATATGAAGGTGAGTTTCAACACAAAGCAATAACTCTATTACATGGTGTAAAGATAGGGGATGAAAATAAAGGATGTATATAATAAAAGTTAATGATTTGATTAGGCAGCAGAAATTTTGGGTATTAAATACGCAACTGCAAAGACAATTATATTCCTTCAGAGAGAGAAGAGGAGAGCAAAAAGGAAATGCGGTGAAAGAATGTGTGGATATACTGAAATAATTGGAAAAAAGGTTTCACGTGTGAAAATAATTTGCATAATTGCAAATGAGATTGTGCAATAAGAAGATTACAAATTGTGATTAACATATATGCTGAATTCTTATTTCTTATATTGAAAATTTTATAAATAATTTTGAATAAACAAAACTGTGGAGAGATATAATCTAAATAAGAGTAGTATGGTAATTATTGATTATTTTTATTTAGAATTCAGTAATGTTAAATTTTATCATTACTTTCATAAAGATTGTTTACATATTAATATGATAATATATATGTGGATATATATATTATTGATGTATCATTTATTGTTGGGCCACTTGATCTTCTTCAATAAATAATCGATAAGGATTTCTGGATTGTGCATTTTGATCGAATTCTGATTAATCCAAGATACTTTGGGAAGTCTATTATTTTTTTATTTCCATGAGACTTGGAATAGTAGATTTTATCCATCATTATCTTTTCTAATTTAGATAATTTCATCTGCCGAATCACCATCATCATAAGAACCTTCTCCAACTTCTTATGGTTTATTTTTGAGTGATGATTCAAAATCTAAGACATAAGTCATAACAGATTATAGATTTTCAATAGGTTCCCAAGTTTTCTCATTTTCAGAATAACCTTACCATTTAACTTCATATTCAGTACGACCATTCTTAACTCTTTTATTGGTAATAGCTTCAACCATATATTCTTCTTATGAGGATACAGACACAGGAGAGCCTGACATGTTATATATATGAATTATTAAAAGAGAGAAGTNTAAAGGATGAAGTTTTAAGTTTAATGGTACTTTATATGAGTTCAGATTTGAAATGGGTCCAGTAGAGATTTGGGTAATTTTAACAATTTGTTGTAGTATTTACTAGGGTTGTTAAGGTTGGAATAGAGAGTTAAAGAGTGGCTGAATTACTCTTTTAATTTGTAAATTACTGAGTAATATTGAAGAATATATTAGACTCAGAAAAGAATGGTGATTCTAAATTTATCTGCTAATTTAAATACGATTTATGAGATAGAAAGGTTGTCAATAATTTATTTTAAACAAATTAAGAATAGATGGCTTCTTTGTAACAAATGGACAGTAGATCAATTTCAGAGTTTTAGAATGGTTTAAAGGAATCTTAGAGTGATTTAAAAATTTCTTAATGCTAAAGAATTGTGGAAGAAAAGGGTAAAAAATATATGAAGGTGAGTTTCAACACAAAGCAATAACTCTATTACATGGTGTAAAGATAGGGGATGAAAATAAAGGATGTATATAATAAAAGTTAATGATTTGATTAGGCAGCAGAAATTTTGGGTATTAAATACGCAACTGCAAAGACAATTATATTCCTTCAGAGAGAGAAGAGGAGAGCAAAAAGGAAATGCGGTGAAAGAATGTGTGGATATACTGAAATAATTGGAAAAAAGGTTTCACGTGTGAAAATAATTTGCATAATTGCAAATGAGATTGTGCAATAAGAAGATTACAAATTGTGATTAACATATATGCTGAATTCTTATTTCTTATATTGAAAATTTTATAAATAATTTTGAATAAACAAAACTGTGGAGAGATATAATCTAAATAAGAGTAGTATGGATTGATTATTTTTATTTAGAATTCAGTAATGTTAAATTTTATCATTACTTTCATAAAGATTGTTTACATATTAATATGATAATATATATGTGGATATATATATTATTGATGTATCATTTATTGTTGGGCCACTTGATCTTCTTCAATAAATAATCGATAAGGATTTCTGGATTGTGCATTTTGATCGAATTCTGATTAATCCAAGATACTTTGGGAAGTCTATTATTTTTTTATTTCCATGAGACTTGGAATAGTAGATTTTATCCATCATTATCTTTTCTAATTTAGATAATTTCATCTGCCGAATCACCATCATCATAAGAACCTTCTCCAACTTCTTATGGTTTATTTTTGAGTGATGATTCAAAATCTAAGACATAAGTCATAACAGATTATAGATTTTCAATAGGTTCCCAAGTTTTTTCATTATCAGAATAACCTTACCATTTAACTTCATATTCAGTACGACCATTCTTAACTCTTTTATTGGTAATAGCTTCAACCATATATTCTTCTTATGAGGATACAGACACAGGAGAGCCTGACATGTTATATATATGAATTATTAAAAGAGAGAAGTATTTGAGTGGGTAGTTAAGAGTGTGTTAAATGTCTGGTTTTAATTTGTAATTTAAGAAAATATAAAATGGCTATTGTAGAAGCTGCCATTTAGACAGAAGGAACAGGGAGATTTGAATATTAAGATGGTACAGTATATGAAGGCTAATGGAAATTGATAGAGGGTAAAAAAGTTAAACATGGTAAAGGTAGAATAGTGATAGCAAGTATAAAATATTGGAATGATATTAAAAGGTTCATTGTCTACAGATAATGATTTGAAAGAAGAATATAATGGAGAATTTGAGAATGATTAAATGTGTGGAGAAGGAGTATATATTTATAAATCAGGTGCAATATATAGAGGACAGTTTCGAGATAATAGACATAATGGAATTGGATTTTATTAATTTCCTGAAGGTTGTACATATGAAGGTGAATGGGTAAATCATAAAATGCACGGAGAAGGTGTATTTATTGATAAAGAGGGTAATAGATGGGAAGGAGAATTCGTTGAAGGAATTTATCAATCTAAAATGTAAAAACAACTTAAAATGGAAAAAATGTTAAATAAAAAGGAAACTGATATACGTGAAAATGCTTCACATTTCTTTAATCGTTTTCTAGATGCATATGCACATTCTGATAAAAAAACTATGAAAGATAATATGACTCCATTCTTTGCAACAACAGAAGATATTAAATTATATGTCAAGGAACCTTATCCACAATTTCCAGATCGCCCACCTGAAAAATGGGAAGCTGCAATTAAATTCTTATAAGTAGGTTCCTTAAATATACCTCGCTCTAATACTGCTGCTAAAATCTTAGATCCTTAAAATATTTTAGCTGCTCAATTTAGTGGAGTTGGATAAGTAGCTGAAGTTATCGTTCAAGATAATACTAGAATCGTTAGATTAGCTATATGCAATACTGCTGAAGATAAATGGGTTATTGTATTTTATCATGACAATGAAGAATAAGAAGTTAAAAAAAAAAAATGAAACATATATTAAAATAATTAAATTATGCCACCTAAAAAAGAAGAAATCGATTTGAATGCCTTGCCTCCTCTCAAACATCTATGTGTCACTATTAGAATTGAAGCAGCTAAATCAAGAGCAAATAAACTACTTAACCTACTCAAATCTTGCAAATCTTTTCAAAAAAATATATAAAGAGATGAAATCATTGCTTTTTGTAAAGAAAAATAATTATATGTTGATCCTGCAACCTTAACTGATAAATAGAAAAAGGTATATTTATTTCAATATTCAGGATCCTAAATTTATGGCTGAAGTTTCTACAGAACTTACATCTGAAGTTATGAATAAAGCATTTCACTTGTTCATTTAAGATCAAGTACTTGCTCTCCGAAAAGCCAAATATTTAGCTGCTCAAGCTTAAGCTGCTGAAAAAGCTGTACCTCCCAAAAAAGATGATAAAAAGGACACTAAAAAAGGACCTAAAGAACCTGTTACAGTTGCACCAATTGTTGAACCTGAAAAGATTGCTCCTGAAAAAGATTATCCCAAAAATTTTGATATGCTTTTCATTGTTTAAGGATTTCCTCAAGTACCTTAAGAATTTATAGAATTAATAATACATGTTAAAGAGAGAGTAATTAATTGGGGTGGGCTTGATATAAATTAAATAGAATAGCCTGAAGATTTACAAGATGATTTTGAAAGGAGAATTGAAGACTTCGTTCCTCCTCCTCCTATCAAGCGATAATATTCTGAAGAATCACTTAATTATGCTGCCTCTGAAAGGAGTCTTATTGATTAAATAAAATCTGCAAGAGTCACTTCGCTACCTTCTGATCCATTAAGATAAATGACTATCAAAGAGCTTATTTTAGATATAGACTTAGATGCTGAAGAAGAAACAATTAAATAGTTCTATGAAACTATTTTTGAAGAAATTTGCTAATTCAGCATAGATCAATAATAATATACAGAATGGATTTCTAATAAAAAACCTATCTAATTAATAAACAAAGAATGTCCAAAAGATCCTTTTGATTAAGAAGTTGAAAGAATTAAAAATGAAGCTTAATTAGCAGAAGAATAACAAAAAGCAGTAGAAGAAGCTCTCTTAGCTGAAAAAAATAAAAAAGGAGCTAAGAAAGAAGCAAAGAAAAGTGAAGCTGAATTGGAAGCTGAAAGATAAGCTGAGGTTGAGAAGCATAGATAAAATGAATAAAGAAAATAATAAATATAAGATGCTATTGATTAATAATAGAAAATGAAAAAAAAATTACATCTATAATATTACAAAAGATAATTATCAGATGTTTAATTATAAAAGATAGGACCTGGAATTATGTTAGAATGTTTATTAGATTAATTATAAACAGAATCTACATATTTAAGTAATTCTTAAATACCTCCTAGTCTTGAAGACTAGGAGGATGCAGATCAAGTTAACAAAATTTTGGTTAATTTAAGAGGATAACAAAATGAATAAATAAAGAGTAGAAAATAAGAGTAAGTAATAGAATCTCCTAAATAATTGATATTAGATGAATGTGATTGGATTGAGATGAGAGCTTATTTTGCTTAATTACATGATCAATAATCAATTGTTGAAAGAGAACATAAAATCTTTGATAATCTTTGTTATCCAGGAATAGACAGATAAGGTATGCCAGAAATACCAGAGAAATCTGAGAAATTGAGAAAAGCTAACAAATCAAAATTACATCCATTTGTTAATGTAGATGTTAATGAATTTGAGAGGAGATAATTATTATTGTAATTCGAAGATTTGTTAAAGGAAAATGAACCTGAAAAAGAATGGCATTTTGGTGATAGAGTATATATGGAAAGACATAATAGAAATACATTAAGATAGAAATTCTATGAAGCTTTGCTACATGATCCTTAAGTTATTACTAAATATTTACCAGATGATGATGCACTTATGATATGTTTTTATTATAAAAATCCTCCTGGCAGAACTTTAAGAAAAAAATGGTCCGCAGAATGGAGAGTATTACCTAATCTTGAATATTATATATAGGTAAGAAATTTCAATAGTGATTATTTTTATGATATTGATTATCAAAACATTGGAGCTATTACTGAAAGATGTAAAATAATGTATCCCACAGATAATTCCTTAATTTTAGCTACTAAATTTACAGTTGGAGAAAAGGAACGTCTTCGATATAGAATCATTAAGGAGAATGTTGTATTTGGAATTTAATGTGGATTTTATGCATAATTTAAAGAGCAAAGAATGAGTGTATAAGATCAAATTATGAATTTGACATTTAAGAATGGTTTATGTTTAAGATTCACTTAGATGGGAGAAGTTGTTTAATAATATCTTTACCATAAAACTTAAGAATAATCATCATCAAATTAGTTCAATCTCTATGATAATACAGATATCAATTCTGAATAAGAAATAAAAAGAGTTATCACAGGCCAAGGATCTGTGATAATTTATAAAAAAGATGGTACTATATTTGTTTTATATTCTAATGGTAATGTTTCTTGTTATAAATAAAATATGTGGATAACCACAAATAATAAAGGATATAGATAATCATTAAAGGGAGTAGAAAAGATTCCTTGTGCAATAAAAACAGATCCTGAAAGTGGATCTAAAGTTTATATACGAGATGATCAAACTTTAATTATATATTATAAGGATGGATCATAATATACATAACATTAGGATGGAACAATAATGTTTATTAAAGGTGATAAAATAATAGTAGAACATCCCAATTTTGCAAGTGTAATAGTAACAATTGATAAAGCTAAATAACGATAAGGAACTATCATTAGAAAAAATAATTTAAGTGTTGGATTTGATAATATATTTGAAAGAAGTTTTGATGGTAGAGTAGTTGAGACATTTTATTAAGGATGTAAGATAATTTCTTTTCTTGAGAAATAAGAAGTACCAGATTCAAAATAATATAAAACTAATAGAGTTCATCTTCTATATACATAAGACGGAAGTGTAAGTAAATGTGTAGCCGATGAAGAAGTGGTTATCATAACTGCTGAAGAGAGAGTTAGATTGAATAGTAAAGGAGAAAATAGATAGCTTGGCTAAGATATTGATTTTTGGATATAGTTGTTTTCCTTATCAGATTAAAGAAAATCTGGTATTTATACCATAGATTTATAGAGGAGATGTATATTCACTAAAGATGATGAATAAAATTACTTTGAAATTGATGAAGATGGTAATGTAGTTACTAAATTATCTTCTGCATCACCTTCAATTATGGAACCCATAACTCCTGATTAAATTCCAGATGGCATTTTTATAGATGAAGATAATAAAATATTACCTACTCCTAAATAATGGATTCCTCCTCGATTATTTTTAGTCAGAAATGACAATACTGGAATTGAACTCTATAACTAATTCTAATTGTAAGATTACTTTAGATTAAAATCTGAAAATCCTTTCTGTTCTAAACTTAATGAAGAATTACCTAATAATGTCAAATCTATCTCTTTCATTACTGAAATAAAACAATCACATAAGAAATTTATTGATGTTAAAATTCCTTAGACTTTAGACATTGTACCAAAAACAATATAAAAAACTACTATTATTCCACATAGAGTTTTTACTTTTCGAAACTTTCTAGAATATCCATCTTTTGATAAAGAAGAACGAATTCATCATGATATTTCTTTATAGAAATATGATACTTGGTATAAAAATATGCTTAAAACATAAAATGAATTTGGAATTCTATAAAAATCAGATGAAGAAAAAGAAATTGAATTTTAAATTTAAATGAAAATTCTAGAAAGTAGAAGAACTGATTATTCAACTGAATCATATGATTAAGCAAAAAGTAAAATTTAAATACCTGAATAATAAATTACTGCTGTTGAACCTCTAGAATAAACTTTACTCAAAAGTGCTAGAGTCTAGTAGACAGTGTAATAGGCATTTGTTGATTTATCAAGAAAAGTTTAGACTATTTAAATTTAAAAATAATTAAAGCTTTTCACTGAAGTTAAAGGATTTGCAAATCACTATTTTGAAACAAATGAAGGTCTAGAATATTTAAAATTCGCTCCTGAAGAACAACCAATTAAAAAATAAAGACAAAAAGTTGTCTAAATTAATGATGAACCATAATAGCTTCAATAAATTGAATAATTTGATAATCAACCTGAAGGTATTGTACCTTTAGAATAACCACCTTTGCCATAATATAATAATCTTACAAAAGTTGTAATTAAACCTTCAGTCTTTACTTAAGCTGAAATAGATGAAGAAATGAGACTAAAAAAATTAAATGATGATTCAGTTAAATATAGAATGGCTAAACGAAAAGATATAGATGTCTATGGAAAATAAAGAAAAGATAATAAACTTGTTCCTTGTTTATTAAAAACTAATCCAAAATTAGAACTTAATCAAAAATATATATTAACTGATGCTACCACTGATAATCGTGTTAAAATTAGTTCTATGGCTACAAGAGTATATTAATAGGCTGCTCCTGTTAGTCAAATAAGAAATGAAGGCATGCATCAAACTATTATTAGAACTCTTGATAAGAAAAACAATTTAGATGAATTAATAGATAAAAAGAACCTTATGGTTACTGGAGACATCAATGATAGATTAAAGAAAGACCTTCTAATATATCCGATTACTGTCTAGTTCGGAGAACTAAGATAAAATGGAAAATATGAATATAAAATTAATGTTAAAAACGAAGACATTATGGCATAGAGAATTGTCTTAAAATAACCTTTGAATTATAATATTAAAGTGCTTATGAAATAAATGGGATCTGTAAATATCTATATTAATTTTTTTTTAGATTTCCTTAGGATTAGTCAGAGAAGTCTTCATACAAGTTACAACAGAAAAGTTAGGATAATTTTCTGATGAGTTCTAAATCTTATCTAAGCATTCTATTTATACTATTCCAATCAATGGTAATGTACTTGAATAACCAATATTTGATAAACTTAATTCTGAACAAATTAAACTCTCTAATAAACCATTATTGAAGAAATAAGTTAAAGATTTATAATAGGTAATATTTTCAATTATTCAAATTAGTAATTAAAATAATAAGATATTATTGGAGATAGTTAAGATTCAGATTTGCTTCCTAAAATTAACTATGACAAAAATTATAGAATTGATCCATTTCAAAATCAAAAGAAAGAAGACTTATCATATGAAGATGAAAATTGATTGCAAATTATCTATATGTGATATCATCAAGCTTTTTTATCCGCAAAAAATTATTAAAATTATTCTTCAGTCATCCACTTCCCTAATTAAATATCATTATTAGTAGTATCTAAATATTCCTAAAGATTGTTGCTTTTCTCTTATTTATTTCCCTTTAAACATGGATATTTTGGAGGAGGCTATTGATATTTACCATTTTTTATCATATGATGACGATCACTTGCAAAATAATCCAAATATTTTTATCCTTCCACTACTCTGAACAAACTTTTCAAGGTAGCTTAAGGTTTTTAAAAACCCAAAGCTTATTTAAAGTATGTATTAAAATCACACTTCATTGGTAATGTGCTATCAAAATCATAAACATATGAATTCTGACTTATTTTTCCATTAGTTTAAATAGTGTGCTTAGCCACCATAATCACATGATAATCCCAAATTACTAATGGAGAACTTTTTTAACATTTAATATATGTTTGCTAAAAGGGATTTGTGATCAAAACAGCATAATATTATATAAGATGATCGCATTTCTCCTCTATCATATCTTTAATGAGATTGTAGATATTTTCTTCGCAATAATATGCCGTATATTAATGCTATTTCATTAAATGATAAATATAAAATAATAATAATAAAATTATTCATTTAAAATGGTTTTTACCTTTAAATTCCAATTTATGAAATAAATATTTCCCAAAATTTTTAATAATAAATTTTAGAAATAATCTTATTCTACTAATTTAGTTATGCAATCTTTTATATAGTTAAGAATTTTCAAACTATTTTTAATGTCTATTAATATTTTATTTTTATTATAATACATTTGATTTTTGCTAATTTTCTTATGATAATAATCATGATTTTTTTCTTTTTAAAGCTTTTTTGAAGTTATATTAATGTAATCATATATTTTATTGTTAAAAGACTTTCATCTACTTCAAGTTATTATTCTTTTTTTTTTTTGAACATTCTTATTGATAATTTCAATTTCTAAAAAATTTATTCATTCAGAATAATAGATTGATCTAAGTCAGTTTAATATATTCTAATTTAATAGATTCTTCCCGAGATTAATTTACATTTTCATAATGAAGTGAAGAATCATTCCATCATAAAAATAATACTTTCAGCATCTATTTTACAATAAATAAAGATGCCAAATCAGTTAATTTAACAATAAATGTTTTTGGCATCAAGTATTTTTATTTATGATGTATATTTAGAAAAGATGATTAAAACTAATTTCAATATATGCAATCTATGTTGTATCAATACATATAATCCTTAAATCCATAATAAAAATAGGTCAAATAATTTCACTCCTTAGTATAATAAATCATCTATGAAGGTTTCCTGATAAATACAAATTAATATCTTAATGAGCTATAGTAATTCAATATATAAATTGAAAGTTCTACGCTTGTATTTGCATGTTGCTTTTTGTTTTCCTATATTGTTTCAATTAATACAACAACATAATTAAATGCAATATTTCTTCTCATTAATGTTTTTTATATAATACTCTTATGTATACACTCTAAACTATTTTTATTGATTAAAGTCTTTGCTAAGCAAGGAAAATGTACATTAGTTTTATAGACACGATGATATGTCATAATGAATTGAGAGGGTAGAATTTTTGCATAATCTTAGTCATTATCATACATATTTATTCAAATTAAACAATCTCCATTGTAATTATTCAATATCTGTTTGATAGCGTTGTCTCTTGTGAAGGTACCAAAAATTTGTAGGCATCGTTGAAACTGCTTCAGTCAATCTGCTTATTTTATTTTAGAGGCCTTGCTTATATAGTTGCTACATTGCAGGATTGTGATCCTTAACCCTTTAAATTTCCCATTTTTACAAAGCATTAAATAACTTTAGGTCTCTATCACGTTTACATTCTAAGAATTTTTTATATTCTTTTGGACAGGTCATTTATGCACCATCTTAATATGTACATCTAATTAGATCGAAGAATTCGACTTCACAGATATTTTTAGGGATGAGTTCGGAAGGGAAATCTTTTGGTAAAGAAGGACTAGGTTCAGAAATAAGATCTTTAGGCATAGAGCCTCTTTCAAGTTCCATAATAGTTATTTTAATTAAATCACATCTTAACTTTTTTGATAGGTTTGTGCAGTATTTTTGATGGTGTTTTCGCCTTTTCAATAAATTCTTTAACCTTATCATTATCTTTAAAGAGAGTTGACTTTTTTAGATTTTCAGCAAAGGCTCCTGCATCTATTTTCACAGTATCTTTAACACATTTGCATATTTTAGCTTCTAATAATAAGGGTAACCAATTTAGAGTAGCTAAATTGACAGCTTCTGCAATATTGAATCCACAATTAAAACCTTAATGGTAAGCTCCAGCAAAAATGAACATAAATTCACCTTCATGATGAGCCATTTTGGAGATTCTAATTTGAGGAACTTTTTCTTTTAATAAATAAGGATTGATAACTGTAGTTTTATGTCTTAAGAATTCTGAACATTTATTAAAATGATCTCCGTATATTTATTTAGCATATTTTTCTAATAGATGACTATCTGCTTCTGGAATAGAATACCAAAACCTAATAAAATTAATAGATAAGTTTAATACTTATCTTTTCCAACATGGAGATAGTTGACACTGCATAAATCTAGATCTTCTTTATGCCAAGCGAAAAACGTTTTCCATGATCCAACATAAATATAAGGTTCATTTACTCCAGGTATACGGTTTTTAAGTCCATAATTTAAAAGACTAGTGACATTATTGAGATTCCAAGAATTGTTTAAATCCATTAAAGATAATTTAATATCAGCTCCATATAAAGGGGGACTAAAGGCTAGACTTTTCCAATATAATCTCTCAAATTGATCAGATGTTAGTTTTTCATGTTATTTATCAATCTCTAATTATTTATTTCTGTAATCTTTTAATGGCATAGATTTTTTGAGAATATGAAGACATTCATAGTTACCTCCTTTACCATAAACATTCTACTCTATAGGGCCTTGGATGATAAGATTGTCAAGTGATTTATTATAATCCTATTAACGAACTCTAAAGTTCTTAGGAGGAATGACCTGTGATTTTTTATACATTATTAGAATTTACTTTCACCATACCAAAGTTTGCTGAATACTATTTATCAATTTTCTCTATATATTCATAAAAGTTATCAAACTCTTATTGTGTAGGTCTTAAAGTTGGACACTCTTCAATACTAATCATGTTTAAAATAATTCTTTAAAAATCTTGCAATCAAACATTGTCTTTCAACACCCCGGTGTGAACAATATATATATATATTATTTCGCACGCTTCTCTCATCCTACATCAATTATCCTTATCCTTCTTTTACTTATTAAACTCCTTATTTATATTGTTAATTGTAACAACTCTCCTTACCTCCCCACCCCCCACCAATATATTAATTAATTCAAACATTAGAATCATTTCATCATATCTTTCCTAATCAATTAAAAAATAATGTTAATACAATCATTCCTCAAAACCTCTCTTCCCACTTAAAATCAAGTATCAATTGATAAATTGAAATTCCTTCCCTCTTTCTTTTCTTATTAATATAATCCCCGCCAAATATGACAATAATTTTATTCAATCTCTTCATTATTCTTATCGATGAACATAATTTTATTAACTCAATAGATTCTTCCTCTTTTTGAAGTCTTAATGAGAAGTCAATCTGTTATTTATAAAATTTTCCAAGGAACTCCTCTAATTAAGATGTTAATCTTTACTAACTTCAGGTTTACCTATAAATTAACTCAAATAGGTAGCTTTACCTTTTTTCTATATTTTAACTATCTTTTCTATTGTTGTAATTATCTCTAATTTCAAATCTATATTCTTGAATGACGTCTAGGATTAATCATCTAAATAGTTTAAATTTCTCCATTTTATTCGTATTTTTCAAAAGAAGATCTTTCTAATTGAATAAAGTGAGTAATTATATTAGATATTACTTAGACTACTAAAGTTGATGACAACTAATATGACAATTAGTATAAAATTATCATCTAACTTTTTTCATGATTAAGAATCATAATAAATTTATATTATATTACATACTACTCTGAATATTATTATACATAAACTTAAGCTTGCTGTATATCTATTAATTAAAATGAATAATACTGCACTTGCCTAAATCAGGAAATTATAAACTGGGGAAAACAGATATTGCTTTGAGTGTCAGACAGGAAGTCCAACATGGGCTAGCTTACCATATGGAATCTATCTTTGTTACAATTGTTCAGGGTTTCATAGAGGAATGGGTGTTCATCTTACATTTGTAAGATCAATTGAAATGGATTCATGGACTGATAAATAATTGGCAATGATGCATTTAGGTGGAAATCAACAGTTAAGAGTCTTCTTTTAATCACATGGAATTCAAATTACAGATTCTAATAAATGGAAAACTAATGCTGCCCATTATTATAGAGAAAAAGTAAATTATCATATCTCTAATTATTTAAGATGAAGGCATAAGTTAATGAAACATAGATGCCTGAAATACCTAATGATTGGACAGCCATTCAAGAAACACCAAAACCATAAATTTAATAATAATTACCTTTAATTTAACAAGAACTTCCTTAAGAATAAAATGTAGACATTATCGCTTATCATAGTTCTGGGAATAAGCATCAAAAACAACAAAGGAAGCGTTTGTTATTTTCGATGAGAAGATTTCTAAAGTTCAAATTAAAGAAGAAGCAGTATAATTTGGATAATCAATTTCAGCAAAAACTAAATAATTCGGAGTAAATCATCATAATAATCATAGGAAAAATCTACTCAAATTGCAGATAAGGCATATAAGAGTTTAAAAAGTGGATTTAATGAGGCATTTAGTTTTATAAAATAAAAAGCAGATTAAGTTATTGGAAAAGATAAATAATCATAGCCAGATTAATAAGTAAATTAGTAATAATAATAATAATAATAGTAATAATAATAATAATAATAATAGTAATAATAATAATAATAATAATAGTAATAATAATAATAATAGTAATAATAGTAATAGCAATAATAATAATAAAAATAATAATAATTATAGCCACAATCTTAATCCTAATACTAATAATAAGATAATTATTTTTTTGATAATCAATTATAAGGCTATCAATTTTAGATTGATAATTAAAACGATAAGCAAATTAGAGAGAGTTAAGATTTATTTTCTTTTGAAAATAATGATAAATAAAATTCTCCTCCAAAAAACTAGAATTAATAATAATAATAATTGAATATAATGGATTATTCAGATTATTTCAATGATGGACCTAATTCAACTGTTATTTATGAAACTCCCATAAATAATTAGTAGAAAATTTAGTCTGAAAATTTAATTGATTTAATGCAAGATATAAAATAACCTCATCAAATAAGTGGTACACCCAATTTACTTGATTTATGAAATTTTTCTTCATCACAGCATCTATTAAGATTTATTGTTTTGTCATTATTAATTTAACTAAGGAAATAGGATTCATATGTTTTTGTTGGTGAGGGAAATGTTTTTCTAAGTTTAGTTATTCTTTCTTCACTCAATAGTTTTTTTATTTCATAATTAGGATCTTCGTTCTCTTAACTAATTGTGATTGTCATATTTGTTTTTTTGGGTTAAGAACAAGTTATACCCATTAAATTTTTATCAGTTAAAATAATATTAATATAATTTATATAATTATTAATAATTGTAGAGTGTTGATATTTCAATTTGTTCATATTTTTTGTTTTTTAATTCAAAATTAATGGCATAGAATGATTCTGAAGCAACTAAACAATCTAATAGTCTTCTTTGTGGATAAAAGAGAATACTAAAAAAATAAGGACACTGGACTGAAATAGAACATAAAACTTATCTTAACTTTCTTGAAGAGAACAAAAATCACACCAAGGGATAAAGATTATTTAAGAAAATGAGTTAAATAGTAGGCACAAGAACTCCAAGTTAGTGTAGGTATAATAAAACTCTATAAGATCGCATCATCAAAAATTCAACCCATAAAAGACAAAGTGCCTTTCAGAAACGGGTATATGGAGATCCAAATAGTATGCTAGAAAATATTTTGCCTTACAAAAAACTCTAGACCAAGATAGCAATTGATATTTATACTAAAAGATTCCTAAGATTAGAATTTTGTATTTTCATCAAGCATCTTAAGAAGATTAATTGTAGCAAAATTTAGATAAAAATATGGTCCTCAAAATCTTCTTCCCTTCTTTGAATTTTTTGATCGTAATTATTAACTTTCCTCAACAAATTATTCTGTATTTGTATCTGCTTCTCTTAATCCAAAATCCTCATCTCTTTAACGATTATACTTGACATCATTATAACTAGTATAATTTTATGTTTATTCTTCTTTTTTATTTGAACTCATTTTTCTACAAGATCTGACAAATTACAATTCTTAATAATCTAATTCATTTTCAGTCTTCTACTTTTTATAAATTTCTAGGGAGTTTTTTTTTAAAGTTTTATACTTTTCAGCATATTTTCTAAAATTAAGAATATATAATTTACTCATTCCACATTTCGATGGCATCTTTATAGTCTTTCATTTTTCTCTCATAATCAACTTCTAATTATTCTCTAACTCTTTATGATTATTTCTGATAATCTTAAACTAATAGTTAAAAGGATTGTTTCCAATTATAATTTTTTAAGGAAAATTTATGCCTATTTTTAATTATATATTCAAATTAAGGAGTGAGTGGTCTTTTTGGTTTTGAAGGAATATTTTTGAATTCATTCCATTGTTTGATATGATTTTGATTTCCTCCATAAAAGTAGATGAGCTACTCTTAAAATTTATCTTCACATTAGTCAAATTAATCTTCGTAATACTCATGCATTTCAGATGTCATATCCTACCATGTTTTTTATATTTGAGCGCCAACCATATTTATTCCAATCCCTTAGTTTAATAAGATTTGAAGTTGCTCTTTGTAAAATATTTGGTAAGGGGAAATGTATTATCTTTTAGGAGGTTGGTTTAACTTTCCACTTCGAAGCTACATAAATTTAATTTAACAATTACGATAATAAATGGCGGATTTTTATATCATTTATACAAATAAATCAAATATTTAAGTAAACAAAGGAAAGCGAAATATATTTTATAAATATAAACTACCTATATATATAAATAAATTTAACAAAGGTTAGAAGATGTTAAATACAAAAAATGTTTATAATGAATATTATTTTAATTTTTAAATTAAATGAGATTAAGACTAGTGTGTAGATAATTTTTTAACACATCGAAAAAGGCACCACCAAAACCTTCAAGTATAATGGGTGCATAACTTTCTGAAAAACAGATGGAGGAATTAATGAATCCATTAGGATTTTTAAAAGAAAATGAAAAGAGTGAAGTTTAAGAATAAATTGAGAAGGCAAAAGAATTAAAGGAGCTAATATAGAAATATAAAATAAATAAGACCTTATAGAGTGGAGATCAAAATAAACCTTATGAATTAGATAAAAATGGGATGCCACCTGAAGTAGGATTTAAAGTTAAAGGTCCAGAACCAACAAGATATGGAGATTGGATTGGAAGGGGTCGAGTAACAGATTTTTGAGAGCTATAATATTTAGATATTATTTTAATTTAAAATAAATGGAGTATTGTGATTTTTGTAGAGCTGTATTGAATTAGAGATATTTATTGGATGACTAGTTTGCGAGATTCTAAAATGAATTGGAATTAGTTGATACATAATCGAAATTGTTAAAAGAGGAGAATGGATTATTAAAGAGTAACATTAAAGTGCCTAATAAATCAAGACGTAAAAACAATAGGACGAAGGTCGAATTTGAATAGTGTTAAAAGGAAATTGAAAAATTGCAAAGGATAATCTAACATAAAGATATGATTATCCAGAGCCAAGTACGATGTGATATAATTAGTGAAAGCTCAATTATAGATACCGACAAAGTGAAGAAGAAGGTGAATCTTTGAATATAAAAAATGTATATATGTCATATACTAATTTCAATGTTAGAGAGTTTTATGGAGTTTAACATGTGAAGTTCAATTTTCTTATTCAATTCAATAGTTATAATGAAGTAATGTGGTTATTTTAAATTAGAGTAGAGTTTCAATTATGAAAGTCTCTTCATACACTTTGTCATTTAAATTGTGATCTAATACACTTGATAAAGAACTTTTGCTTCCTTTAAAGGAACCTTCAAAATGTATACTAAAACTTTTATTAAAAAACTTCTACTTTACAACTCCTACATTGCTGTAGATAAAAAATTATAAATAACGCAAAAGTCTTTTAGAATGCATGTTCCCAGTTAAAGGAGTAGCGGTGATTCTCTGCAAAGTAAGTAATCTAATAATTTTACAATCTAATAAATTGAAATGATTACTTAAGATAATTCCTATAACATTTAAGCCAAAGGATATAATATTTAGATTTGAACAAATAATTCATATTGCAAAAACTTTACAATATTGCCAGTTTCAATAAAATCAATTACTTCTTTGTAGTAATCGAAGTTCTCACATATTTTGAATAAAAAATTATAATAGTAAATAGCCAATCTTGACTTATCTGTTTAATCACCAGGCAAAAGTTTATTTTATATAAATATGCTTGTGAATTCTTATTAGAGTTAATAGATCAGTTTATGACAAAGAATCAAAAACTTAAAAGAGCCAATCGTACTCAAAGAACTTTGTAGAATATCAAAAAACTGATTGTAATGTTCTTCTTTGTTTTCACCTTTCAATCCATCAACTATGCCTATATTAAGTGGAATACCAATCATACATTCGATATGTAATTCTTATAATTGTGAATACCTTTTACTTTTTTTATATTTCTTTAAGATCTATTATAATCAATATATTATCAATAAAATACATGGATGAAATCAGTCTAAGCTCCTTGTATCATTATTTAGTTAATTTTAGATTTAATGTTCTAATTTTTTTATATATAATATACTTAGGAAAATTAAAATGAGGAAACCACCTCCAAAAATATTATTAGAAGACGATGAACTTGAAATAATTAAAGCTAAAACTCATGATGTACAATTACAAAAGAAACCAATTAGTTTCTATTCCAACATTTCTGATGGTCAAGAATAATTAAGTGAAGGAAAGCTTTATTAATGCGATACTTCATACTCATCAAGTAGTCTTCATAGTTCGAGAACACTTCTAGAAGAATCATAATGGTAGAACTACTAAAAACGTATAGGTAACAAAAAATACAATAATATAAATAGATTCTGAAAGTCTTTCAGAATAGGCAAGGAAAGTGTTTCTAATCCCCACATCATCTACAGAAGAATGGCTGGCCAATTTTACTGAAAAATGTTTACAAGTTGAATTATTTTACAAAGACTCTAATTTTAATACAATTATAGAAACAACTCTAAATTGTGATGATCAATAATTAAAATAAACTTTAGTACTTACATTAGATTACTACACAAATCTAATTACTTTTACATTTTTTTTATTATGGAAAGCAATGTGGAATGAAAATTAATAAGACATGACTTTATTTGTTACAATTTCTAATTCAATCACTGAAATTTTAATATTAATGGCATCTTTAAGAGTTAATGAATTCAGAATAGACTCTTAACTCCTCACAATATTTGAATCTGTTGTTTAGCCTTTCCCTGATAAAAATAACTTTAAAGATTGCTTAGATTCTCAAAGAAGCTCATTAACTATTGATATCATACAATAAAAAACATTCATTCCTTTATTGAAACATAATCAAGTATTACCTTGGTCAACTGATGAAGTTGCTTTTGTTTTAAGTTTTATCAATTAATAGTTTTACACTGATCTTTAAATAAGAAATATTATAATTAAGGGAGGATTAAATAACGTATAATTTTTAATTCTAAATTTAGTACTTTAGAAGAATTAATACAATATCATAATTTATTATATATTCTGTTGTACGCAACCCTTATAAACATGATCGTTAGGATGCTTTAGGATATTGGATTGATTTAGCAGAAAAATTATAATAAAATTATGATCTTGAAGGACTCTTCATTGTTTATAAATATGGAATCCAATTATTATTAAAAGATTATATTGGAACAATGCCAGTTCTATTTAGAGATTTGAATCGAATCCCTAAAATCAATGCATTTTATGAAGAACATATCAAAGATAATTTTAAAGATTTTGAAAATCACAAATAACATCTCTATATACCTTCATTTCATAAATTCATAACCTAAATCAAAAGATTTGAATTATAAGTCAAAAATAATAAGAGTCTTTTTCATAAGATCTCTGATCTAATGTTTTAATTAGTCAAAATTTCTAAAAGACAGTCAATTTTTCACCAATAAATGAGTTTAAAAGTAAACTTACTTCTTAATTATTTAGATCTCTGAAAATGAAGAACAAATGATACACTATTTTACTAAGGGAATTGAAAAAGAGTTAGAAACTAATCTATAAATACCCCTTGACAAAGAGACTTTGGTGTATATAGAATTGATTAAATTGGCAAAGAATACTCATTGACAAAAACTAAATATGAGTTGTTTCCTATATTTTAATATTTATTAACAATCTAATTTAAAAAAGTTATTTCAAGAGAAATCAAATTTTTAGTTATATAAATAATCATATTTAAATTCTATTATTTATAATGAGATATTTAATTTTATATATATTTCCAAAAAAATGAGTAGTTTAACAAATTCAACAGTGAATTTGGAGTATATAGTGAGGGATAATGAAAAATAATTAACAAATGCAATTTTAACAGCATTTATCTTTTTGGAGAATTTTTATGGCTGGCTGTAAAACAAGCATTTAAAAATAAAAAACAAAAAATGGATAGAATCTAAAAATAAAGATATGTGAAATGTGATAAGTGTATTTAGAATATGAAAAGGTTTCTTTGGAAGTCCAAAAAGCAGTTATATAATAAAAATTTATTATTCGCATATATTTCATGGTATATTCAAAAACCTCCTCTTAATTGAATGACCATATGGACAGTATCTCCAGCTTACATTTGAGCATCAGAGATTTTATATTCTTCTTATAAATGTCTTCCCTTAAAGATCAGCTAAACAATAGAATTGGAATATATATACTTTAAATTATTCTGAGCTGATTCCTTCTTTTTCTTATAATTACATTTTAAGTTATTAAATTGTATTATCAGCTTCGATATTGTAAGAAACCTTTTTGCCTGCTAATGTTTTAATGAAAATTTACATAAATAAAATAAAATAATAACAATAAATAAATTTAGGGTGGTTATTAATAAAAAAGATGATAAGAAGCCTGATAAATACTGTTATTTGTTGATAGAAAGTGGTGGAAGAAATGCAATTAGAAATGAAAATTAAATAAATTAGAGAGAGAGAAAGATATTGAATAAATAAATGAGTGATTTATATAATTATGAAGTGTAAAAATAATAAATAATTATGATAATAAAGAGAATTAATCTAAATATTTAGCACAAAATTTAAATTGAATTCAAATTATATAATATTAATGTTAGAGTATCGTTAAAATAACATATAGGTTGTAGTACGAGTAAAGCCTGAATAAGGTTGTATTTAGGTAGATGAGTGTGATTCAACAGTTTTATAAATATCGAACAAGTAATATCACTATGATCATGTGATTCCTCCAATGGCTTCATAATAAGATGTATTCACATTAATAGGTTAACCATTAATAAATAATGCTTTATAAGGTTATAATGGATGTGTGTTTGCTTATGGATAGACAGGTAGTGGTAAAACTCATANCAAGAGAAATCAAATTTTTAGTTATATAAATAATCATATTTAAATTCTATTATTTATAATGAGATATTTAATTTTATATATATTTCCAAAAAAATGAGTAGTTTAACAAATTCAACAGTGAATTTGGAGTATATAGTGAGGGATAATGAAAAATAATTAACAAATGCAATTTTAACAGCATTTATCTTTTTGGAGAATTTTTATGGCTGGCTGTAAAACAAGCATTTAAAAATAAAAAACAAAAAATGGATAGAATCTAAAAATAAAGATATGTGAAATGTGATAAGTGTATTTAGAATATGAAAAGGTTTCTTTGGAAGTCCAAAAAGCAGTTATATAATAAAAATTTATTATTCGCATATATTTCATGGTATATTCAAAAACCTCCTCTTAATTGAATGACCATATGGACAGTATCTCCAGCTTACATTTGAGCATCAGAGATTTTATATTCTTCTTATAAATGTCTTCCCTTAAAGATCAGCTAAACAATAGAATTGGAATATATATACTTTAAATTATTCTGAGCTGATTCCTTCTTTTTCTTATAATTACATTTTAAGTTATTAAATTGTATTATCAGCTTCGATATTGTAAGAAACCTTTTTGCCTGCTAATGTTTTAATGAAAATTTACATAAATAAAATAAAATAATAACAATAAATAAATTTAGGGTGGTTATTAATAAAAAAGATGATAAGAAGCCTGATAAATACTGTTATTTGTTGATAGAAAGTGGTGGAAGAAATGCAATTAGAAATGAAAATTAAATAAATTAGAGAGAGAGAAAGATATTGAATAAATAAATGAGTGATTTATATAATTATGAAGTGTAAAAATAATAAATAATTATGATAATAAAGAGAATTAATCTAAATATTTAGCACAAAATTTAAATTGAATTCAAATTATATAATATTAATGTTAGAGTATCGTTAAAATAACATATAGGTTGTAGTACGAGTAAAGCCTGAATAAGGTTGTATTTAGGTAGATGAGTGTGATTCAACAGTTTTATAAATATCGAACAAGTAATATCACTATGATCATGTGATTCCTCCAATGGCTTCATAATAAGATGTATTCACATTAATAGGTTAACCATTAATAAATAATGCTTTATAAGGTTATAATGGATGTGTGTTTGCTTATGGATAGACAGGTAGTGGTAAAACTCATACATTGATTGGTAATAATGATGGATTACTTCCATAATGTTTGTAATATATTTTTGCTTGTTCTATTGAAGATCCTAACACAATAATAAAGGGTTCCTATTTAGAAATCTATAACGAATAAATATTTGATCTACTCTCTTCATCTTCGGGTTCTTTATAAATTAGAGAAGATCCAAAAAAAGGAATATATGTAGAAAATTTGATAGCAGCTGTGGTATCAAATTATGATGAAGCCATAGCCTTATTAAGAAAAGGGAATTCGAATAGACATATTGCAGCTACTAAAATGAATAGTGAAAGTTCAAGAAGTCATGCAGTATTTTTAATTCAATATTCTACTTCGATTTAATAAGATAAATGTGAAGTACATTTATATTCAAAAATGTATTTTGTTGATTTAGCTGGATCTGAACGTTAAAAGACTGCTTAAACTGAAGGATAAAGATTAAAGGAAACCTAAGCTATCAATAAAAGTTTAACTTAACTTGGATTAGTTATTTATGCTATTGTAGAAAGAGAAAAAGGAAATAATAAAATACATGTTCCTTTTAGAGATTCTAAATTGACTACTCTTTTAAAGGATTCCTTAGGAGGTAATTCAAAAACATTCATGGTGGCTGCTGTTAATCCATTACATGAAGAAGAAAGTATATCTACACTAAAATTTGCAGAAAGAGTTAAACAAATTAAAGTCAAAGCTCATGTTAATAAAGAATATTCTGGGGAAGAAATTACAAAACTTAATCTTCAAATATAATAACTTAAAGAGGAATTACTTAAAAAAACTAGAGAATTAGAAAATGTTTAACCTAGTGATGCCTTATAATCGTAATTACATATGTAATTTGATGAAATTCAAAAACTACTTCAATAAATACATTAAAGTGCCATATAAATGGAACTTGAAACTGTTGAAGGTCAATTATAAGAATATGCTGAAAAAAAGAGTTACATTATTTAAATTTTAAAATCTTTAAATTTATCATTCAAAGAAGAAGAAACACCTAACTATTAAACTTTGAATGAAAATATTGAGTATTAAAATAAATTGAAAATACAATTGTTATAATAGGAGGATGTTATTTATAAATTATAAAAAAAAAAAAAAGAATTAGAGTAAAGTATTATTGATTAACAATCTGCTCATAAAACCATTCTAGCTTCAACATTAAAAGGATTTGAAGATTAAATCAAAATGAAAGATTATCTTTATGATTAAATCAAAGAAGATTTAGATTAATTAGAAATTTCTAAAATGACATTGTAACATCAACATGATGAATTAAAAGAAGAAGTTCAATAATATGTTGATAAAATTGAATAAATGCAAATTTAATTAGTTCAAAACTAATAACATTAATCAAACATTTATGAAGAAAAGTAGCAAAGTATAATAAAACTTGATTAAGATTTATAAAAATAAATTGAATACAACTCCTAATTAAGATTACAATTAGAATAAATTCATGTCGAAATCTTTTAAAACAATTAGGCTTTCTAAGAAGAGACTAATTAATTACATACATAAATTGAATAACAACAGTTAGAAATTAATAGATTATCAGAATGGGTCTAATAATTAGAAGTTGAAAATATCAATATTAAATCAAATAATGATTTTAAAAGAGAATATGATTAATTGACTTAATAATATTCTAATTTAAAAACCTAATATTAGCATTTAGAATAAGAATTGAATTCACTCTAAACTGAGAATTAATATAATTTAAGTGTTATAGAAAATCTAGAAATGTCAATAAAATCCTTAGAACTATTTGAAGATAATTGGAAGTAAGAAAATCAATTATATAGAAACACAATTCTAGACTTGTAAGAAAAACTAAATTAAAAATAAGAAATATTTTTAAACATCCAAAAATAATTTAAATTAGAGAATTGTGAAAATATTATTACTGAATTGAACAATAAAACCAATTAGCTTTATAGAAACGAATAAAAATTAAGATAAGAAATATCATAATTGAAGTCAGAACAATAATTATAACTCTAAAAAATACAAATAAGAGATTAAACTATTTCAGATTTATAAAATGAATTATAAGATTTACAAAAAACTCATAGAACAAGTGAAGTATAGAAATAAATTGAATAAAATGAGAAAACTTAAAGTTAAAGATAATTGGAGTAAAAGATTGCTACTTTGAAGTTAGAATATGATAAGATTTATAAATCTAAAAATGCATTATTGGTGGAATACACAAAATTAGAAAATAATTAAAAAGAATTTGAATCATTTTTAATAATTTTAGAGAAGAAACTATAAGACTATGTATCTAATACCTTTAGAAAAAATAGAGTGATGAGTTAAGAATAATAAATTTTATATCTGAAAACAACACAAATTAAGCAATCCAAATTTGTGGTAATTGAAGCTTTGGTCGATATTGTTATTGTAAATATTTTATAATAAATTTAGTTAGATACAATTGATAGATAGATTAGAACATTTTCCTAAATTAGAATAAATTGATAAATGTGTTATACTATAATAAATTAATTATAGAATTTTTATAAAAGTCAGATTGGAAGTAATTTATTCTTCTTCCATAATAATAAAAAATAATCTATTTATATTATATAAATATATTATTATATAATGAACAAAATAAAGATAATAAATGTTATGAAAAATATAATTAGTATAATTAAATATAAATTCGCAACAAAAAAAATAATAGGATTGGGAAGTCCCTTATTAGATATTTAAGCAGAAGTATCTTAAGAATTTTTGTAAAAATATGGATTAAAATTAAACAATACATTTTTTGCTGAAGAAAAGCATCTTCAATTGTATGAGGAATTATTATAAATTCCAACTCATTCTCATGTTCCTGGAGGTATTTATTTTGAGAAATCATAGGGTCTGCATTGAATACAATTCGATTGGCTAGATGGATGGCTTAAGCATAAAGAGATGAAGTAAAATTTATTGGATGTGTTGGAATGAGAGATAAATTTGCAAAAATGTTAATAGAATCAACAAATTAAGATGGAATAACAGCATTATTTGATGAATAACAATATCCAACTGGAAAATGTGCAGTACTTTTATGCAATAAAGATAGGTATTGAATATAAAAATAAATTTAGATGTTTAATTCCTTTAATAGGGGCATCTGCACATTTAAGTAAAGAATTTGTTGATAAGCATATAGAGGAAGTTAAAACAGCTGCAATATTATTTTGCGAGGTTTATTTTTTATATCCAAGAGCAGAATTAACAAAATATGTTTTTAAAGTTGCATAAGAAAGTAATGTAAATACTTGCCTCTCTTTGTCTAGTGTAAATGCAGTGAGTGATAGATTTAATGAAATTTTATCAATTTTACCTTATATTGATTATTTATTTGGAAATGAAGAAGAAGTAGGTTAATTTGGAAAAAACTTTGGTTGTAAAGGTAGTCTAGAATAGATTATGCAAAAGATAGCAGCTTTTAATAAAGTAGGTGTTAGAGATAGAGTTGTTGTTTGCACTTAAGGTCATAAACCTACATTAATTGCTTCAAAAAATGATTTTTTAAATGTAATTGTAGAAACAGTAGATTCATCAAAAATTGTAGATACAAACAGTGCTGGAGATTCATTTTGTGGAGGGTATTTATTTAAAATATTTAAAAATAGATTTATAGCTTAATTATTAAATGGACCTGATCTAATTAAATGTGCCAAAGCTGGAAATTATTCTGCAGCTTAGACTATTTAACATGAAGGGAGTACTATACCAAAGTATCAACCAGATTTTAAATGTTGATATATAGAATCTAATTGCATGAATATTTTATCAAAATAATATTAATATTTTCTTATTTCTTATATTTTTGTTTATTACAAATAAATATTTAAAATCAATAAAATGTTTTATTATAGTACTCCAAACAATATGAATTATCATCATCTTGTTCTAGAAGTAACTTTAAGATAGAATACTACTCTTATCTTAACAAGTGAATGTCCATCTCATTTTTAAGCTTGTTTACTGAAATAAGGAATTAAAATGGATGACTTAATCAAACAATAAAAACTTTAGTATTATTCTTAAAATATTTAGATAGGATCATAGATTTATTCACTTAAAATTCATTATGGTAAAAAGAAGAATTACCTTTAACTGAAACAACTCCAAAATTATGGTCAGATCCATAACCTTTCTAAGAAGATCTAATTACTTATTTAAAATAATAAGTTAAATAGAGAGTTGTAATTTTGGAAAATTTATCATTTTTTGAAATTATGTGTTATGAAAGAAAAATAAAACCTTTAAAAATAATAGAAGAATTATTATCAAAATGTGATTAATTACATATTTTTGGTTCTAAATAACCATTAAGTTAAGAAAGTGTTTCTCTTATCAATTTTATTGTTAAGCATTCAATTGCTGTTACAAATTTATTACCTAATTAGTCTGGATTCTCTAAAGACATTGATGGTTAAATGATCGTAGAAACTAGACATGATTCAGGAATATGTTTTGAAAAATCAATATATTGTTTAGATTAAAACAAAGTAAATTATTTGAGTGCATTAAAAATGATATGAATATTCAAAAAAATTATTCATTTATTCAAAACTTTTTGCTTTTCTTATTATTCTCTCCTTGCAGAAATAAAGCAATTTCTTTTGTTTGTTCTTTTTATTTTTTCTTTTATTTATTCAATATATCAATTTGCTCTTTTTTCTACCATTCTACTTTAAGAAAAGGTTCTTGTACCCTTCAGCTTTTAATATTCATCTTTAAAACACTTTATCAATATTCCTATTTTTTTAGAATTATCAATTGAGTATCAGTATTATCTCATACTTTATTGTTATTTATCCACTTATATACTTTTAGTTTCTTATTTGCAAAAGTTCAAACAATTATTATTTAATTAATTTAAAATCTTCTTAATAAAGATTATCTATTAAATGCTTTAAAAGTATTTTCTCAAAAAAAAGATAATTATTGTTATCTGTATTACTTTGAAGAATTTTGTTGATTGCAAATTCTAACCGATATTTACAAGAAACTAATCCTCATCTAGTTAATTTGTCTAAAAGTATTAATGTTTAAACATAATTTAATCATCTTAAATAGGTTTAAGTATATTTGTAATTTTTAAGTAGATCTATTAAGATTAAGCTAAAATGAATTCACATCTAATTAAAGAAAATAAATATTATTAATTATAAAAAAACAAGAAAATAATATAAAAATTGGTAAATTGATAAATTTTACAATTAAAATAAACTAAATTTAGATATTAAAAATCTAAGATTCTTCTATAAACTAATAATATTTTGGAAATATTTATTAAGTTAATAGTTAAATTCAAATTATATTGTAATGTATTTTAAGTTGAATGTAAATAAAGGTTTTTGATTGAAATTTATTAATATAAATAAAGAAATATTTTAATTTAAATAATGTTTGTAATTGAAAATATTATACAGTATTTATCATTAAAGTTCAAATTCATTTTGATGAGATTTGTGAAATGTATGTCCTTACAATTATATTTATGTTCCAAAAGATGGCTTATTATGATGAAAACCTACAATATCTTGTGCTGCTGTATTTCTTTTAACACCAATCCTAGTTGATCTGGGAGATTTGCTTGATGAATGAGGCTTCCTAATATCAGTAGATTAAATTTATGGATCATCACTAAAATAAAAATATAAAAAAAAGAAAATACATAAGTTTTAATCTCCTTTTGATTCTTAAAGCTTTATTCATAGCAAGATTATTAAATGTATATAATGAAAAAATATTTCCGAAATTTTTCTTTTTTTCCATATTAAATTTGAGAGTTCTAATAACTCTAGCTACAACAACTTTAGGATTATTCCAACTAAAATAGTACTGAAAATTTTTTAAAACTTCAAAACCCTCTAATTCCATAGATACATATTATTCATCAAATATGGGAATAGATAATTCTTAATTTTAAGTATGTGTATGATTATCTAAAATTTTAGTTTTAAGTGTTTTAGCAGTTTTGCTTCTATTAGTTTTAGTTGTTTTTCTTCTTAATTGATCTCTTTTATCAACAGATTAAACAGATGGGTAGATTGGAATTTCTTATGATAATTCTTTTATATCTTTTAATTTAGATTTTCTAATGGGGTTTTGAATAGATTATCCTCTTTCTCTAGTATCAACTTAAGTTTAGGAAGAGAAAGGTTTATAGGAATCTTCTTTTTTTTATTTACGAACTACAGTTATTTTTTTACCAGGTGTTCTAACAGGTTCAGCTGGATTAGGCAATCCAAGAGAATCATTCTTCATTGAGAATTTGTAGTCTTCTAATTTTTATAAATTTGATTAAGAAAAATTAGATGGTGCTTTATCATGAACAGAATCTGTTTATTATTCTTCTTATATAGATACAAGTCTATTATGAAGAGATTCACTTACACCAAATCCAGCAGTTTAAATAGTTTATTTAACTTACTTAACTCTTGGTTTATTAGGACTAATACTATCTTTAGAACTATCACTTTCTTATATAGGTTATAAATGATTATCTTATGAGTAACTTCTATTTTGAGATTGTTATCTAGATATTTTAGACAGACTTTTAGTGAGTGATGCTAAAGTATTAAATCAAATTACAATATTCTTATGGAGATATATCTTATTCATTATCTTCATAAGATACATCAAGTTCATCATCCATAATTGTCACATTGTCTAAAATTTATTTTGTTTAAAAATTTCTAATCAATGCCATTGTTTTTTTACAATCTTTAAGTGTCTCAAACTTTTATCGTTCACATTTCCTTTTATATGTTTGATCCCTTTCTTAAAAGATTGGATAATATTCTTTTTTCAATATTCTTTCTTGATCTGCCACATAATGTAATACTGGACAATCTTTAATCAAATGAGTGAATTTTTAACAAGAATAACAATTCAACTTAGATGGTTGATAATTACTTGATAGAAGTATACTATCTCTTACTTCGCAAAACCTTTCCTCTTGATAATATATCATAATATACCAAATCAAATGGAGTTTATCCTAATACTATTAGTAATTGTTATCTAGATATTTTGTATGCTCTTGAAAATCCTACACTTTTAGCTGATGCAGTTCTATTCATACCTGTAAAAAATGAATATTCACCAAAAGATTATCCTTTTGTGAGATACGAAAGAACTCGCGTATTACTCCCTTGGTTATCATCTTAAAACTAGATACAAACAATGCCCTTTGTAATTATATACAAGGCAGCATCATCACAAATACCTTATTATATTATTTAATCTTCAGGAGAAAACCTTACTTCTTCAATCTAAAGTGACAGTTACTTCAAAACCTTTTGAGAAAACTTTGTTAAGACTTTATTTGTTTTCATTACATTAAAACGAATTTCAAAATTAAGTTCTTCTTATAAACTACTTGACAATTTAGTTGTAATTTAAGAAACCTCTTCATCATTAATTTCCTGTTCTTCTTAAAATATATAATCATAATAGTTTCTAATTCGTGATTATAATTCAACTTTAATTTAATTCTTCACCAAATATTAATTTAATAAATTGATGCTTTTTTTATATAATACCTATCTAGAATTCAAATTACTTAACATTAATCCTATTGAATTAAAAGAGAAAGCAAATACTCCACATGCTAAAAACATACTAAGATTAGCACAAATTCTTTCAGCATTATTTTATGGAGTTAAATCACCATAACCAACTGTAATCATAGTTTATACAGCCCAATAAAAGGCATAATTATATTTTGAAAACATATCAGCCTCATTTACATATTCATCTATCCAAGTTAATCTATATCCCTGTTAATAAAAAGCTACACCATGCCACAAACATGCAAATAAATGACCAACATACAATACCATAAATAATAATTTTATTAATTCAATGAAATCTTAGTATGTACCAGTCAAATTAAAAAACCTAAAACTATTTATATTTCATTTACTCTTCCAATTTATGCACTCTTCCTTGTAATTTAAATAATCTACAAAAATAATATATTGAATATGGACACAATTGCCATCCTAATTTCTCGCTTGAATTATCAATCTCAAATTCTATTGCAACTAAAAGGGCAGTAAATGAAAACTATTTGTATTTTATATATCTATACCAAATCATAAACTGCTTATCCTTCTAAATAATTCATAAATATTTTTCTTCTAGATTTTATTATTACTCCTTTTTCTATATAAGATGTATTGATCACTATTAATGCATCAATTATTATTGTTATGAGAAAATAGTTTTCAACATTTTTAACTGAAACTCCGGCAAATACAATTTGTTGATAAATGATACCAAAAGATATATTGAAAGGAGTCCAAAAAAATACTGTAATTATTGTCAAAATATGAATTATTTACCATCCTATTACTAAATAGCTACTTTAATCTAGAATTGGAAAAAATCTTAACCGTTTACAAATAGTACTCAACCAATGTTTTGAAGATCTATTATGCTAATAAATATAACGAAGATCATCCATTAAAGTATTTTAAAATTGAGAAAAATGTGATGGCTTCTTAATGTATGATTTTTGTAACATATTTTCTATAAATCTATTTGAATAACTTTTTGCAATGACAGCTTTTAAGAAATTCTTCATAAAATCTTTTTGGATTGTATTTGTTTAAGTTAAATCCTTAAAATCTTTTGTTTCTTTTTACTATTCTGGTTTCTGTGTAGATACTAAAGGATTTTCTTCAATAATAGAGTCAGCAGGGGATAACTACATTATTCTTGGAACTTTATTAACGTCTAATTATTGAGATTATTATGATATAGCATTGTCTATAAATTAACTTCCAACTGTTGGTGGTTTCACTGTATAATCCCCTTCATCTAAAGGATCTATTTTACTAGTAAAACGTGATGGACCTCTAAATTACTTATTATTTGAATCCTCTAAATTACTTATTATTTTATTACCATGATGCTGCTCTATATTGTAACTATAATCATATTCAAGAAAGAATTCAGAACTCATTTATTAATTTATATTACTAAATTCTCAAATTAAAAAGTCTCATACTTTATTTATTAATCAATATCTTATAATACTTCAACTTCTTAGATTATTTAAAAAATAATTAAGAGCCATATTTTACCATAAAATATTTCTTTTTAACTAGTATTTTATTTTTTTAAAACAAAAAATTCTTTGATTTTTGGACTTAATTTAAGACTTTTCATTAGCAATTAATTCACACTATACATTGTTAAATTTGATTCTCTAATCAAGATTCTATAATTTTTTAAATTTTACTTTTACAGAAAAAAATTTGTATTTAACATTAATCATCATAAAAATTTGTAAGAAATTGATTATTATAAAGAATTCGATATTGAATCTCTCCATAAAATTTTAGTTGAATTTTTTTGATCATATGTTATCATATAAATCAAAATTAATTTAATTATTCTTTTTGTAGACTTTCATTTTTTACCAATCTTTTTTCTTTCTAACCCATAAAATTGAGTTATAATCAAATTTTATGATAATTTAATATTTTAAAGAATATTATTTTCTTTTAAATTTGTAAATTCCTTATCTTTTTTTTAACATGACACTTATTTATGAATGTTACCTATCAATTTATTTATTTATTTTATCATTTTCTACGTTTAGAATATAATATATAATATTATAACAAATATTCTGCAAATATCAACTCAAAAAAATTATTATTCTAGTTACAACTATTTTTTCAATGAATTAAATCAAAATATAAAACTTGAGCTATTATTTATATCAAAATAAGTATATTATGAAAAAATAGATAAATTAAATTTATCTGTAAAAAAAAAGTTAGATCAATCTCAGAAAATTTTCAAAAACAACTACTAGTGATTCTAAAATAGATGATATTTTAAGTGTTTTGGATAATAACAAGGAGAAAAGAATTTTGATTCCTTGAAAAAAAGTTTTTAAAATTATATTGTATAACCAAATTTCATCAGAGAAAATATCAATATTATTCATATTGAATATTTTTTAAGTCTACATTTTGAACTCTAAAGTTAAAATAAGAGAACATGTTTCAAATAGGTAATATATTTTATATATATGTTAAATCAATTAATTCTTTCAAGATATTAAATACAGCTGCTTCGAATTTTAATAAACATTTTCATGTTCTGAAGTAGAGTTTGAATGATGATTATATGATTGAAAACTATTATTTAAACAATTTAAAATGAAAAACAAATTCATATTTCCCTACAAATTTTCATCAGGGCGTTTCTGAATTAGAGATGCCATTATGGATCTTTTATCTTTGAATTAAATACATAAGAAACATATTACTTCTTTACAAAATACCAGCTTTAAATTTAAAGAAATAAATACCATATATTTCGAAAGCATTGATGAAGAGAGTTGATTTCTTTATTCTTATGGGGTTTCATTAATTTGATCAAAGTTTCAAGGTTCTATATATTTTTATTTTTCTTAATGAAAGAATAGAATGAATTAGGATGACATGAGATTAGTTAATTATAGTATCCTTTTAAAATTTGCTATGTGATCACTTTAGAAATATTTTTTGGTATGTTTTTAGACTTAGTGGAATTACATAGCCTAGGAGCAGGCTTTTTAATAGGCAGTTTTGTCAAAACCTTCTTTCTCATCTCAATTTTCCAATTAATTCTTCTTTAACTTATTATAGGAGTATCACAGTTTTCGTTATTTTTATTGATTATAGTAAAGCTCTCTTCAAAGGATTGTGTGACACTCATGTTCTGTTTATTATTTAATTATTTTTATGAAAAATTTTAAAGGCCTATTAATACAGCTATCGTTTGGTGTAAATATGTAATAGTTAGTTTTATAACAACTTTTGTTTCGCACTTTGTCTAAATGCAAATAGATAAGGGGATTGGTTTCAATGAATTAGATTAATATTACGCTTAGTATATGATTAAGAATTCAATAAAAAATAGATCTTTAAATAATTAAAACTTATGATTAAAAACTTGCAAAAAATAATGAACATTTGATTTATTGTTAGTTTTAAGAATGAATATTATATTAGAATAAATGCTAACCGTTGAATATCATTTTATAAATTTAATAATAATAATATATTTCTTAATTATTTAATTTTATGCTATCATTAAAATATAAAATTTTATCATATTATTATTAATTATAAGTGTAAAATATCAATATTCTAATTGTTTCTTAAAATAATATTAAAATCATTTTGATTTTTAAGTTACAATTTAGAATAAGGTATATATATAATTTAACTTTAATAAATTTAATACTGTATTGGTTATCGATTTTTTGGCTTGATTATTTTAATTTAAAAAATAACTAAATTGTAAAATAAAAACCTAATATATATAAAATTAGTATATTGGTATGTAAGCAACATATTGCTCTGAAAATTTTATCAGAAATTATCCATTTTAGTTAGTATGTCAATTTTATTTGATAATTAAAAGAACTATTTAAAACTAAGAGTTAAAATAAGAATAACAATTTTTAATTACAAAGTTCTTTTTTATAAAGGCTCAAGATCATTTTTTTTTAAATTGTGAGACAACAACAATTAAAAATATATTAAAAAATTTAATTAAGTTTGAAGGCAAAACCAATCAAATAGATAATTGGAAATTTATTAAATAAGGTTTGGATGAGATTAAATGGGAACTTAACGATACCTAATTTATAAAGCTGTAACTTAATAATATTGGTTGATACCAATTTTATTAGAACTTATAGTATTTTAATCGAAAGCTAAGAAAAGTGATAGATTCATAAAGTTTCTAAAATCAATGGAAATAATCAAAGCAACAAAAACATCTCCAAAAGAAAACAGAATTTTTATAAAACAAAGAAAAGGATTTAAATTAATATGCACTTAAATTTGGCTTAATAATATATACTGTATTTGTTTTTGGGGAAAATACTTTATTTAATACAATTAATTGATTTTTGCCTTTGAGACTTTGGTTGAATAATTTAAATTAGTTGGAATTGTATTTTTGAGCAGATTTTAACTAAACTTTGTAAATATTTTTATTATTTATTACTAATAGAAAAAAAATAGAGAAATAATATAATATGTGGCAAAGGTATTGTTTTAAAACAAATTTAGAAACCATCTCATGAAGATGTTGAAAAATATCATTAAGTTTACCTTTTATCTGTTAAAGACCTTTGTGATCAATGCAAAGGGCATTTCATTGTAAATATTTTGAATTTTTAATTTATATAAATAAATTAATAGAGAGTCAAGTAAATTTATGTATAATTCTATCTTAAATTAATTTATATTATAAATTAAAAGCTGTTTAAACTAGATTTTTATGAATGAAAATAATATTATAATAAATAATATATAATTTATAATTAATTAGAGTTGAAAATTAACAAGAATTTTTAGTTTTAGATCTTTTTAGAATTTTGTAATAAGAAGTTACCACAAGGTAAGGATTTTTTAAATTTTATAGTAGACATATGTAATAACAATTATTAAAAATTAGAAAATCAAAATTCTGAAAAAATTGAAAGGGACTAATTTGAATAGCCTAAATAATAAAAAACAAATGAGGGTTATTAATAAGAATAATTTTAATTTCAAAGAGAAAGAATCAAAAAAATTTTGTGTAAAAACCAAAATAAATAGGGTCATTAAAAGTTTTATAAGTTGAATAAGACAATAGCTGAATGATCTATTTAAGTAATATCCGTTTATTTTTTTTTGCATTTGTTTTGTAGCTTATTTATTATGTAAAAAGAAAATCGTATCTAATATTATGAATTTTAAAGAAATTATCAAGGAAAATAATTAGTGAATTCCATTAAATATATTGATAATGATGAAATAATAACAATAATAAAAAAATAGAAGGAGATAAAAATTTTAAAGAATGGATGATTTGAGAAATGAAAAATAATAATACTAAAATCTTTTTAGAACTAAGATAAAGCATAAGAAACAAGTGCAACTACTAAATTAGTTACTTTACTCCTGAATTTTCGGGAGCAGAAATAGCTAATTTATGTAATGAAGCTACAATCTTAACTGCTTGATAAAATAATGTATGTATTACATTAAATTAATTTTAATAAACTTCTAAAAGAGTAATGGCTGGATAAGAAAAGAAAATATTTATGATCGATAAAATAATTTTAAAAAATAACCATTAATAATTAGAATCAAATTAATCAGATTAAAATTAATAAGTTAATTCATTAAATAAAAATAAACGATTTTTATATAAAATTATATTTTCTCAATCAATATTTTTGCAAAAGGGACAAGAATTAGACTTTTATTTCCATTGTTGAAAGCAGTTCAAATGAAATCTATGAATACAATTTAATAAAGCTAATGTATCGCCTTCATTATATTCTTAGTAACAAATTGAACATTCTAAATTTTCTTCTGAAGTTTATTTAGTTTTTTAAAATTTAATTTAAATAAATTACTCTTCTAATTATTGTTGTTATTGTTATTGCTATTGTTATTATATTTAGTGTTGATAATTATTTTATTAATCATAAAATTAAAATAAATTATCGAATTCTTTTAGTCGACAATTATCATGTATTTGAAATTATCTTTAATTTTTTTGCTCTTCATCACTTAGAAGTTCGTATTTTATTTTTTTTTTTAGTTATATTTCTATTGGTTTTTTTTCACTCTAAATTTTTTTAATATCTACAATTGTTTTTTTTTTCATCATCTAATTTAAATTCTTTTTTTTTTCCTTTTTAAACTAATCTGTTTAGTTTATTTCGTCCTAATTATTAGTAGATTGAATATTATTTGTTTAAGCCTAATGAAATAGATTTTTAATAATTTCTATTTTTTTTTTAAGTTTTTCATAATGAGAATTTAAAGAATTGAGTTAAATTTTTATATCATCAGATGTTTAGCTTTATTTTTCTTAGGAAAAATTCATAATGAATAAAAATTAATGTTTAAATGTTTAATTATGTTTTTTATCCTCATTTGTAATTCTATTAATTAGGAATANTACTAAATTAGTTACTTTACTCCTGAATTTTCGGGAGCAGAAATAGCTAATTTATGTAATGAAGCTACAATCTTAACTGCTTGATAAAATAATGTATGTATTACATTAAATTAATTTTAATAAACTTCTAAAAGAGTAATGGCTGGATAAGAAAAGAAAATATTTATGATCGATAAAATAATTTTAAAAAATAACCATTAATAATTAGAATCAAATTAATCAGATTAAAATTAATAAGTTAATTCATTAAATAAAAATAAACGATTTTTATATAAAATTATATTTTCTCAATCAATATTTTTGCAAAAGGGACAAGAATTAGACTTTTATTTCCATTGTTGAAAGCAGTTCAAATGAAATCTATGAATACAATTTAATAAAGCTAATGTATCGCCTTCATTATATTCTTAGTAACAAATTGAACATTCTAAATTTTCTTCTGAAGTTTATTTAGTTTTTTAAAATTTAATTTAAATAAATTACTCTTCTAATTATTGTTGTTATTGTTATTGCTATTGTTATTATATTTAGTGTTGATAATTATTTTATTAATCATAAAATTAAAATAAATTATCGAATTCTTTTAGTCGACAATTATCATGTATTTGAAATTATCTTTAATTTTTTTGCTCTTCATCACTTAGAAGTTCGTATTTTATTTTTTTTTTTAGTTATATTTCTATTGGTTTTTTTTCACTCTAAATTTTTTTAATATCTACAATTGTTTTTTTTTTCATCATCTAATTTAAATTCTTTTTTTTTTCCTTTTTAAACTAATCTGTTTAGTTTATTTCGTCCTAATTATTAGTAGATTGAATATTATTTGTTTAAGCCTAATGAAATAGATTTTTAATAATTTCTATTTTTTTTTTAAGTTTTTCATAATGAGAATTTAAAGAATTGAGTTAAATTTTTATATCATCAGATGTTTAGCTTTATTTTTCTTAGGAAAAATTCATAATGAATAAAAATTAATGTTTAAATGTTTAATTATGTTTTTTATCCTCATTTGTAATTCTATTAATTAGGAATATGATAAAATATAGAAATATTAAAAATTTAATAATCAAATAAATTTAAATGAAAAAGTAATTTGAAATCACAATTATTGCGATGAAAAATAGATTTCAAGGGCTTTAAAATCTTAAAGCTGATTTTTTAATACCATATTTTTGGCTTGAATAAGAAATGAATAAATACTGAAATTATCTATTAATTTGCTGAATTTTTTCATAGTTATAAAGTAAACATGAACTTTGAATTATAATAAAAGATTTTCTTTAACCTCAATAAATGGAAATTTAAGTAAACTTCTTTTTTAAATTAAAGTAATTTTTCTTCTAATTGAAGCACGCATACTTTTATCAAATTTAAACTATTCTATAATTAAATACATCTATTCTCTACTAACTTATTTTACAAAGATAATTGCTATCTTTATAGAATATTATTTGATTTAATTGTTTAAAGGATCAATTATGAATAATTTTGGCATTTCATATATTGATTTATGATCAATTCTAGGACTACAATAATTGACTTAATAACGATGAGTATCAAGAACTTTATAAGAAACATCGTATTTTCCAATACTAGGTTGATGTTATGACTTCTAGTAATTTTCATCTGTTATTATAAATTTTGGTAACGCAATTAGATATCATTACTAACTATGCCATAGGTCATCAACAGAACTACATTATAAGTAATATTCGATTTGCTTTATAAACTTTGATTAGATTGCATTAATTTCGATAATTCATGATAGCACAATTCTGTAATGGACTTAATCATAATTAATAATAAAAATACTTCGAATAAATTAAAAAAATCATATTTCAGCAACACTTTTTATTTTTTTTAGAACATTTAATTTTATGTCTTAATTTTGATTATTTATCTCTTTCTATTGCATTAATCTCATCATCACTTGTACATGTATCTGAACTTTCTGATTCTTCAGTATGTGGTTTATGATAAATACAACAAACTAAATTCATGATAATGTAAATTAATACTATTAGATTTTAGTCTTCCAAGATTTTCATTATCAATAGTATCTTCTGTCCATTAAACAGATCTCTTTTTTTTTTCCCTCTTTTATTTATACTACTCCATCTCATGCTATTAATTAGAATTAAGATGCAAGATAGCTTAACTTGTTTAACTTATTGTCTAAGTTTAAGAAATCATAAATTTTGGTGAGAAATTATTATTATTATTATTAATATGTTTATTTAATTACGTAATTGAATTTTGTTAGAAGGATGATATAATTATATAATGATGATATAGATTGATATTTATTAGAATAAATCTAACTAATTAATTAATAAATGTGATTGAAATGAAATTTAGTATAAATTTAAAATAACAACAATCTAAACTAGAATAAATATACATTGTATTTCATCTAAAAGTTCCTAATTTTCTAGGACGAATAAATTGATTGATCACATAATTTTATTTTTCAATAAATTATTCAGTATTATGATAATAGGAAGCACTTCGATGTGTATGATTTCGATAAGGAATTTAATGTTTACTTGTAATGATACCTAACATATTGTTATATTCTCCTATATATTTATTAGTTTTAATGTTGGTTGTATGTTAAATTTTAGGAAGTACGAATTATTAAAGATTGATTCGAATGTGAGCAGGACTTCCTCCTGGAGCTTTTTAGTTAGATTATAATTCTTCAGTTGTATGATTATCTAATTGCATTAGAGCACTCCTCTAAAGTCTGGAGAGTTCGTTATTTAGTTAGGATTTTCTTTAAAGAATCTCTTTTAGTTCTTCTCTTTTGTGTAATTTAAGCATTAAAAATATTTATTTTTGTCATTTTTATTATATTTTATGATGATTTCGGTGTTTATATTTTTTGTAATAAATTTATGTTTTCAATAAATATTGATAAATATAAAATATGAGTAATAATGGAAGAGTACAAGTATATGAGAAATTATGTTAATGTCTGACAACTTTAGAGTTAAGAAGATATAATCATCATGCAAAAACTCAAGAAAAGGACATTACTTTAATAAAAGAATAAATCAATTAAGTATTATAAATAAATAATCAAAAAAATAGTATCTTAAATAACATTTTAAAACACAATGTTACTCTACAGAATTACGTAAAACATTAAAAAAGATAATATTATAAGGTGAGTTACATGAGATGAATTATAATTGGTAAGTATTTTATTAATTTTATAAGGGTATTATTGGAGCTATCAGGTGCAAGAACTAAGAGAGTTTAAAATCCTAATGTTTATGAAGAGGTAATAACCAAATTAAGAACAGATTATCCATAGTCTTATTTTTAGACAATTTAATTGGTATGTTTGACAAAAATTAAATTAGAGGATGCTGTAAGAACTGTTTCTCCATCTTTAAGAGTTAAGAACTAAGATAGAATTTATGAAAGAAATCATGAATATGAAGCTAAAATAGAAAGAATACTTGTAGCATATTCTATAAGAAATCCATTTGTTTCATATTGTTAAGGTTTAAATTTTATTACACACTTTTTGGTAAATAAATTAAAATTTTCAGAAGAAGATGTATTTATGATAATAAAACTAATAGACATTTTGGGCATTAAGTACATTAATAGAGGAGATAATGCCATTAGATTATTATACAAATATGATTAGCGTTATGGTAGATACTAAAATTTTAGAATATTTTAGTAAAATATATGTTCCTTAATTGTTATAACATTTTAAGGAGATATATTTGGAAGCTAATTTTTATGCAATTTAATGGTTTGTGTGTTTATTTACTCCAAATTTACATATTGAAATAGTAAAAGAAATATGGTTAAGAGTAATGGTTTAAGGTAATAGAGCGTTAATTTCATCAGCAATAGCAATATTATTTATATTTGAGAAAGAATTATTAAAATATTCAGATTTTGGAGATTTATTAGAAGTTTTTAAAAAGAGTTTAAAAGAATATAATGATATAAATGAATTTAGATTTGTAGTTAATTAAATAGAAATAAAGAAAAAGCCTTTATTGGAAGCAAGAGATATGTTTCGTAAGATTTTAGAGAAAGAACATGAATAATGTTTAGGAAATGCATCTCCAATGTTAGAAAAGGTGATATGTAATCCTTAATGGACGGTTTGTAATTAAGTAATACATTTGAATAAAACATTGAAAAGATCATTTTCCTTTTTTGTTTATTGTTAAAAGGAACCTTGTAGAGTGATAAATGATTATTGGGATAGATTTGATGATTCAAGTAGTTTATGTAGTAGTACATCATCTAGTCCAAAAAAAAAGAAATAAAAACAATAAGGTCCATAAGTATTATTAGGAAGATAATTTCATATTTGTTAAAATAATGATTTAGATGAAAATGATAAATATTTGTATCGTTCAACATTATTGGTTCATTAAGATTTAAATTCAGAAATATAAAGTAATGAAGATGAAGAAGAAACTATTGAAAATAATGAGAGTGTTAAATCAATAGAATAAATTAATAATAGAGGAAGATCAATAACTATGAATAGATATATGCCTAGATTAAATGAATAAGGATATGATGCTTTTTATAAATAGGCTGTTTATTTGATGAAATAATAATAACCTGCAGAACCAAGAAAAATTAGTGGAGAATTGAATTTATTTCCTGAAACTAAAAATGAATAAGTTTAATAAAAATATAGAGTTGCTAGATAAAGTATCAATAGCATTGCTTTTGCTACTTAATTTGTTCAAAAATGAATGAACATAAATATATATATTTAACAAATAATTATAAATAATAATTAATTTTTAATGTACGAACAAGAACTTCCATCAAATTTAGATGACTTTCCTAATTACAATCTTAAGTAATCTGCTGAATCTGAGAAAGTGATTGTAGATGATGATCAAAAGAAAAAAGCAGCTTATCAATTTATGCAATCCTTAGAAAAAAATCTTAGAACTAAAATAAGTAGTCCTCAATAAAGAATATAAACAATAGCTGTATCACTTGAATTGTATGATACAATTTTCAATAAAATTTATTGCAATACTCTTTATAAGGTAAAGAATATATGAAATTTAAAAAAGGAAACTCTTTTCCCATTAGCTGAAACTTTAGAAGAAGCTTTCAATGATGAATTTGATTCAATAACCAAATTACTGTATAATGAAAGTTGTTACAGACATATATTCTAAAGTGTACAATAACAATTCAATTTGTAAACTTCAATCGAGTCATGGCAAAATTATTAATTGCTTTTTGTTGCACTATAATAAAAGTATACTAAATGCTGAATTAGGCAAAATATTGATCTTCCTCTACCACCAAGTTGGATTTGGGACATTTTAGATGAGTATGTCTATCAATTCTATGTGTCTTCCAGATGGAGAAAATTACTTAAGAATGATGAAAAAGCTAATTTGAATAACATCTAAGATTTTTGGAATCTAGAAGATATGCTAAAAACATTAGAAACATTTTATAATTAAAGAAATACTTCATTCTAAACTACATTCTAATATTTAGCCTATTATTCTTATTTAGCTGCAGCAAAACTACATGTTATGTCTGGCAATTTCACAACAGGATATTCTATTTTATCATCTATTTAACATTCTGATTTAATTATATATAGTAAATCTGGTGGAGCCTATTAATCATTATTTAGTTACACTGGATTCTGTTTCTTATTAAATAAAGAATATAAAAAAGCTAATCTTACCTTAACATTAATTGTTAATTACTTCAATAAATATAAATAGTTATATACAAAATCCTATCAATATGATAGTTTAATCAAATAACATGAAAAAATATTAGCATTGTTAGCAGTTACATCCTTATTTTATCCTGAAATTGAAGATAATATTATTACACTCTTAAAAGAAAGTAGAAATAAATTATTTGAAAAATATGAAAAAATGTTGAAATATGATCAATAAATCATTGGAGAAGTCTTCTTATAATCTTGTCCTAAAATTATCAACACTATCAAGAATATCAATGAATTTCATACTGAACAAGAACTTAATCCTAATGACTTAATCATTGATGTTAAAGATAAATTACTCAAAGAAGTATAAGAGGCCAAGAAAATTAACGATGTTGAACAAGTTTTAGGTCTTTATAATTAAATCACTTTTTAACATTTTAATAAAGTAAATTCATTATTTAATATTATTTAAGTTGCTTCCTGAAAAATATATCTAATTATATATTGATAGAAATAATGTTGCTTTAAGTGACAATCCTTTTGAATCAACTATTCTTAGTAAATTTTTGTAAAAATCGAAATTGCTCGATATTGAAGTTTAAAGTGATATTATTTATGTCAAAGAAGTTCCAGTTAACTAAGTATAATTAATTCATTATTTTTTTAGAGAGATTTCATTAATTAATTAGCTTAGATGAATGCAAATCTTGAGAAAAGCATTTTTGAGTTAAGTAAGAGTTTATGATATTTGCTGTTGAAATTATTCAAAAAGTATATTAACATTTTATATAAATTATGAAATTACCTCTTCAAATTAAATATATTATCAAAATATTAAAAATGTTAAATTTATTTCTTGATATGATATTTTTCTGATCTTTAATTTAATATATATAATATTTTTATTAATTATTTTATTTATCTATAATTCTTATCTATCCTTAAATCTAAAATTTTATAAATTTTTTTAAGAACTTACCAAAAAAAATTAAACTAAAGATAAAAACTTTCAGAATAAAAATATTTGAAGAGAAATTGTATTGAAATAAATAAGGAAGAAATAAACGATTCAATGTATTAACATAAAATTTATTTCAAAACTAAATAAAATATTCTTTGAACCTTTCTTAAAATAAAAATTTCATTACCTGTTTTATCATAAGAAATTAATTATATCAAGATCCTTTTTCTTAATATTTTAGAAATTCATATTAACATATTAATTAAATGAATTTAAAGCCATAAAAATATTGATTAGTTCTAGCTCTAGAATTCTATAAATAAATTTTAAAATGAATATTAGATTTATTTATAAAAATTTTATTTATAGGATAATTTATCAAATACATAATAGTTTTTATGATATTAAACTTTTAAATATAAAATATTTTAAAGGCTAAAAATTTTAATATATACAGATTTACTTTAAAATAATTTTGCAAAAAAAGCTCTGAAAAGTTATGAGAAGTCTTATCCAAAAATTATAATTTAATAATACCTGAAGAGAAATTGATCACCTTTTTCTATACAAGTTTTTATTCTTAAGATTTCTTTAAATAAAATAAAAAAATGATGATTCTTTAGGGAAAATAATTTTCAAGTGATATTCTTTAAAAATTTTTTGACCGATAACCATTATTTTTGTATTTAAACTTAGTTTAGGAATATAAAATTAAAAAGATTACTCCAAAAAATTTTAAGATTTTTGAATAAATCAGAATAGCATAATAGCATAAAATATCTATTTGATTAGGAGAATAATAGAAAAAAATTAAAAATAGCTAAAATTAAGTGATAATTTTTAAGAAAATTATAAAAATTGCCAATTAAGATTAGTTTTGAAATCATTAAAAAGGCAAAAGCCATGAATGTAACTATCTATAAATATGGATATTAAATTGATAAAGATATTTTTTGAACGATCAGTAACTTTGATAGAATCAAAGATTGAATTTTTGAAGTTGTCATGAATTGATAAAAAAAATAAAATAAATTAGGGTTTATAAAATTATAATGATTATTTAATAGAGATTAAGTAATTTTTAGTTTGAATATATATTCATTTTTTATATGTTTGCTTTTAACTTCCTCTTCTTTTTAATCCTTCTACTTTTTGAGAAATTTTTTAGAATTTTCTTAAATTACTATTATCTTAATCTGATGATTAATTTTGACTACTATCATTATCACTATCACTAACTACTTGATGATTTAGAGCTAAAATATTCTAATAGATCATTGTATTTGGAACTGATAAATATTTAACTTACCCATATTCTGGTTCAATTCTTGCATTACTTCCTTTAGTTTTACGAGATAATATTTCAGCATTACCATCATAAGAAGTGTTAGAACTATTATCATCACTGAAATACTCTTAACCTAAAATAGATAATTAAGCTAATTTTTATTATTGCAATTTCTTTTTAAACTTATATCTTTTCATTGCTTTGAATGCCATGAGTACAAAAAGATATTACACTATAGGATTAACTAGATTTTCTGATTTTGAGATATCAGATTTTGTAATTTTTGATATAGTTTCATGTTCTTTTTATTTAATTTTTTTAGCTCCTACTTCAGTTAGATTATAATTTAATTTCTTTTATAAATAATTCTTAAGTACTGAAAATAATACTTAATGATATCTAACATAACCATCAGAATCAGAATAAATATTCATTTTCATAATTTAAGTGGCAACATTTTTTTTAGCAGCAACTAGTAGTTATTATTTAAATTTATCTAATTGAGATGGATCATTATCTGGATTAATATTCTTCCATTCTTAGATATCTTCTTATAATTTTCTATTAAGTTCATATCCTAATGGTTATTCCATTTCAAACATTAAATTAACTAAGGCTGTTCCATGCATTTTCATACCTTTATCTTAATAAGCAAATTTAGACCAACTTTCAACAAAAATATTTTCAAATTCTTAAAATTTATTTAATGGATTATCAGAATTGAAATAATTAATTTCATATTGATCTAAAATAATCAAGATAAATAAATTTAGCATGATATATTGCTAAATAATAATAAAGAAAATGAAAAAGATACAATTATATTCTTAACCTCCTCTCATTGTATCAAACATAACTTTATGCCAATCTTCACCAGTTGAACATTAGAATAGAATCTCAAATGAATGATGAAAATCTTAAAAATTAGTAACGTCATTAATAATTTCACCTGTTTTAATATCTTAAAATAAGAAAACTCCTAGAATAGAAAAAATAAAGAAAACAAGAAAAAGTAAAGCTGTAACATTAAGCATAGCAGGAAGTGAATAAAGTGCTGTTTCAATTAATTTTTGCAATCCTTAAAATTATTTAACTAATCTAAATAATCTAGTGACTCTAAGAACTCTAAATACTCTAGCAATTTATGGTCCAACCTTTAAGAATGTTACAAATGAATTTCCAGAGAAATCCAAAATTAAATCTAATATTGAAGCACAAACAACAAAGAAATCAAATTAATTCCAACTATTTCTCATATATCCTATGATTCCTATAGCTATTAATTTAAGAATAGCTTCTAAGATAAATACAAATGTAAAAGATAGGTTTAAATAATTTAAGATTTAATCGTACTATTTTGAAGCCTCTTCTTTCGCCAAACCCATAGTTATAATATTAAGTACAATAATAGTCATAATAAGAGGATCAAAATATTTGTATTTGATTAATTTAAAAAAGATTGCTCTAAATGGATTATCAGGAGGGAAAAACATTGCCATATTAGGATTGGAATGGATAATAAGTTTTTATAAATCAATCCAATCACTTTATGTTTAAGTAAGAGTTTAATCTCTTGATGCTTCTTCAGCTAAATGATAATTAACTAAAATAACACCAATAAATAAGTTAATTAAAAGCATAGCTCCGAAAAGTATGAAAATTACAAAATACCATGAAAATTGAAGTTGAGCTTCAAAAATAGGACCTGATTCATCAGCATCTATAAAATAATACATATAATCTGGCCATCCTTCTAAAGTAGACAAAACAAAAAGTGTTAACATTCCTCGTAATACATTATCAAAGTTAATATCTCTATTCTCCCATATTCCTTAATATTTATTAATACAATCTTCTTATCCATAATAATATGTTTTCCCATCATTTAAATTACAATAATGAAGTTTGTTTTTCATTAAACTCACTCCTAATATGGCAAACATTAACCAAGATAAAATTATTACTATTCCAACATTGAAAATACCATTTATTGATTGTAATAATGCACTTACTAAAATCTTCATTGATTTATTATGAGTAATAAATCGAAGAGGTCTTAATGTTCTAAGCAATCTTAAGATTTTCACAAAACTTAAATTTATACTAGATACACTGACATCCACAAAAGATGCTATTACTATAAAGAAATCTAAAATATTCCAAGATTCTCTCAAATATGAAGCTTCTTCTTAAACAAATCCAAATGCTACTATTTTAAATAAGAATTCTAATCCAAATAATATTGCAAATCCTATATCAAATTAAATTGAATATATTCTAATATCTCCTTAAGATGGAATATAAGTATCTAAAACTAATTTTACACTTGTCAGAAATATCAAAATAAATATAAACCCTTCAAATTTTTTATCTTTCACTATTCTATATGCAATCCTTCTAAATTAATTCTATTAACTAAAAATAAATAATGAATTTTAACAAACCCCTTATTCACTGAAATAAATAAAAGAAGGTTCCTTCTTCTTTTATATTGATTCATCATGATGAAAAGTTATTTTCACTTATGATCTTCTTCTCAATATTGGCTAATTAGTGAATTAAATTTAGTTATTACTATTCATATTTATATTTGTTCCTGATTATTATAATGTAGAATGTGGCATTACTTATGTTGTTGAACTATTCTTTACTTATTAAATTTCATAATCTAATCCTGTCTTATCTTATTTATATTCTTCCTCAAAGTTTTCCAATAAAATGGCTAAAAAAAGATTCAAAAAAACATAATTGCCTATCATAATCCAAAACACCAGATATATCATAGTAATTACAGGACTTAATGGTTACAATAATAATTCATATAAAAGAGAATTCCAATTTTCTAATGTCAATACCTAAAACACAATTAAAAATGAACTCTACAAATTATCAAAATTTTCTCTGCTTGGAGTATCAGTTAATTGACCACCAAAAAAAGACATACCTAATAAAGTAAATATAAATATGAATATAATCATTAACAACAATATATACATTAAAGATTAAAAAGAATTTGTTAAAACCTTTATTAAAAATCCCATGAATTATAAGCTTTTCATTAATTTTGTCACTCTTAATACTCTAAATGCTCTAAATATTCTAACAGCTCTGAATGCTGATAATGAAGACTTTCCATTTGATCCTCCCAATATAAAAAGCTCCACTAAACTCAAACATACTATTAAAGCATCAAAAATATTCATTGTATCCTTCATATATGTTATAGCTCCCAAAGCCATCATTTTTAATCCTAATTCAACTGTAAACAATATTGTAAATGTAAAATTAAATTAAACTAAAAAAGCATTACTTTCTTCTGAAATCAATCCATCCAAACCCAAAATTATTGTGTTTAATGCTACTGCTAAATTCATCATCCCTTCAAAACTACTTGATTATATAAAATGATACAAATTCCTCTAACATACCAATAATAAACCAGTGAATCCTTTTATCCATTTAAAATAAGCATTATCATCATAATTCATTGCCTTCATAACTGAATTCATTTAAATTGCAAACTTTTAATCAAAAAATGTATAATCTGATACCAATAACACATCTTCAATAGATGATATTGCTTAAATAATTCCATTTGATAATGTATCCTTTTTCCTTATTTCATAATAATCATGATAAAACACTGCTCTTTATGCCTCTCTTTCGTGATATGACAAAAAGATGTTTTTATTGTTTTACTCAATTTCTCTTATTACAGTTTGATTCTTATTAAGATCTACAATGCAATCATTAGTATCAAAAAAGTAAGATTATAGTTCTTAATATGTTAATTCTTACTTCTAATTCATCTAATTTTTTTTTTTCCTTTTTAAATGATCGTAAGTGTCCATAAGTGGGTTTTATGAGTTCTGTACATCTACTTCTTATTCTTCTTCACGGCGAGTCTCAGAATCAACTAACTCAGATAACATTAGAAATTCTTCAACAGGATGTATATCATCTAATATAGGCTTAATCCGTCTTATTCCATGAAATACTTTTAGTTTTTTAGCAATTTATTACTTCTAATTTTAAATAGTAGTATATTATTTTTTATGGTTTGATTTTTGAGATTATTAACTAAATATGATTTATTTTGAATTTTTAAAACAATATTAAATTTTTACACTCATTGTTTTAAATTTGTATTCTTAAACTTATTTTTTTAAATGAAGCTCTTTTATGTATTTAGTTTCAAGAACCTCTTCTGTACTTGTGTATTATTCATGGTCTATCTTAATAATTGGATAAAATTATATGCTGTGTAATTTTGATTTGAGTTTAAGATTTTTTTCATCAAATTAATGATCATTTTGTTCATTTTATATAAAATCTTTAATTTTTTTTGGTTCTGTTTTTCTTATAGTTCTGAATTCTTTTAATTCATTTTCCTTTTCAATTAATTCAATATTTTTTTAATCAACAGGTTCTAAATCAACAGCAATTTCTTAAAGTCGATTATCACATTAATATTCAGAAAGTTCACTTAAATTAATGCTACTAAATTCAGTGTTGCTAAGTAAATCTATACTATCTTTTTTATTAATAATTTTGATAGTTTTAGAGTATTTAGAAGGTGATCTTACGAAATTTAAAAATTATTGCGAGGTAGATTTTCTTTTTCTTGGATGAGGAATATCAACTTTTTAATTTTCATCTTAATCACCATTTTTACTATAATTGCTATTAGTTTAATTTTTAGATTTGACTGACATTATTCTTTATTATTTATCTTACCTATCTAAATTATTTTCACTTGGAATTAGATTTTCTGATGATTATTTCTTTAATTCATTCGTTTTGGAAGATATAGAATGATTGTCATTTTATTTTAAGATTGAATCAAGTTTATTATTATTAGGAAATAAATCTTTTTCAATATTTCCCATTCCATAGATTCCTTATAGTTTAACTTTGTCTTTCAAATTGATAGATTTACTATAATATTTAGCTTATTAGATAGCTTTAAACTAGATATTTTTATAGGTTGGTGGTTTATAATTATTTTCAATATTATTTAAATTAACAGTGTTGGCCTTTCTAGATTTAGGACGAATAAAATATGGTTGATAAGATTTTTATTCAGAAGCACCATAATTGATTATATCTACAGTATATCTTTTTGTTTTATATAGACCAAGCTTTCTTAATTCCCAATAATCATAAAATTCAATATCATCAGATATTAATTTAAGTTCTTCTTCAATTTTTTCAGGTTTAAAATTTAATTTAATGACAGCTAGTGTTAAATTAACAAGAAAAAAGGCTCCGACTATAATTACAAGTAAGAAATAAAAGATCACAAATTCAGAGAATGTAAGAATAACAGCTTCTGATATTTTAGACCATCCTTCAAGAGTTGTGATAACAAAGACTTAAAGAAATGCCCAACCAAAAGTATCAAAATTTATTAAATCACTTTCAGGATTTCTAATTTATTTACCACAAATGTAATCTGTTGGACAATCTGAATCAATTGCACAATAAGCATTTATTTCAAATTTAGTTAATAATTTTATTCCAATTTCGCTGAAACAACGTCGTTTGAGATATCCTGAAAATAATTAAACTCCAGCAATTGCAAAAATAGTATAAAAGAAAACTAATACTATAGCAGCATCTCTTAATTAAGCTAAAGATGCAAATAATGCTAACAATATCATTCTCAGAGACTTTATTGAAGATATTGTTCTAAGTGGTCTTAAGACTCTAAAGGATCGTAAAGAATTAAGATTTAATGAGTTTGAAGATACAAAAAAAGGTAAATAGGCAGTAATGATGACTGAGAAATCTAAAATGTTCCATGTTTCTCTTAGATATGCTTTCTTTGGTAATATTAATCCCTATTTTAGAGAATACTTTACTTAAGCTATTATCTTTAAGACAGCTTCAATTGTATAATAGATTAAAAATATTTAATCCATTAGGTTGGCAAATTCTGTTTGTTCTTCAGTGGTTGGATCATCCAATGCCAACATTATTGAATTAAATATAATAATAAAGATTGTTATGATTTCAAAGATAGTATTAGTAACAATGTTAGTTGCTAATAATGAAACTCTTTTTTGAAATATTAACAATCGTTTTCTTATTGCTAGAAGTGGATATCTAGTTAAATTATGATAGTTACTAGTCTGTGTAATTTTGAGCTAACTATAAATCACTTTAAGGGATAAGTTTTAAATAGGAATTAGAAATGTTTTTGTAATTGATTAGCATGTCTTCATATTCATCTTACATTTGTGATTATAATTCTTCTTAATAGATTTCTTACTCTTCTGCTTTTATATCAAAAAATAAATCATGAACTTTCCTTAACAATTCTTAATTGTTTTGAACTCTCAATTCATTATTCAACTACATAATAGTATTTAATAAATACTTCTTCAATACTGAAAACATCAAAATCTCTTCTTATTTATTCTTTTTCATCTTCGTTGTGTAGTATTGATTGTTAAAGTATCATAAATATAGAAATTAGTTGGCGATAAGCAATTTATATAAATATAATAAATAAAAGATGGAAGATGAATATGTTATGGTCAATGGAAGAAAAACTGTATATAGCTCTTACCTAACTCTAGATTCCCCGAAAGATGTATCAAGGCAATAAAATCTACAATGGGATAAGTCTTAATTTGCATTATTCGATTGGGTATATATAAATGTGATTTACAATCGTTTAGTTTGAAGTAAAGAATCTAATCCTATATTTACCAAGAAGATTCTCTTGTTTATCTGAATGGACATCATCTGGTCCTGTATGATATCAACAAAAAGAAACAACAATTCATTTTAAGACCTAAAGATGAGGAAGATGTAAATTAATGCAACTAAACTCTAGGTTGTAGTAATGAATTATTGTGTGAATGATAAGATGATACTCTCTGTAGGTCTTGGACTTAAGAATAGTATCAAAAATTATGCAACTGTTAGAATCTATAAAACCAATTAAAAATCTTTCACGCTTCTACATTAGCATCTACCTTTTGGAACTTAAGTTAAAGATCTTGCCTTTCTTCATACTGCCAAATATACTATTACTCTTTGTTATAATACTTCATCTCATGATACCTCCTATATTAGTGTCTTTAAAACTAATACTGAATAACTCATTACATATTCGGACGTAGGGGAAAACTATGCTGGCTTATTTGGCACTTACAAAGATTTTGAATAGTTTGGCACTTTTGGACCTAATGTCTTAAAAATTTGGAAATTCAACCCTACAGAAAAATAATTAGATGATGCTTTCCTTGATTATGAAGGAGTTATCACTCATGTTGTATAATCAAATAAGTAATGAATTTTTATTATCTTTTAAGAAAAATATTCCTTATGAATAAAAAAGGAATCTTATACTTTTATAGAAAAAACAAAATCATCAATTCTGCAAACATTCCTGCTGATATGAATGAAATTCCTACTGTTATAGCTGCCTATTCAGAAGGAGTTGTTGTGGGATTCGAAAATAAACCTATTATCGCTATGTATGAAGCACATAAAGGAATTATCGAATATAGAAAATAATATCCTTTAAATATTAGTAATTTATAAAAAATAGTTTATATTCACGTTGGTAAAGATGATTCTTATATTTCAATAACTGCATAACACAAAACCCGACAAACAGAGAATGAAGAAATAAATTGTGAAATATATCTGTTCAATCTTGGATTTGTTGATTATATAAACTCAGCTTTTCGAGATCCATTTGAATAGCTTTTTCCTTAAGGTGTTCATAAGAGTAAAATATTGAATGTTGAATCATCTCCATCAAAGCCAATAATTTGTGTATTATCTGAAGAGAGAGTATTTAAAGTATGGGAATTTACTTATGAAGAAGGTAAATTTAAATGTCTATATTCTTCAACTTTACATGAAGTTCCTTAATGCATGGCTTTGCATCCCATGGCATTTCAATGTGCAATAGGTTATAGAGAGGGATTGAAATTTTATTTTGTTTTACATGATGAACTGAAATAAGTTTATTATGAATCATTAAAGCAATGTAGTGTTGTAAAATATACCCCAGGAGGAAATCAATTGGCTGTTGGATCTTAGAATTAAATATTAATATATGATCCATATACGTATTAATTGATTCAAACAATATCAGGACACATGGGTACAATAGCATCATTAGAATGGTGTGACAATACTCTAATATCTACATGCAGTTAGGGATTGGTTATGGTTTTCAATTAAACTAGATTGGTTGATCATTCATTTAAACTTCATAAAGGATTTTGTTAAACTTATGATCCTGAATATGATTTCCTTATTGGAAGTTATTCTGATAATAAAGTGAGAATCTTTAATGAGAAAGGATAGAATTTATATTATGAAATGGATATTTATCCATGTTAATATGTTTGTGTTTAAATTTTGAGATTTTTAGATCTGATAGCTTTTGGTACGAGTTGTGGTAAAGTGAGATTATATTTATGGCCATTCACTTAATTTAAAGATGATCAAGAAATGTTTGAATTTTAATTGCATCAAGGTCCAATCACATAAGTTAGAATGTCTTCTGATCAATAATTCCTTATTACTGGAGCCGAAGATGGATCTATTTAAATCTGTAAAGTCAGAGAATGGTATGATGGTAAAGATATGACACCTTAAGAAACTTAAAAAGGATAAAGAGTTAATTCTAAAGGACTTATCATATCCAATCTTTATAGTTTTAGTATACTTGCTTTTGTGAGTAAAAATACTATTGAGATGAAGAAAGATCTTATAAAAGAATTAGATTTTAGAATCTCTAATCAAAAAAGTGATTAAGAAGATTAAAAATAAGATATTACTTAGAAATATTAAAAATAAGAAAAAGAATTAGAATAACATTATTAACGTCTTATTGCTAATTATAAGGAAGAATTATCTAATACTATGGAAGATAAAGATAGAAGAAATAAAAATTTAGATCTTGCTTTAGTTAATCTAAAAAAACAGAATTAAGTTGAATCACATTAAATTTAAGAAAAAACTGAAAAAGATCTTTTATTATTATATTAACAAAATGATGAAGTCAAATCTAGATTATAAATTATAAATGAAGAAAATTAAAAAGAATATGAATAAAAGAAAGCTCATTTAGAATCCATTAGAGCTAATATCAAAAATGATTAGGATACAAAATTTAATGATTTATTTTCAAGATTTTAATCATCAAAAGAATCTTTTGAATTAGATGAGAAGAAGTATTTAGAAGTATTTAAAGAAACTGAAAAAGAATTTGAATAATTAATTAATGAATAAAAAGAAAAAAAACTTATTAAATTAAAAGAATTATTAGAAAAAAGTGAAAAAATCAGATCCAGCAATACTAAATTTAAAAAAGAATGTGATAGATATCAATTAAGAAAATAAGAATTATAAAATATGATAAGAGAAACAGATACTCAAACATCACTTGTTAACAAAGAAAAAGATAATTTTAAAAAAATTAATGAAGAGAAAAAAAATTAATTAAAAGAAAGAGAGAGACAAATATTTTAGAAAGAAAAGGAAATAAAGAATTATAGAAATAAAAATGGCCATTTATAAAATTTTAAAAATGTTAATTCATATCGTTTATAATCTCTGTAAGAATAAAAAGCACCTCTTTAAGAACATTTATCAGATTTAGATTAAAATGTCAAAATAATGTATTAAGAATTGACAGATGAAGCAGAAGCAGAAAAAAATTTAGAAAATTTAATAGAAGATACTTCAAATAAAATAAAAGAATTGAAAAATTAATATTTAATGAAGAGAGATTCTTTATTTTCTAAAAGAGGAGAAGTTCAAGAGATAGAAAATGATATATTTAAAGTATTAGCTAATCCTGAAATCACTGATTTTAAAGAAATGTTAAAAAATGTTCATAAATAACATTATATTACTGGAAAAATTAATAAAGGTGTTGTTGATGAAGATTCAATCTATGCTGAAATTGAAAAGAACACAGAAACTGCTATAAGAGAAGAAATGCTTAGATAAAGAGATTTTTTAAGCAAAAAAATTAATACAATTACTAGAACAAGTAAAGCTGCTGATGAAGATAAAACTAGTCTTATAATTAGAGTTTAAAAAGAAAACACTAATTTAGTGAAATCTTGTAATGAATTGAGAGAATAAAGAGCAAATCTTATTTCTCATTTATCTAATATGCAAAAAGCATTAGATATATTATAAAAAGAAATTTCTTCTTTAAATAATGGAGAATCAATTGAATTGCAACCATCAGATGAAGATGTTCCTTTATATGTTGAGAAAAACAAAATTTAAAAACAAATTTCAGCTCCTAAATTGACTCCATTTTAGTAATATCATTAAGAAAAGGAAATTTAAAAAATTAGAAAATCTGACACAAATCTGAAAAGAGATAAAGGATAATTAGATCTATAATAATTAATTAAAGAGATAAAGACTTATAATTTAACAGATTAAGAACTCAGAGTAATAATATATTAATAATTAGGATTAAGTATAGCAGTTTTTAAGAAATGATGAATCTTCATCTATTTTACCTTAAATTTTAAAATATCCATTTAATTCATCTCAAGAAGAAACTTAATTAGCTGGTTTAGAATAATCGATAATAAATACCTCTTTAGAAACATAAAAACTTTAATTACCATTAATTAAACAATGATGGAAATGAATTGTTATATTAGATTTATTTAAATATAATTAAATTTCTTATGAATCAGTTCCTATTAATATTAGTACTAAGCCTCATTTCAGTGAATTGCTACTTTGGCCTTGAAGAAGTAGATGTTACCTTAGTGTCTGACAAAAAAATATCATTCAATGGAGTCATTACAATTGTACCACATACCGAAAACGTAGTCATTTGGTTATGCAATAAAAATAAATTAAGTATATTGTTATTTCTTATATTAAGATTTATTGCATTTAATAAATGGTTCTGAAATAGTAAAAAAGCTGTATTTTTTGAATGATTATAAGGGATTCATTGTGAGATGTGGATACAAGATGAAGATTGACAAAAATGAACTAGGATTACATTAAATTACATTGCTAGCTAATGACAGTAATTGAGAACTCTTTTTTAATTCTTCATTGCAGAATCCCACAAGATTATATTGTCCTACCGAACCCAGAATGACCGTGAGTATACAAACGATGTTATAGATTTATTACCAAATCTATCATGCCGAGTTGATACAGAGATGTTCATTATTGAAGATTATTTGGATTCTTTTTGCCTTAGAAACTAGCATTTCCCATCCCTGACCGAATAATATGATTTATGATATCAAATAAATATTTTATAATTTATGTGTCATATTTCAATTTTAACATTTCTCTATTCATTTACTTTGCTCATCTATAATACCTATTATCATTCATAATATTAATTTAAATTCTTTAATTATCTATTAATATATAAATATATATTATACAAATCATAATAAGAATTAAACAATTTCTAAAAAGAATTTATAAGATCTACATTAATTGATAATCAATTAAGCATATTTCTTATCTTTATAATTTTTAAAATATTTAATGTGTATTGCACTTTATTACATTAATCCAAAAGGAAAATTTAGATTTATTTTGCTTTTTAATAGGGAAGAGTTTTCAAAAAGACCAACTGATTAATTAAAAATAATTCTAAATAATTAAGATAACATCATTATAGCAGGGCAAGATTAATTGTAATAAGGAACATGGCTTGGATTTAATATTACTAATGGAATGATAGCATTTTTAACAAATAAAAACCATTTCTTTTATGTATCATTCAAGTAGAAAATTTCCTAAATTACAAATTAGATTAGGTTTCAATACCCAAAATTTATGAAATTCTTTTACCCAACATTTAAATCAAGAGGTCAATTAATTGTCGATTTATTAAAGAAAAAAAATATCGAGCAACCTCTAGAATTTGACTATAAACTAAAAGATTAACATTTAACTTGTAATTATCATCTAGATAATAAAAGTAATAATGATAATGATAATTGTTATACAAAGAGCAGATTAATTTAAGCATAATTAAATAAAGATTAATATATGGGATTCAATCTATTTGTTGGAAATTTAATTAATCAAGAATACTATTTATTGTCTTCTACATCTAATTAATTTAGAATAGCTGATAAAAGTGGAACAGCTTGCAGTTTTAGTACTATTGGAGAGAATTAAATAGAAAAGGAAATAATAGCTTAAAATAAATTTGAATAAATAATCGAAACTGAAGATAATATTGATATTTTATTCGATAAATTATTTTAATTAGCTCAAGAAAAGTTTAAAAGCAATGAAATATTTTTTAAAGCATTTCCTGAAGAATCCTCCTTTTTCATTCCAGAGTATAAAACTAAAATAGGATAAAAAAGAGGAACAAGAACTACTTCAATAATTATTTTTGATGGTTTTAAGGTAGAAATGAAAGAAAAAACTTATTTATGAAAATTTATTCATTTTTAATAAATAAATTATTGATTCAATACTATATTTTTCCTTCATACCACTCTGTTTCAAAATATTCACTATCACCTCTTTTCATTAGTCCTTTTCCATGTTATAATCCATCCTTAAAAGGTCCAAGATAAATTTTGTTATCATATTTATATTTACCAAATCCATGTTTTTTCCCTTTGACATATTCTCCTAAGTATTCTTCTCCATTCACCCAAGTAAAATGTCCTGTTCCATGCATCTCACCTGCTTCCCATTACCCTTTGTATTAATTACCATTACAAAATTTCATAATACCCCAACCATTAAATATAGAATTTTTATGTTCTCCTACATATAAATATTATTTTTCAACATAATATTCAAGATATTCCTTAGGTGGTTCTTCAATAGATTGTTGACCAGTTCTTGGGTATTTTATAATTTGTTATGAATTTTTATTTGGCATTTAATAGGAATTAATGTGATTTTCAAACTCAAATATATCATTTTCTTTCTCATCTGCAAAAAATAACTCCTCCTTTTAGACTAATATTTTATCATCTAACAAACCCTTCTAAATTTTACCATAACCATGATATTTGTTATTAAAAAATTAACCTATATAAATGCTATTCTCTGTAATTTAAATTCCATAACCACATCTCTTACCATAACAAAATCCATTATATAAATCTTCAAAATCTTCTTATTATTTATTAAACTACCAATCATTATTATAAATTGAAATCTGTTATAATGTAGCTAAATCTGCAGTCAGTATAAGTTATTTTAAATTACTGTTTTCTTTACTATAAGTTTTAACCTAATTAGTAGTAGCATCTTCATTTTCACTCTTCAAATCATCTAAAATATTGTTTATAATTTTATCCTGCTTCCAATCTAATAAATATTTTAATAAATAAACTAAATCTGGACATTTTAAAATCTCCTTTAATTTAAGTGAATCTTGAGTATTTAAAATAGAACTCTTAAATAAAATGTCATCAAATAAAATTTTCCCATAAAATCTACAATTATTATCTAGTTTATTTGATGATGTTTTAAAATCACTTACTTCTATTTATTTGCAATTGAATTAAAAACAGTATTTTCGACAGCAATTTTTAAAGTAATTTTAATAGCATTATTGACAGCATTTTTTATAGCAATATAAACAGCACGAACAACAAAATATATCAGCAAAACAATTTTAAAAATAAGAAAAACTACTCCAAACTGTACTTTCAATGTTTTTTTCCAAGTATTTTTCCAACTCCTCCTTAATTATATCTTTAGCTACATTGATTTATTCTCTATTAGAAAGTACTCGTACCAACTACCATTTAAATATTAATATACGTATTGGATTGGAGATTCTTCAATTGTGTCTGTTTCATAATTCTTTTCTTTCTGTATTATATTCTCAATTTCTGCTTATTCTTTTTTTTTCAATTCATCTGTTTCATTATTACTTTGAACTTCTTTTTTATACAATTTTTTTAGAAAATCCTAATATGAATCTTATCTTATTTCAAATTCAGATTTAATTTTTGCGCCTCTAACACTACTATCGCTATTGCCCATATTTTAAATATGAAAAAAATATTAATTATATTTCATTCTAATATTGTGGGCATTTCTTTAATCGATAATTCATCTTTAGCTCTTCTTTATAACTTTTGAACATAGTTCTCATATTCTGTAATAATTAATTCGTGATCTCCAATTTTAACTATAAGTTTATGATAAAAATACTTATTGTTACACCATTTTTCATAGTTTTTCTAAACTATTAAGATCCTTCGAGGGTTTGAAAAACCATAAAATATTCAAAGTTTTATTCATGTGACAAAAAGAGGTCTATATCAGCAATATAGGTTTCTTTGAAATAGTTTTTTATCAAAGAATCAGGGACTAAATTTTTTTCTAAAATTTCAACATGAAAAATATAAATCTATTTGCTATGATATTTATCATCTCCACTCATATCACTAAAATCTAATGGTATCTTGATTGAACTTTAAGGAACTTTATTCTTATAAAGATTTAATTTGTTCTAATCAAGATTCATCAATTTTTTAGCTTTATAAAAAATACTTCCAGCCATATATGAATCAAATCCAGCTTCATGTTCAAAACTTTAATTATCATCAAGATTATTGTATTCTTGACATTCATCCCCAAAAACAACATTAGGTTCTAAGCTTTATAAATTAATGAAGCTGTTCTTTAGTTCAGAAAACTATCCAACTTTATTGTATACACTATAACTTTGATTGATTATATATTTGGTATCATATATCTCTGGAAAGATTTAATTGACTTTTGTAATGAATTCATTTTTTGAATCTGGTAGAGTCTCAAAAAATTTATCATAAACCTTTTTTTATATAATAATAACATATTACGTGCATAATATCCATTAAACCATTATGTAATATAAGGGGAGTCTTTTGCTAACTAATTTGATCTAGTAAAACTCTCACTCCAGCAAATTCATTTACCTCTTCAACATTCTATTTTTTTGTTTCTACAGGTTCTGGTCCTTTAACAATGTATAATTTCTCTCTCTTTATTAAAACATCGGAATCATATTTACAATGAAATTCATAGTTCTTTCCAAATTCTTTGTTAATCTAAAAAGAACTCATTATTTTAATTTACACTTTCTATAAAATGTCTGTATACTTTAACTTTGAGTCTTTTGATAGGAATTTCAAATTATAGATCATCACTAAATTTAAGAAATTGTTCAATTAACACTTTGTATTGTTTAACAAAATTGATCATTTCAAACGTAACAATTTTATCTAAATATCTAATATCATTTCTTAAATCTTGTATTCTTTTAGTTTCTCTCATAATTCTTTCATTTTAATGGGATAAATAAAGAATTCCTTCATTGAAAGTCTTATTAAAATCAAAATTGTTGTTTATAAGAAATTAAATGGTACTACTCTATACATTTAATTAAATGCTTACATTCAATTAGAATTATTTGTCTAAATAGCCATCTACACCATAAGGAAATATATAAAAATTAAATGGATGAGCAATAATAGTGTTAGAATTAGGTTACTCTTTAAAAGTACACAGACCCATTTAAACTGGTAGGAATCGTCTGACATTTTCTTTGATCTTCCAATATCGCATTTAAAACTTGATAATTTATTGTGGTGTACAGAATCAAGGAGAGAATTTCTTAATAAAGATGAAGCAATCACACCTGTAAATTCCAAATCCAAAGCTACATAATTGGCTTCTTTGATGCTTTATTAGATGAATGCTAGATTTTGTAAAAAATTATATCTAGTCAGATTCATGAATTTTTGGATGATTATTAAATAAGTTTAAATTCTTTAAAATTAGTGTATTGTAGAGCACAATTAAAAATATGTAATTATTTCTAATAATAATATTACATATTTATTTGGTTATAAAATAATTCATTCATTTCTTTTTCCTCCTAATCCTTCCCATAGTGATTTCATACATAATTTCCAATCTCCATTTACATCATATTCTCTCATTAATATGTATTATTCTTATAAAGTTAGATTAAATCCTAATTCTTATAATCCTTAACTTAATTCATCAAATTCTAAATAACCTTTTAATTGCTTATCCAATTTCCTAATTGTTAAATTCAAAATTGGTACTTCATAAGATCAAGTAAGAAACTATCAAAATTAGGATAGTTTTCTGCAAAAAGTCTTAGTTTTGCAATGATTTAAGAAATATCTGCTTCTTTGAAAACATCAGGTTTTTATTTCATATAATTAATAGTAAATTCATCTCCTCTGATTAATTAAAATTTATAAACATTAAATTAAACAACAGCTCCTAATTAGAAATCCTAAATTATTATGAAAATAATTTACTTTTTCAGTATAATAATCATTAGTCAAAGGATTTTTTTATCTAGATCTTTCTAAGAATTTACCACCCTTAGAAATAATAAAAATAAAATACCCAAATTCCACTATTTCTTTCTGAAGTTTAATAAACTTAAATTGTATCATCACCGCAATAAAAAGAAATGATAAATCTTCTAGAATTTTCTTCTCTAACTTCACTAATTTATCTGGCTTCAAATCTTAATATAAATTAATCTTAAGTAAAATTTTTTCTAACATCTTTTTTAGGTGGTTTAGGTTATAATGAATATACAGATCCTAAAGAATCTTCTTCATATCCATATCCATTATATGGAGGAACAGGATGATAGAATTTCTTTCCTCTTTCTTATTTAAGAATTGCAGGTCTATTATTTATACATATTGAATTACTTTTATTAGATTCCTAAAACATTTAGATAGTAATCTTTAGTAAAATCATCGCATCCATATATAAAACATTCTCTTCCATATATTTTAACAGTATTTCCACAAATTAAATCTTAAGGATTATAAAATTCTTCTTTTTTTAAAGTCATGCCTGGATAATGAGTTAAAATTGGTTATTTAGGAATTTTTTATCTTCTCAACATTAAAGGATAAGGATCTTTTCCTGAATTTTATTTCCTAACTTCTTTAACTTCACAAGTATCATCAGCTAAATAGTAATTAAGAGTGTAATAATTTAATTATCCTTCAATTGATGAATCATCCCAAATAATATCAAAAGATAACACTTTTCTATCATTTTATAAATATTTATTAAGACCACCATTAGGATGTCCACCACCTAATTTGACTTCAAAATACTCTTTATATTCTTTAGTATCAGGTGGATTGATTTTTAGATCTTTAGTTTCTCTTAAACTTTCAAAATTGTCTTTAGGAAATTATTCTGGTAAACTTAAAGGTTTTCCCATATATTCATAGAATTCTCTTGTATAAGAATCACAATCCTATATTCTAAAAACCTAATAATGAATAAAAATTTGAATTACTCTTTCATAAAAATTGATATTTGAACATAATTGAAAATCTTCCCATTAAAAAAAGTCTTATTTACCAAGTTTTTTTGGGATTTTTTATCTTTTAATAAATAAACCTTAAGGTATTCCAGCATTAGGTATACGAGGCTATAATAATAATAATATATGAAAATATTTACTTCTGTAACATGAATTGTGCCATCGGAAAGATAATAATAGATTATAACCTTTCTAATTCTATAATTTTCATTAGGATTCTCTACAACAGATTCTTAAAAGTAACCATAAAAGCGTAATACAGCTCTGTCATATTTTAACCATGGTGGTTAGATACGTGGAATATAATCATTTTCTGGTGGTTATCTTCTTCCATAAGTTAAATTAGGAGGAGCATTGAATTTCATAGAGTCTATGAGATTTGGATCAAACTCTTCATGTACATAGTTAGTCTTCTCTTAAACTGTTCCATTGACATATGAAAACTATTAAGTTTTGTGATGGTTTTCTTTAAATGGATCAGAAAAAACATGTCCTGGTAGAAAAGGTACTTATTTCGGGAATTGTGAATTAAGGGACATCAAAAATAATTAAAATATAACTGATTTCTATTCAAAATCACATTGAATATGAATTACTTTGTAGAAGACTTACAATATATTAACAAATATAACAAATACTATCAAAAAAACATGTTTCACTTTATTTATACACTAGTTTGTATGTTCTATAATATTAATAATCAATTAATTTTATAAACATGAGTTCGTTGTTGTAAATTTATATTATTATTATAAACATTAGTACTCTTATCTATTGCCCAAGGAGGATTCATTTAGTAAATTTATTTTTATTATGTTTATTGTTATTATTAATTCATCTTATTCTGAGATATCTATTACATCATAATATCTAATTAATCAATCTAAGAATTCCTTCCATATTTTTGAATTCGTCCTTCTACTATTTGAGGTTAGTTATTCTAACTGAAGAATTAATTGAAAATAACAAAATTGTTATTTTGAGGTATATATTAGTTAAGATGATAATGCTTATTTAGAAAACCAATCAATTTCTGACTAGGTCTATCATATGCTAATTTTTCTGGTTTAATCTACTCATTTTTCAACATCTCTTCAAATAATTCTTTTCCTACTCCCATTCTTTAAACACTTTCATGAACATAAAAATCTAATACACAAAGTGGTTATAATTCTTTTATTTATCCATTATAATCTCTATAAAATAGATTCTTTCTCCCAACCTTCAATAAACCTTAACAATTCTATGATATTTCTCAATTAACATACTTTACCATCTGATTTCAAATAAACTCTCTAATCACTTCCATAAAATCTACTAGCAGTAGTTATTATTTGTTTTAGTTATTATGCCTAAGTATAGATTTGTATATTATTTATACAATCGCTGAAGCTTCACCCATTTTATCTATTACTTCATCTAGAAAACTATTTCTTCGAGTATTTTAGGCATTTATCACACTAATTCCATTTTGATTTGTTTAAAGTGCTTTTTATAAGGGAAATTAAAATTACATTATTCAATATTTATAATAAAAAAAGGCAGATATTCAATTAAGTAATAAGATGTTAAGAAATATCTAATAAAGTGTGGTAATTAAACAAATATAATTTTTTAGTATAAGAAAGTAAGAGACTATACTAATCCTCTTAATTTACTCATTCCTTGGTTGAATGCAATTTTTAAAAAAATTATGGGAAATTTCTTTAATGAAGAGATAAAGAAGGAATAATTTACATCTATGGGTTTAAAGTAATTAACATTAAAAGTGAATTCTTTAAATTAATAAATGGCTCCCAATATACCATTTGTGTTGGAATCTGGATCAATTTCTCTATTAAAATTGGATCTACACAAACTTACATGTTTGATTGAAGAAGTGGAAATAACATTAAATTTCAAGACAATTGAGTAATATGAATAATTTAAAATAACTTATGACTAAAAAAAGATCACAGCAGACAAACTCTAGAAAATTAAAGATGAGATTATTAAAGCTTATAAAGTAAAAAGTGAGACTTCAAATAATGCTAATTAGAATGCGTGGAATATCATTAGATAGTTTTTATAGAAAATTACTTTTACTGTCAATAAATTGGTTGTTCATATAATTGAGCCAACTCATAGAGATAAATTATCTTTGGCAATTAATTAAATAAGTATGAGAGTTAGGAAATTATAAGAAGAGAAGGACTAAATGGTCAGTACTATGATAATAGGTGGATGTTCATTGCATATTAATGAATAAAATAAATTGTTTGATGTAAATAATTATCAAAAGGAATCATGTATATTTAGCTTATAATAAAAATACACAAATAAATATGATTAACATGTAGTTATTCATTTAAAAACAGAATTGAAAGAAAGGTTAAAATTTAATAGTACTCTTTGTATAAGATTGATGTAGATGAACTTTAATTATAAATAATTATAGATAGCTATAAGAATAATTATGAGTATTATGGATCATAATAAACTTATATAATCTTAAGATAAAATTATTATTGAATCAATTAAATAGTAAGCACAATAATATCAATTTACATGGTGTGAGTCATAAATTAATAAAAATTATTGTGATTAAGTTGGAGAAATCAAAATAGATGATATGGAGAGTAAATCCTTGAGTGATGAAGCTACAGTAGAGTTTAATGATGATTTTGAGTAAGCTTTAGAGAGAAGTTTTGTAAATGAAGAAGGTGTAGATGTTTAATTTGAGGAATCTCAGATTGAGGGATTGAATTAATCAGTCCTTAATTAATCTAATTTAGGAGATTTAAATTAAAGTACACTTAAATAATCTATTTTTTCAATGTCTGTATTTAAAGAATTGATCAATGATGAAGATGATAAATAGGGCTTAGAAGAATTAGATGATGGACAATTAATCTTTAAAATGAAAATTTAGAAAGTAAGAGTCATATTCTCAAGAGATACAATAATGGATAAATGGAGTGTAGATAATTTAAAGAAAACAAATTATTATGAATTAGAATTAGATTAAATTAATTGGTTGATGACTAAAGAAATAGGCCAATAATTAATTACATCAGTTAAATAAACTAAAATTGAAATTCCAATTGTTTAACTCTTTCATTATGAATATTGTAATTTATTACCTGAAGATAAATTTCAAGATCAAACTAATGATGATGAAAATTAAGAAATATTTTAAAGTATTAATGAAAATTGTCCTATCAATCCTTAAAATTTAGAAAATCAAATGTTTCATTCTTGCTATAATTTAAGTTAAAATGATGTTTTAGAAAAGATTGCTTTAAAAAAGAGTGAGTTTATCAAAGAATAAGGGAATTATTACTATAAAAAAAAATGTTTACTTTAATTATATGATGGAACAAAAGAATAAGAGGATAAAAATTTAATAATAAAAATAGACAATCAATTTATATACTCTTAGGAAAAGATTAAATCCATAGATAATGGTTTGTAAATTAAAATGCATCATTTAAATAATACTTAAGCAATATCAATTAAGAAGATTGATATTAATTTAAGTATAGATGAAATACTAGAGTTAATAGAAATATTTAAAATCGATCATTAGAGGAAGTCAATTAAAAGTATACCAAATTTAAATTTGATAACAATCCATTAACTTTAATTTAAGATTTTAATTCAAGAAACAGATTATGTTGATTTTTATTATTTACAATAGATCATTAAAAATGATCCTAATAGTAGTAGTGTTATTCATTAATAATAGAAAATATCTTATTTTGCATTTAATATTATCGATTTCTAAGTATAATAATCAAGTTCTGGTTTAATAACCTTTGATTAGATTGAATGTTTAAAGATAGAATATGACAGAATAAAACAAATATTTAATAATGAGATAATTGCTGAAATAGGAGCATAGGAAAATTCTTAAACTTTGACTAGACCCATAATAAAACTTATGGATACAGAAGAAATACGGGTGGCAATTCCTAAAGTTGAGATTTTCATCAATACATCTTCCATGGAATTTGCAAAAACATTATTAATTGTCTTAAAAGATTTTCAAAAAAGATCTAAAGAATTAACCAAAAGTAATAAGGAAAGTAAATAAATCATTAAATTGCTTTTTGATGAAATAATTATTAAAATCAATTTGGAATAATAATCTAATACAAATTAAACAAGATTTATTGTACATGCATCAAAATTAGCAGTAGAAATGATTGGAAAAGATGAAGTTTTGTTAACTTTGTATAATTGTTTAGCTGTTGATTTAAGTTGGAATTGTAAAAAGCCTAAACAAGATATACCAATTTATGGTAGTCCAAATGAAGTCAAAACAAAAGATTAGCCTAATTAAATAATACATTTTAGAAATTAAAAATATTAAGCAAATCAAGTTTTATTTTATAAATAAGAACGTTTTAATAGAGAAGAATTTAAGACTCTTTTATAAAATGAAATGATAAAATCAGATCATAATATGGCATTTTAATATACTACTATCAAATTAAAGACTAATAGATACTTAAATCCAGATTGTTTAGATGTTTTATAAGGAAGAACGAATTTGGTTACATTAAAGATGAATAAAAATAAAAAAATGGAAATAAAATATTAGCATGGAATTATATAAATAGATGAGTAATTAATTGAAACAACAACCACTATATTAGACTTAACCTAAAGATGGGAATAAATTTTGATTCCAAAATAAATTAATTTACAACAAAGTTAATCTAAATCTATTTTTACTTTGACAATTTAAAACATATGGTTGAATTATTTACCAACATATAGAAAATCTACTTTGTTAAAATAATATTTATAGAAAAAAGAGGCAATTAAATCATTAATTGCTATATAACCAGAATAATTGTATTATTCATGGATTAGAGTTTTAATTAGAATTAAGAGTGCAACTCTATCAAGTGATTTATAAGCTCATTTGAGTTCAGCATAAATTTATGTTAAAAGTACATCCAAAGATATAAAACATGCTAATTTAAGTTTTTTAAATCCCATTTTATTGGTTCCTCCAAAAAATGGACTTTTTGATGAGAATCGAAAATTTTCAGATGGATTTTAAATTGATAAAGATGAATAAGGTTTACTAAGATTACTTTGTTTTTAAAAATTATTTAAAATAAAAGGTGTAACAATATCAGGAAAAACAATTAATATTGGTTAAATAAGTGGGAATTTAAAGAAAGATTCAATTATCAGTTTATGGGATATTACATCAATGACTTTAGAGAAGATAAGAAAAATAATACCTGAATAGGTGAATAAAAATTAAATTAATGTTTAACAAGATGGTCATCAATACAATCCAAGTGAAAATTTAAATATTTTTGAGGAAGATGAAATTGAATTACCAACAATAGAAAATATTCCTAATGAGAAATAATTTGAGATTATTCTTAAACATCTTGAAATTAAATTAACAGTTGGTTAACATTTCCCTCCTGAAGTATTTAGTGATACAAATCCAATTAATACAGAATTTTAATAACATAATTAAGAATAGTATTATCTTGAACATTCAAATTAATTATAATTAGAAGAGTTTCCATAAATAAATGATTCATAATGTAGTTCTATTATTTTGAGTATGAAAGAATTAAAATTAATATGTTGTGGACCAACATAAAAAAACATAAATTAATTTTATTTAAAATTATTACACCTCGAAATAGCAGATAAAATTTATAGCTCTAAGTTTTCTAAAATTGTTGGAAAAGAACCTAGTCATGAAGAGTCAAATTTTGCAGAGATCTTTTATTAAATTGATAAAATTAATAACAAAATTGATTTGGAAGCATATATTGTTCCTTTAAGAGTGTGTATATCTGGAGCAGCTTTAGAATTTTTATAGGATATAATAAATAGTCATCAATAATTAAATCCAAAGGTTGATATGTTAAGTTAATTGAATGTATCAAATACTAAAGAATCAATAATTGAATTCTGTGTATAGGAAGGATATTAAGTTACTTTCTAAAGAATTAGTGAAACAAGTACATTTAAATATTTATATAGAAAAATCGATAAAAGTAGGTTTTTTAAATATTGAGAGATTATATTGTTATATAACATTTGATGGAAGTGGTGTAAAAATGGATGGAAAGTTGAAAGGCTTAGTTAGATTAGCTTCTTATGATAATCTATTTATTTTTTTAAAGAGGGCGTAAATTCATAATTTAGTGTTTGAGAATGAAACAGACTTCATTAAATTTATGTTTGAGCAATACTAATATCTCATTAGAAATGATTCTTAATTAATTTAAAAATTGATCACTTCCTTTAAAGCATTCCAAAATATTACAAATATTCTATTAGGGTATTAATGATATATATATTAAGAATTCAAACAATGTTTATGACAATATTTAAATAAGGAATAGTAGCAGGAGTATGTTCAGGATCAATACCTTTGGCAAAAGCGTTAGGAGATGAGATTGTTTATTTGGCAAAAAAGCCTATTGAAGTTTGCAGTACAATGAGTGAAGGAATTGGATTTAAAATGGCAAATGTTGTATTTAGTCCTATAGAAAGAGTTTTAGACTAATTTTCAATAATGGTATTTAAGTATATATCATTATTAGACTACAAGTGATAGAATTCCTAAAGAGTTTCTTAAAAAAAATAATGAAGATTAAACTAATGCATGAAAATTTTTAATTTTTAATTTTTTAATACTTTTTTATAATATATTAAATTAGTATGTTTCGAGAATACTCATTACCTAATTATTACAATCCTCAATAAAATCTATTTAAGAATGCTGGAATGTAAAGTGTAGATTTCTATGGAAATATTGGATATCCTAAACCAGAACACCCTGTTTTAATGTAATAATAATACTATGACAATTATCAATACAATAAAATGTTTTCCTCTTAGGTCTTTACTCCTCATGTATAACCTATATTTATTGCTGGCCCTATTTATAAAAATGCACCTATATTTTATGGTCCTTAAAATTTAAGTTAAAGTTTATTCTAACCAGTTGAAAAAAAAAGGTTTTAGAATTACAATTAACCTGATGAAATTATTGAAAATACGAATAGTTTAAACTTATAATCTAAATAATAATTAGATGAAAACATTAAAATTAGAAATCAAATTTTAAATGCATGGAATTTTATAGATGAATAATAAAATGAAATTTAAAATTAAAGACATAGTCAGACTTATAGTGATAATAATACTAGATCTTAATAAAATTAGAATTTTGAAAAAAAACCTCCTAGAAAACATGAATCAAAAAATAGTGTCAATTCTTTTAAGTCTTTTGAAGAAGAAAAACCAAAACCATCATAAAAACTATAACCTATCAAGGAAGAGAATGAATAACCTAAAACTATTTTTTCTACTTAAACATAATAGAAATCAAGAAAAAGAGGTAAAAGGAATTTAAAAATTATTTTAAAAGCTTTATCATTTATACTTATGTATTTCTTATAAATGAAGAGAACAATTTTGAAAAGAAAAAAAATATAGGTTAGTACTGAAATAGCAAATAAAGCTATGGCTGAAGGTAGTGATTGGATATTAAAATTTGCTGAAAATGATTTAATGTAATTTTGGAGCAAAAAAGAATCATATAATTGGTTAGAAAATGATTAACTTTCAGATAAAGAAAAATCTAACAGAATTAGTAAAGTTAAACTTTTTATTTAAAAACTTTCTATTATTATATTTGAAAATTTAAAAGAATCTTGTTTTAATCCAGAGTTTTTTTCATTTTTAGCTTAAATTACTTAAAATTTTTAATTCCCTCCAGATTAATATTTTTTTAATTTTGAAGTTTCAAGATTAGAATTTAATTCATTTGGAGCTATTAAAAATATTAAACTTGAATAATAAAAAATGGTACTAGCATTTTTTATCTTTATACGAATATTAGGATTTACAATTTTATATGCTCCATGGAGTTTAGGACTAAGCAATATTAAAAAAACAACAATTTTAGAAACAAATTCCTTAATTGTTGTTTCTGTTTTATAAGAATTAGTAATTGGAGAGTTTAGAGAACTTAAAGTCTTAGAAAATAATTAAAATCATTTAAGTAACGAATTAAAAATTAATCCTCGTCCACAAGGTCCATTAAAAGTATATAATAATAAATAAATTCTAAGATAATACCGGATCCAAAAACATAACAGGAAAAATTATAATTCAAAACTTAACTTGAACCTTTGATACATCCTACTTATAAACTTGAGTAAATGAAAGATTTATTTGAAAAATAGATAGAGGTATTTCTATGTTTATAAAATTTAGTGGGTAGATAATATGAAGGATAAATTTGATCAAATATATGCATAATTAGTAAAAATAACAAATTCTTGGCATAGAAATAACAAAGTTTTAATAACAACTGGATTGAAGCAGAAAAAAAATTAAAGATTTTGATATTGATATTGATATTGAATATATTGATAAGTTTCTTTTAACCTTATAAACATATTTTTATAAAATAAAATATCCGAGAATTTAATATTCAATTTTATAATAATAAGTATAGGTTTAAATAATAAAGCAATAGTATGCAATTTTTTGATAAAGAATAATTAATTAAGTTAGGTATGCAGAATTTTAAAAATTGCGGTAAAGATTCAAGTTCTGATTGATATAAGAATTTATTTTGTAATTCTAATTATATCGATTAAATGAAAGCACGAGAGATGCTAGAAAGTTATTTAGATTGGCAAAATCTTTGAATGAAATATAAGCAATTATTGATAGATCTACATAGAAATGTAAAACTACTTAAGATCATGTTGGTAAAGAATTAGCAATTTTATCAAGATTATGGTTTTTATTATATTGGTTATTTATAATTTATAAATTTAGATTTTATGATAACTTAAGTGTATCATCATCAATAAATTTTTTAACAAAAGATTTTAAACCACATTAGAAAATAGCCATGACTTTTTGATTGGTTGCTATTCTAACAACTTTAGTTGATACTATCAGAATATTAATAATCAATTTCTATTTTATTTATCAACATAAAATAATAATAATCAAATATAATAGTTTATGAATTTGAGACATTAAAACTAAGTCCTGTATATGAATTTGATTAAAATACTTGAAAATCTTATGCCAGCAGGATAAGGATCAGAATTGTTTCTTAAAGTTTTAAAAATTAATTTTAATAATGGTATAATTGGATTAGGAGGACTTATTTCAGGATTAATTGCTGCATATTAAGCATATTGATAATTTAAGTTAAATTATCTAAATTTTTATTATTATTAATCATAATATATACTCCATTTTAATAAATAAGTCCGATTTAGAAATACATTCAGTTATATATGCATAAATTTTGGTTTATATTTAAATTTCATTTTGTTTTAAGATTAATATAGTATCAAATTAAAGTAAATAAAGTAGAAGAAATCAAAATGATTTATGAAAAACCTAAAGATTTTTTACTTATAAAAGATCCATTAGAAATTAACACACATCTAAACGAATAAATTAAATAAATCAACTTGAAAGATTAAAAGTAGATTTAATCATCAAATTAAAATAGAATAGAAAAGCTCTATTAGAAGAACAAACAGATTGTATAAAAAGAATAAAATTTTAATAAAATTAAATATTCAAAAAATAAACATAATAAAATAATTATATTATAAAGTAAAATGATCCTTAAATATCAAAAAGAAGAAGTAAAAGTGAAAATAATAAAATAGATTCATTATGTAAAATAAGACTATTGATAAAAGAAATTTAGGGATAAAACTTATTAGCTATTTGTGGACATAATTATTTTTTAAGAGTTTTGAATTTTCTAATTCAAAAAATGTAATATGCTGATATTCATCCTAACTGCAATTAAATAAATAAATATAATTAAAATGGTAAGAAAAAATTATTGAATAAATGTTTTCAATTTAGTAATGTTTGGATACAGTTCATAATTTGATATGTGTTTTATTTCGGTAAAAAGTAAAAGATATCTTACATGTCCAAAATTCCTTAATATATTATAATCAGAAAATAGTGAATTTTTTTAATCTGCAATTCTATTCATATGAAAAAGATAAGATTTATCACGTCTATGATATATTTATTGGTCAATTTTTGTTTTGGAATTGCTCATAATGTAAAATAAATGTTTTCATTAGAAATTTCGAACACTGTAATATATTTAATTATTTTAAAAAAATATAGTTATAATATTGTTTGCTAAATGATCTTAAATTGAAATATGTATGCTATAAATTAACAAAGAGTCTAAATGATATGATTATTTTTAATAAAAATTGATATATTTAGAAATGAAAATTAGTTTAGTAGATTAATTGATGTATATGAAATTAGAAAAATATAAAATTATTGATATTAAATCTTATTTTGATGAAAAAATAAAAAATTGTAATAAAAAGAATACTTTTTTTTTTATAATTACTAATTTAATTGAATTTATAAGGATTCATTAATCAGAATCTTTCACCTCTAATTCTTCTGGCTAATTAGATATCTCTTGACATGATTGTAACTCTTCTTGCATGAATAGCACATAAGTTGGTGTCTTCAAATAATCCAACAAGGTATGCTTCAGCAGCTTCTTAGAGTGCTAAAACAGCTGAGCTTTAGAATCTAAGTTCCTTTTAGAATTCATGTGCAATTTCTCTGACTAATCTTTAGAATGGAAGTTTTCTAATCAAAAGCTCAGTTGATTTTTGATATTTTCTGATTTCTCTTAATGCAACAGTTCCTGGTCTGAATTTATGTGGTTTCTTTAAACCTCCAGTTGCTCCAACAGCTGGTGCAGTTTTTCTTGCAGCCTTTGTAGCCAAATGTTTTGTTGGTTTCTTGTTACCAGCAGTGCTTTTTCTTGCAGTTTATTTTGTTCTTGCCATTATTATTTATATTTTTATTTATTTTTTGAATTTGTATTATGAGGGGGGTTTTAAATCTCATATACTCAATTATGATTGGCTGAAAAGGAATATTTAATAACAATATTAGACAATTAACTTAGTCTAAAATCAATTACATATCAATTATATTATATGTAATCAAACTATATTATGATTTATAGACTTAATACATTAAACAATTCATACTCATAAATACCTTTAATTTTAACGAAAATAAAAATATATAATAGAATACTCCAAACATGAATTTTTATTGTATTATACAATTCAATTTACTTTAATTTTCATTTCTACATAAAGTTATCCATAAAGGTTGAAAATCATAAATTTAAATAAATAAGTCCTTCTCTATTTTTATATATATTAATTTAATCTTTAATCAAAATTTAAAGATTCTGATGTTTAGAATACACTCATTATGTATGTTTATTATGTATATCATTTAAATTAAGTAAATAGAGAAACAAAAAGTATTTGAAAAAAATAATTAGCGTGATAGTTTAATTAATTTTTTTATAATAATTATATAATGTTACCTTTACCTCTATAGACACGAAAGATGCCTAAATTAGAATAAATGGATTTAATTGAACAAGGTTTTGGATAAAATATGAGTTTATACTCTGAAATTCCTGTTTAATTGTAATATTGTTAATTCCATAAGTATAATTAAAAAAAGGATGAATTCATGATTTTTAAAGAGGATTACTCAATTTACATGTATGCAAAAAAATAAAAAAATAATTGGTAAATTTACACAAGAGATCCTTCAGATTCATAATTTGATAAAGAGAATTTTGAATGGATATTAAAATTTGAAGGAGAGGATGTATTAAGTCTTTGGAAAAAGCCTAGTTAATTGATTTCAATAATAAAGATTATCCATTGCAATAATTATGGCGAATCATATAATCGAATTCGTTTATTGATAACAAATGGAAAGTTACAGAGCGTTCCTATAGCATTTGATTTAGACAATTATCCAAAAGATTGTGCTTATATATCAACAATTCCTCCAATATATAATTCAAAAAAAAGAGTATGGTATATGTCGGATTCAGATAGAATGTAAAAAGCAAGCAAAAGGAATTTTTTATTAGGTTTGCATAACAATAAAAATGAAGAAAAACTACAGATTCTAAAAATGGGGAAGATCTAAACAGGAGTATTTATAGTAGATTTTAAAGAGCCTATAAGTTTAGTGATAGCTTTCAGTGTTGCTTTGGCTACATGTGAACTAAAATCAAGAATAAAAAATTAATGATGAAAACTATAAATATATTATACTAAAGATCAATTTATAAGATAACAGAGTAACTTTTATAGTTCTATTTTATTGACAGGTTTATTAATGAAATGAGACATGCCAACTTCATAACAGCCTTATCTTGTCTAACTATCAGTAAATGCAGTACAAGCAATAATTTTTGGTGAACCCATTTTATATTTATTTAATATGGTTTTTGTTGTTACATAACCATCCATAATCGGCATATTGATATCCATAAATATAATACTATATAAACAATGAGCTTTTATATCAAAATAAAATTATTACCTTATTCTAGTTTTTTGATTGCTTCTAATCCATTGAATGCATGATCTGCATCTAAATTAAGAGATTTTAACATCAAAGATAAACCTAAAATATTAATCATTTCATCATCAACAATAAGAATTGTTTTGCATTTACAATCAGGCACATAAGGTTCACTTACTCCAATTGATTATTGTCTCAGTTCACGAATTATATCACTAGGAGCATATGTAAATTTCACATTTTATATTTATAATCTTTTTTAATAATCTTCTTCATTCGTCTCTTCATTTACACTATCTGAATCTATCTTTGTGTACTAAATTTACATTCCTTAAAGACAGTCTTTTGTAGGTTATTTAATATATGTCTAATCTCTTATTAAATCTTCATGAAAACTTTTAACCTTTGGTACCATAAAAGTACTGAATCGTTTAGTTAATGGTTTCTTTAATCCACTTAAACTTAATTCAATTTATGATTGTTTTAAATCAACTATTACATTTTTAGCTATTTTTAAAATTCCACTTTAATTATCTTATTAAGCAATTAAAGTAGAATTAATATTCAATTGTTCATTGATTATCTTAAATGTTACTTTTGTACCTTTTTCTTCTTAATTATTTGAAAATCGAATTCCTCCACCTTCTTCATATTTAAGATTAGAAAGACTCATTGCAATTTTATTACTTAAGTAACAACCTAATCCAAAGCCTGCTGTCTTTTTAGATATCTATTTTTCATTCTTATAATCTGTTTTAAGCATTTCAGTCAAAATGTCTAATTCTGATGTTGCTAATCCAACTCCTGTATCAATAATCTCAAATTATATATATTTGTTTTGTTCAATTGATTTTACTATTAATTTTATACCACCTTTGAAAGTAAATTTTTAAGCATTTGAAATTAAAGTTATTAAGATTTGTTTAAGTCTTCTTCTATCTGTAAAGATTGTTTTTTCATTTAACAAAATATCATAGCTAATAGTTAATCCTTTTTATTATAAAGAATGACAAAATATATTTGTTACTTCTTCGACAATTTCTATAATCTTTAATATTATCACATATATTTTACATCTAACTTTTCAAATTATAATTCCAACTTCTTTCCTAAAAGAGCATTAAAATCAATCATATCCAATACAAAATGATACATTATCATTCCTGTCGATTTTATAGGCTAAAAATAGGATTATAATTCTTAATTATTGTATTTATCTATTGCCACTTAAGCTAAAGCTAATAAATAATTTAAATTTGTTCCAAATTCATGCGACATAGTATTAAATATTTATTTTAAAATAGCATATATATAACTTCTTTTTAAATACTTATCTCTTTCTTCAACATCGTAAAAATGTATTTCAAAATCATTTTGATAAATTATTTTAATTAATTGATTTTCTATTTTTGGATGTGTATAGTCAATTACTTAAATAACCATAGGAATAGCATTATTTTTAACTAAGTCTAAAAAATATTTTAATGAAATTTAATTGCATTTTTATGGTAATAACTACTTTGATTTTGAGTCTATTTTATTAATTTATAGATCCTAAAGAAGACTTTATACTTCACCATCTAATAATTAATAAATAGCACTTTATTTCTAAAATTCCATAATGTTATATTGGTCATCTAAATGTAATAAAGTCACCTTTGGATCTATGATTCGCTCTTCAATATTTCTTGGAATAGAGCCATCATTATTAACAATAGTATTATTCATTTTTGATGATACCATAATTTATGGTTTATTTTCTTCATTTTGAAGTTAATCTTGGAAAAGAAGACATTCCATTAACATTATTGCAATCCCTACAAAAACACTTCTAATTATTTCTTGTATGTCTAAAGATGTTCCAAATATTAGTATAATAGAAAGAAAGACTAAATCATTAATTATTTAGATTTTACCCAACCATTCTAATAATAACCATTTACTTAGTTTATTCTAAAGTTAAATGCGAACCACTATATGATAAACTGCTGTATAAAATTTAAACTGAGAATCTGGAATTAATACAAATATTATTAATGATTAGCATAAGAGCAATAATCTTTAAACTAAATCTGATTAATTCATCCTATTTAAAAGTAATAAGATTGCTAGTCCAAAAAGCTCAAGAGCTAATGCTATTACTTCTTTTGGTTCTTTATATTCTGTAAATCCTATGATTGTTGATATAGATTATGTCACTATCAGAATTATTAATATTTTCATTATTAATGAGCAATACAACTAAATTAAAACCTAATAATCATTTATTAGCTTATGAGGCTGCAGAAGCAAAATGCAAAGAAAAGTATCCTAAAATTGAAGTATTTAAACCATTTATACTTTAGGAATGCATGGATATTTCTAATTTACAAGTTGATATGAAATTATGCAAATAAATGTTAGAAAAATTTTCAGAATGCTTTAATGTTCATAAACCAGCTGCATATATATAATTAGGAAAATAAAGAGAATGAATTTTTGTTTTAAAGTCATATTTAATATATCGTAATAATTAATATATGTGGTTTTTATTCATAAATTATTTTCTCATTTCATAATTCAAAAAACTATATTGATTCAATTCTAATTTCATTATCTAACTTTTCTACTAATGAAATTCAAAATTTTACCATTCTCAATTATGAAATATTTATCTCATTTATATTTCTAGATTTTTTATTATTTTATTAATTTATTTCTTTTCTTTAAACTATAATTACAAAAATTTCTATCTTATATATGAAATGAAATCAAAGATTATTTTAAATAACTCTTCAAACTTTAATTAATAAATTCAAAAATAAAATAAAACAGAAAATAAAAAAGTTGATAAAAAAATTTTAGTAAACTTTATATTGTTATCAATAAACTCATAACTAAATTAATTTATGTAAATTATATACTATTTTAAGAAAAATTAATTTATATTATAATTATTGTTAATAGATAATAAATTAATAATATTATTAAACTTCTATTATTTTATTGAGGAACTTAGTGTTAAAAACTAAATAAATTTTATATATAAACATTTTCTTTATTTTAAAAATGAAAGACAGGATTCTTATTTTTAGTATTTAAAGATTAAATCATGATGTAATTCAAAGTTAAAATAAAATTAAAATCGCTCATTTACATATATATAATAATTTTAAATAGCCGAAGATTATGGTTTTAAATAGCTGACTGAATCATTTTCCCTTTAGTTTTTATGTAAAAAAACAAAAAAATATAAAATTAAATAATTTTAACAAAAACTTAATTATTTACATAATTTAACTTCTTCATATATGATAAATTGTTACTCTTCCTTTTTAATTTCCATAATAAACTTTGGAATCTTAGTAAAGCTTCAGGCATGTTCTTCCTTTTAATAATCTTTTGCTTTTAGTAATTTCTTTGTTGATTATGGAATATACAAAGATATTCTAATTAAATTTAAATTAATATTTACTTATTTTTCTTATAATAAATGAATGCTAAATTTATTCTATTCTTAGTTATTATAATATGAACAGGAAATAATTTTAGTTTCTGTAGAACATAAAATAGTAGCTTAACTTCCATAATCTAGTCTATAGAGATTGTTTTCTTTAATTCCTAAACAAAATTTTTCCTCAAATAAAATTGTTGAAAATTCATTTTGTAAATCATTACAAATTTTGTATGTATTCTTTGGAGTCAACATTAAAAGTTCGTATTCAAAAATTACTCCATTTTAAAATCCAATGTATAAATTATTTTTTATGACTTTCATAGATAGAACTTATATTTCACCCAAATTTAAGTCTTGTTCAAATGATTATTTTATTTGATTGTTACTTATTTAAATTCCTATTAATTTTTTACTATCTTTAAGATAACAAACAGCATTAGTTTCTACATCTTTTATTTTTGACATAGGACATATGGCTAGATGATTAATCTCAATTTTCTCATCCAATTCATCTAAGGTTTTAAGTTCGTAATCCAAAAGTAATAATCCCTTGACTGTGAGAACAAGAATTTATTTATCTTCTGTTATTTAAATATCAAGAATTTGTTATTTAAATTATTCAACTCTTTTATTTTATATCTGGGACTTCTTGTATTTATAACCAATTATCAAACCAATATAATTATTTTAATCGAAACATATCAATATCTTGCTATCAATAATTTCGATTTTTACTAAAGGATTATTTAAAATGTCTATTCTATCTAATTTTCTATAGGCTACATTTTATTTTATTTTTTTAAACTGATTTACATCAGATGTTTATACCTAATCTGAAGTTGAATTTTACTAAATTTAAAACTATGCTTCTTATTAGTATTCGCTTTTAAAGTCCAATTATTTATCCTAACATACTATTGAGTTGTTATTACTAGAATCAATACTTTGTAATTAGAAAATATTTTCTTATTTTTCTTCTAATTAAATTTGTGAATTTTCTTTTTAAATAAGAGCTTTTGAATTATCTATAATAGAATCATTTATTGCATATTATTAATTATTTCCAATCTCTTCATTTTATAGTTTTTAAATAATTTCCATCATTTTCTCAGTAGATTTGTTTTATTTTTGAATGCTGCTGCTTTATAAATTTGATTTTGTTTTTTCAATAATTTATCTTTCTAAATTTTTAGGTTTAAAATAATCTTAAATCCAATTTTATCTCATCTCTTAAAGTTATTTATCAATTTTTAAAAAATTTTCTTCCATAGGTATTATTTTTGATTTGGAGAAATCTTCTTCGTAATGACTTAATATATTTCTCATTAAATTTTCAGAATTTTTCTAATCAATAACATTCTGAGCATCTTTTTCAATTTTTAAATTCCCCTCCTTCTTTATATAAATATTTCTTAAATAATAAAAATAATTATTACTTTTTGAATATCAAATTTTTCTTACTTTCTACTAGGTTTTTAGTTGAAGCTTAGCTTTTTAACCTATTTTCCTCAAAATCATCTATTTTCTGATAAATAGGTTTGACATAATTTAATTCTTTGCATTCTTCGTGTTCATTGGTATCATAACATTTCTAACAAAGTAAAGTATCTTTTCTAGAAACACAGTTTTTGTTGTTGCAGTAATAGAAGATATCTCTATGATGAATGTAACAAATATCATTTTAAAAAGACATATTTATTAATCAATTTGTGTTAATAAAAAAAATCAATAAAAAAATTATTTTATTAACATATTTTCGATAATAGAAATATGTATATTTATTTTTTTAATTTATATAATGATAAATTTAAGTTGGTTTTTTTAATTAAAAATAAAGTCTTATTTATTTTCATACTTCATAACATATTCTAAAATTAATTAAAAATAGACTAATATCACGAATTTGATGATTCATTTGTTTCTCTCAAATAATTTTGAATTAAAATAATTTTAAATATTTGAACATTTTGAATAATTTCTTAATTTTTAAAGAATTTTTCGTTAACATAAAAGATCTTTAAAATCATATTTAAAATTACATTAAAAGCAAAAAAGCCAAAAGGAAGATTAAAATATATTCAATATTTTATTTCCTTTATGAAGCTTATAAAAATATCGATGCTGTTATAAATACTAACTACTTAAATTTATTCTTTCTTTAATATTATTAAAATATTATATGACCAAAAAAAGAAATTAAAATTCTTAATCAATTAAGCAACTAAATATTAATAAAATAAATTAAAATGATTAATTCTTGTTATTTTAGAAAATAGACTGATATTGCCCCTATTAAAAAAATATAACTTATGATGGTTTTTCAAATCTAAATAATAATATTATTTTTAATCTATTAAATGGTGAATTATAGAATTTTCATTTTAAAACAATTTTCGAATGGATTCTAATATAAATAATTGCCATATTTAAGAAATATTTAAACAATCCTTCAAACTCAAATAAAATTGAAGCTCTAAGCAATATTGAAGAATTAATTTTTGTGAGAAGCAATTAGCTTTTAATTAAATGGAATTTTTTAATTTATATATTAAGCTTAAAACTAGAAAATATTTTTGATAAATTCTATGTATCTTTTATTTCAGGATTGTAGTTTTACATTTAAAATTCGTTAAGATTTTAAATTTGAACTATAAATAAATTAATAGAATTTGTAAAAGATCGACATTAAAAAATCACTATGATTTTAAAGGATTTCTAATCTTTATACTAAGAATTAGAGGATCAGAATCCTATTATAAACTAAAAAAAGTAAGAAAAATTCTAGATGAAGATTCTAAATTTATTGAAAATATTAAAATCTAAACATAAAAATTATTTAAGTAATCAAATTAAAATATTACTCGTATACTACATTAAGTGGAAAAATATATAGATTATAATTTCAAATCTGATATCTAATTATAATAAAGTATTTTAGAAAATTAATCGTTGCAACCATCTTATGAATTACATTTAGACCGATAAAAAATCTGGTCACCTTAAAATTAAGATAATTAATAAGAATTAAATCAATTGATAATATAATTAGAAAACTAAAGTAAATTAACATCTTAATATAAAAGAAAATATTTAATTAAAAGATTTATAGAACAGATTAAATGACAAAGATTAGGAATAATTAAAGTAGATAAATTATCAAAACAATTTAAATAATTAGAAAGATCCTTTAGATGTAAAAAAATTTAATAGTTAATTTAGAATTCAATATAAAACAAAAAACTAAAATTTTAAAAAACCTTAAAAAATGATTTATGTAAAGTAAATGAATTTTAAGAAGAAATTGAAAGTTAGAATGTTTATTCATTTGGTATGTGTTTATATGAATAAGAGATATCTAAATTTTAATAATTTAACTTTGCATTTTTAATTCTTGAACTGAATAGTTGTTTTATGGGTGTTGGATTTAAGGACATTATTTAAAAAAACAATTATACAGGTATTGGATATGAATCTGTGTATATTTTTGTGAAATTATAGATCTTACTTAATTCGACATGATGGTTATATTTTTTCTCATCATTAATAACATTTAAACAATAAGTAAATATCATTTTATTTTACATCTAACGATATTATACTTGTTAAAGTCAACATAACAGAAAAATATATTAGATGGACTAAAAATAATACTGTTTAATCAATTGTATTATTTATTAAATAATTAGATAATGGAAATAAATACAGAGGAAGAATTATATCCATGTGTTATAATAAATAAATCAAAAGTTAAAATATTTGATATTATTCAATGATTGTTTATTTATAATTAATTTTATAAAAATCTAAAAGCTAATAACAATTTTACAAAAATTTACTCACAATTTAGTTCAATTTAATATCAAATAATTTTAAAATAAAGATGTTAATTTTTTTCAATTTTTAAGAAGAATAGAGAAAAAAACCTGATTTACAGCGAAAATTAGATGAAAAATCAAAAAGAACTTAATAAGTTACTTCTTAATTAATCATTTAAAAAAAAAGTGATTAAATTTTAATTAGTGTAATTCTATTTCTTTAGTATTTGATATATTCTAATTTCATCCAACATCAACATAGAATAAAACATCAAATTAATAAAAAAAACACTTTAAAGTTTAAATCATATTTAAGAAACTAAGAGATGAATTTAATAAAATATTTAAGAATAACTAATGAATTCTATTAATGATTAGTTCAAAGTACTATATCTATAAAGTATTAGTTTATGTTTTATATTGATTTTAAATGAAATGAATCTGTATATTGATTTTGCATATAAATTGGAAAATTGATTAATCGTAACTCCAAAATTATTTTATTAATTTTTAAAATTAATTATAACTAACTTATAAGAGAAAGGAATAAATTTAAGATATAAAAATATTTTATGAAAAATAAAAATATTATTAACTTTTTTTGAAAATAAATTTCATGCATCTTTTAATTCATAAGTGATATATAATTTTGTACTTTGATCATGGATTACTAAATATTATCCATTATTAGACATAGTTCCTTGGATAACATTGTTAGAATATTTTTATTCGGTTGCGATCTAAAATTTAGAATTTTCTTAGAGTCTAAGTATATAAATTGATGTTTTATATCTAAGAAACATCAAATTTCTTTCAGGATTATAAATAATTGATTAATAAATTTGATCTTTGATATTGGAATTAGTTTTGAATTAAATTTAGTCAATTTAAATAAATTCTTATTATTTTTGTTGAAAAATTGATGCAGAATTACATTTTTCAGTTCCTGTAAACCATATAAATTTATCATTCTAGAAAAATTATACTTTAGATCCATCATTTGAAATTTAAGTTTTAATTTAATTCATAAAAATCCATTTATTATCTTAATCTTTTTACCATAATAAGATTTAATTATCAAATCCACTAGATACTAAGAAATTTCCAGATAAATTAAAACTTAATGAACTAACCCAAGATGTATGTTTATTTAAAGATTATAAATATTATAATTTATTTTACTGGAAATCTATGGCCCAAATATTTATTGTTGTATCTTTACATCCTAAAATAAGTTCATCTTCTTTTGAATTTAGAACAATACATAATGTATCGGATGATTTATAAGATTATGAAGGTTGCCATTAATTTAATTCAATTAATTTCCAACAAACCATATATTAAGAGCAAGAAATTAAGCTATTCTATTTTTTACTAAATATTAAACAATTAATAAAACTAGTTTATTATAATTTTTGATTAAAATTCAATTTACCTTAATCAAAATCCCAAATTATTATTTCAGATTCATTTGTAGATGCTAAAATATTTCCTTAAAAATTAAATGCTAAAGCTTTGCACATATTTTCTTGCTTAATAGAATTGTTTAATTACATCAATTGAATATTACCATATTTCGAGAGTTTCCATTCAACTTTTTCTTATTTTTCATTCATATCTAGCGTTTCTACCTATTTTCTATTCTACTTAATATTCATAAGGTTTACGAAAAACTCTTTGAATTGATGAATTGAATGTGATTAAATTAAATCTTTGATTCCTTATTTTAATTTGATAAATTATGAAGAGTTTATTTTATCTATAAAATCAAACGAAAATTAATGCAGATAACTTTTTTGATTTTTTATATAATTTTCTGATTCATCAATAAAGCTATATGTATCTGTTTCTTCTTTTTTTTAAATTAATTCTCTAATCCAATTTTATGTGGCATTTTAAGCTTTTTCAATAGCTGATACCAATTTTGTCTTAAAATTTTCAAGATTGAGAGTGTATTACTAAATAACATTAATGTACGAATCTACAATTTCAATTATCATTAATCTCTTTTTCTTTAGTTAATCTTCTATGATTTTTTACATTGCTTTAAGAGACATATTCTTAGATCCTAAAAGATTATCATAACATTCTTAACATAGAAATCTCTCATTCTTATTTAGTTTTGGATCAAGTAAAATTATTGTCGCTAATTAATTGTGCTTTTCTCTGCACTAAAATTAATCCAAAACTTCTATCATTTTATACTCTTGCATATTTGATAAATATTTTTTTAATGATATAATTTTTGGAAATATACAATTATAAACTATCAATCAATTCTAATTAATAATCTAATTAGTTTTAATATGATATTAAATTCATGACAAGTAAGTACCTATTTGATTCGTTATAATCTATAAATAAGTATCTCAATTTTTGAGTTTTCTTTTTATATTTTAGCTTTACTATTAAAATAGAATAGATTAATATTTATTCTTTTCTTAGATGAATTTCTGATTTTTATTGTTGTTTTTTTAGAGTTGAGATTATAAATTTAGGTTTCATAATATGGAGAAGGTTGAAGATGTTATATGTTGCAAATGATATGAAAATTAAATGAATTTTTCATTAAAATTTCATTCAAATATTTTCTACATTATTCCATTATTTTTAACCTTTATTTATTTTAAATTATAATTTTGATTTCTCATAGATTTAGCCAAACAATAAAATTTAGATTAATGCAGCTTAAATCCTTTTATATAATATTGTAATAAAAATAAATTATCAGGAATTGCCTTTTCTTCAAAATAATATGAAAATAAAAATAGATCACTAAATAACATCACAATTCTAACAATCATAAAAATAACTTTCTTTACAAATTTGTTTTATGAATTTCTTTAACTTTGATTGATCAAGTTATATTAGAAAAAAATTTCTTGATTAATTCTGCTCATGCACAACAATGTCATATATGAATTGTATTTCATTCTTATTTCTCATTATTAGTCTTAAATATAAATCTTTTGTTTTAGAAGCTACCCAATGATTTTTTATAATTTAAATTTAACATTTTCCAAACATAACATTTAATTATAAAGTTACTCCAATATATGAACTTTATTTTTTTTGGAAATTTAAATAATCTTTTAATTTTGATATTTATATAAATTAATAGAGAAATTATGGAATTATGTGTAATCTTTTGATTTAATTTGACAGTTTTCTATTATCAAACAATTAGTGGACAATTACATTGATTTATTCCAAGTTCTATAAAAAATATAATACAATAATATTCTTCTAGGAATTCATTCAAATACAACTGGAATTAATCCTTGTAATTAATAAGTTATTCTCTTTTATATTTCAATAAAATTTTTATATTTAAACATAGATAAAGAGTTAAATTACTCAATCAGGTTAAGAGTTTTTCCTATAATATTCTAATATTAAAAATATCGTTATAAAGAATGAAAATTTTTATTCAAAAGAAAAAGTTGAATTTTTAATCATTATATTTATAATTTGATTATTTAAAAAAAATAAAATTATCTCTTTTTAATTTTAATAAAATAATCTTTTTGTTAAGTTCAAATATTTTCTCAAAATAATTAAATTTTTTATTCATTGAATCATTTAGTGAATTATTTGGATGATTATTTCAATACAAATATTTTAGCAGTTTATTATTTAGCATGGTTTTTTTGTTCTTCTTAAATATTGTTCAACTATTCTTATAATTATTTATTTTATTAAATCCAATTTTCTATTTTAAAATGTAAATCACTCAACGATTTTTCAATCGATTATTGATTTGAAATTAATGATTAATCTTTCAATTCTAAATCAACTTTTGCCTCTTCATCTGTTAAAGTTTACATTAGAAATGTTATTGAAATATAATTTTTTTTTTTTTGAAATTATTTATTGGACAAAATCTCTATTAATTAACTAAATTTTTTTATATTTATTAAAAAATACCTTCTAATCAAATTAATATGATCATAAATTAAACTTTTTTTAACTAAATTTTCTTCTTGGAGTTCTATTGACGAAAAAATAGTATAAGTTAATATTCTCATTCCTAAATATAAACTTTTAAATTTTTATTTCTCTTACTATTTTAAAGACTATTATAGCTAAAAATCATCTTGAATAAATTCATTAATTGAAAGTTATTATATTTAGTTTTTTAAATCATTAATAAGTTTATTATTATAATTGATTTCACAGTTGATAAATTATTATGAATATTTTTTTTATCTTTCTTCAAATTCTTCTATTCTTGCTTAATCGTTGAGTCTTATCAAATGTAAAATAAGAGTAATATTATCAACAATTTTTTTTTCATAATCTTAAATTTTTATTTCTGATAATTCAAAATTTATTAAAGATTCTAAGTCTTAATTATTTGTATTAATTATTATCGTAACTAATAATACAACTGATAATTGAATTCCTTAGATCATTTATTTAATTAAAATTTATATAACTCTTTCCATAACTCTCTCATCAAAATTATCTAAGTCAATATATACATTTTAACATAAATTATCCTAAAAAAAAGATTTTAAAATTTTGGGTAATATTAATTTCATTGAGTATTGAGTTTATTTTTTGAAATTTCTCAAATCAATAATTTCTTCTATCAAAATTTATTCAAGAGTTAGATTAACTTAAGAAGCATCTTTAGCTTATTTCGCTAATTGATTTATTTTATCTGTTGATTATACATATGATTTTTTGCAAACTATATAATTTAAAGTACAAATTGATAAATCTTTTTAGACCTATTCTTTTTAGCAGATATCCTTTAGAGCAGTATAATATTTGATATAAAGTTCAATATTTAAAATTGACATTCCAAGCTTATTTTATAATAGATAATCAGCATAAGTTTTATACTAAGTTAATTAATATGAAGAAAGAAATGGATTTTATAAAGATAGATTAATATCTTTCTAATATTTCTCTTATTCTATTCGTTATTCTTTTATATTTTGAATAAATTATTTTGAAATTATATTTTAAGATGCCATATTTTCTAAGTGAATTCCAGTGAGAATGTGTTTATGGATTTTTTCTTTGGTCGAATCAAAAAAGATTTTTGAGAAATATTTATAAGTAATTCTAATAAACATATTAGCAATCGTTTAATCCATTATTCTAGGAAATTAATACCAATAATTCAATATTTCATCAGATAATTAATGACTTAAGCAATTAAGAAGACTTTCATCACTAATCATTTCATTGAATAATATATTTTCTGTTAGATATTCTTAATTTAAAGTTTTTAATGCACAAAATGGAAAAATTCTAATAATAAAAGGTAGCTAATTGTTTTCAAGTATTCTTAATTAACTATACTATTGTACATAAGATTTTAAAAATTGCTTATAAATTTCTTTTATAGTCGAAATTACAATTCCTGATGAAAACATTATGAGTTCTTAATTTTGATCGATAAAAAAAGCTTAAGAACCTTTTCTATTTTCAAAAGTGTTTAATAATTTTGAAAAAATTCTTGATGATTTCTTAACAATTATAAAAGATTATCCAATAGGTTTAAATATTTCTGAACATGGTAATGATATAGAAAATATGCATTTAAGACAATTAAATATTTTTATTTATCTTTCTTTATAACGATTGTATTTAAATAAATCAATTACATCTTAAATTTTAATTAAAAGTTTTAGAAAATTTTAATAACTTAAAGTTAGAAATTCTTTGAATAATAAATTATTATCTTTTACCTTTAATTCATAAATTAGATATAAAATAACTATGTCATTTATAAAAGTATCTTTTTAGATTAATTTTTATAAAAAAATGTTAAAATCATCATTTTTTTTAATACCCCCAGTATTCAAATATTAAAAATTCCGAAATTTTTTAATCAATTTCCCTATAAGATTTTAATACTTACTATCTTCAGTGTGTCTCATCTATATACTTGATAAATATAAATTTGCTTAAGCTATTTATAAGTCGTCGTTTAAATTAAGCTAAGATTATTATTATTTTGAAAATTCACAAATTTCTTAATACTATTAAAATGTCATAAGAATTTCTTTATATGCATTTTACTTCACTTTTTTAAAACTTTAAATCATTTTTCCACCATATACTGTAGGCGTTGATGAAAATAGCTGATCTTTAAAAGAACTTTCAAATAGTTTAATCATTAATTCACATAAGCCAAGTTGATATAAAGAAAATTACATCAATTATTATTGAGTGCATTTAGAAAATGTGAATTATTTAAATATTTCCTATAATTCACATAAAGGATTTTGAGACTGATACTAAATTTCTAGATTTTCTTAAACATACTTTGGTAATTTAAAATAATCTTTTAAAGGTCCTATCACATAAAGAGGTGATTTATTATATACACAAGATATATAGTAAATCTATTATTAAATTAATGATTATTAATAATTAAAGAGAAAATGATGAAACTCTTCCAATTCAAAATATTAGAATATAGTTTGAATCAATTCAACTTGATGTTAATCTGCTTTTTCTGTTTATTATATACTAATTCTGTATACTTCAATTGTTTGATTCAAAAAAAAAACTGTTTATAATTCTCTAAAAATTTCATCTAAAAACTTATTAATATATTTTAGAACTGTTTAATAAAGTAAGTCTTAATTTTATACATCAACGGCAGACATCTCAATCATTTTAATTTGTTATTGAAATTCTTATTAAAATTATGTATTATTTTCTAAAATTGAAAAATCTAACTTTTTGCCAATATATTTTTGATTTATTTAATTTTAATAGTTTTTACTCTGTTCTAAACATTCTTATAAGACAATTGGTAAAATTTTTAACCAAAGTTTTCGTTAACTTTAAGTAATTTGATTTTTATAAACATACAGCAAATGAAGAGTAACTAAATTATTTTAATATAATAAAAATGCTTCAATGCTTTAGGAGATATTTTAAGTTTTTAATTGTAATATTCCAGCCACATGAAATAGTTCCATTCCTAATGCTACTTCTGCAGCTTCTTCCCAACACTCTGTTTATAAATAATAAATTAAAGCTTGATCAAATTTTTAAGCTGAAAAATAACAAGCTGCTGCATTCTTTTTCATTTTACATTTAGAAAAAGCCTCACCTGCTTAAGAAAAACAATCATACATTTCTTATTATAATTTTTCATACATTTATCTATTTTACTATTAGATCTTGGAAACTATTTTTAGATCTGAATTTATTTAATTATAATCTTCACATTAAATATAGAGTTTTTCTGCTTTTAATGCTAATGAATAAGCTTATGACTTATAAAAATATAATTAATCTTCTGCTAATAAAAAACATTTTATAGCTTAATCATAATATTTATTTGCAAGCATTTTCATTCCAACAGCAAACCATTCTTCTTTAGAATTTTATGTAGTCTTTCTATATAAATTTTCTGGATTTTAATAATAATTTTAATCAAAGGTTTGAACTAAATCTAATTTTTTCCATAGAATTTCTAATTTTTGTCTCTTTTATGGTTATTCATCAAAAATTATTAATCTAATCTTAGCTCTTGTTGCAGCAACATATAAATATTTTAATTCTTGTAATAATGATTTATAATAGTTAAGATCTAAAGTTGATATATTAGGATTTAATCTTAGTTTTTTTTCCTTTAAACATTGCTGAGATTCAATTAAATTTTTATTATTTTTATTATCTTGCTATAATAAAAGTTATTCTTCATGTTCTATTTATATATTTTATTTATATACTTGTCAATTTTAGATTATATTAATCAATATCTAAGTCTACTTCATCAATAAATATATAATCCAAAAGATCCCAATAAGATGGGTTTAATGTAGAATCAGTAAAAAAGTTATATAATATAACATCCTCAAATTCTAAACCTTTTGATTCTTCTATTGTTAAAATCAATGCTAATTTTAGTTATGATGGAATATTCTCCATAACTTCATGATTTTTAACTAGAATAACTTAATTACATCCAAATTCAATTTGAACCTCTGTTTTCAAGTTTTAAATATCTCCTGTTAAGAATGAAAATAATACTTCTGTATCCTTACTATTAATTATGATAGGTTTTGGACCTTTTAAGTTTGAAATCTCTTTATTCAACTTATCAATAGATTTAGGGAAATATAATTCTATTAAATTTACAATATTATTTGCAAGTTATAATATATTATTATGCGATCTAAAATTTATTGTGAGTTAATGTAACTCAAAGTTTTTTAACTTTTGATCATCAATTTTTTTAAAGAAATTTTTGATATCTTCAAATCTAAATCCAACTCCTTTCGCAATAGTCTAAGCTGTATCTCCACAGAATTAATAACCTTATTCAATTAATCTTGAAAATAAACTTAAAAAAGCACATGGTAGATCTTAAATTTCATCTACAAATAAGTAATGAATAGTAGCACAATTTTATGTTCCCTTATCTAATTCACATATCATATAATTTACTAAATCCATAAGATCAAAATCCCCATTCTCTTTTTTCAATTTTTCATATTAATAAAAGTATTCATAAATTAAATTAATAGTATCTAAAGATAAATTACAAGGATTTTATTAAATAAAAACTGACTTTGGTAAATATTAATTTGGATAATGATAAGAAAATTATGATCCCTTTATATGTGAATAAATTAAAGTCCAAATTAAAGTTGGTAGAGATATTTCATCACAACCTAATCTTTATGAACGTTTTTTCATATTTGGCCAAAATCTTTTTATAAATGCTTCATAATCAACTTCCACAACCTATGTCTACTTTTCTTTCACTTTCTAATTATTTTAAGAATCTTTATCATCTTTTAATTTTGAATTTTATTAGGCTTCTTATGATTTTTTAAAAATATCCTCTTATGTTAATATTTCAAATTCCTAATCTTCGAATTAAGCATATTCATTAAAATCAATCAAATTTATTTGTTTCATTGTTTTTTACTGTTATGATATATAAACTGTTTTTTCTTAATTCCACCCTGTTTTCTTATTTTTAACATTTTTTTGAAATTTATCTTAAGCAAAAAAGGGAAATTATAAAGATGAATCAATTAATAGTAACAATTTTTTTATGCTTAAAAATGCTGGAAACTAATCATCAGATAATTAATCAAATGAATTTAAATTATCCACCTTTTCTAAATCTTATTCATCTTCATCTAACTATTCTTCAAATTCAAATTCTTCATTTAGAAATGTTTCATTTTAAATTATTAAGTCTATTGAACTCTCATTAATTTGATCAATTATTTAGGATTATTTTTGTGAGATACTAAATTAATTAATAATATTACAAACTATAATCTAAATCAAATCGAAAATCCTAGTTCTCTATTTTTTAATCTTCATTTTTTCTTTTTGAATCTTTAATGCTTTTGATAAGCTTTTTATAATATTTTCTAATTTCACTTATCAAAACTGGGTTCTACGTTGTAAAAACACAATGCAAATTTACTTTGGTATTATTTGAAATTGATTTTAATAATAATTTTTCGTTTTCTTAACTAAATAATTTTAATCTCATTTAAAATAATGCTTAAAGGGCAAATAATTTAAGAATATTACAAGTTGTCTTTCCAGTTCCACTTCTACCAATTATAAGAGTGTTTTATTTAGATGCAATTACTTATCTCTCTTATTATGTTATTGTTATTTTAAATTTTGGAAGCTATTACATAATATCTATAATTTTTGAAGCAGATGTAAAATCAGCATACTACTTTAATATAATATCATTATGTTTTCTTATTTCATTAAATTCTTTGACTTTTAAGAGTATCTTATTGAAATTCTTTGTCATCCATTTTTGTTAAATTTTATCAAAATAATAATTATCAATTTCTTCATCAGATAATTTCTTTTAATCAATTTTTGTTGGATTCCATTTATAAAATTTATCTGAATTCAACTTTTCATTAAATTAACATTCTCCCCATTTATCTATTTCATTAAAATAAAATAATGGTTTTTCACAATAGAACTATTTTTAGTTTCTACGTATTTAGGTATCTATAATGAATTTAAATAAGTACTAGTTTAACAACTAATTGATCTATAATCAATAGATGATGGAATTTATTAATATTTTTTATGGTAATCTGCAAGTTTACAAAAAATAGTTTCATAATTTTTACCAATTCCAAATGTAATGAAATTTATTACATGATCAAATTTAAATCCGATTAACTATTTATATTAAAATTCTTATACTTTATCTTATTATACAACAGGTTTATCTTCTAAATTTATTTCAAAATAAATATAATAATTCTCAGGAGTTATACAACAAAAATATTTTTAAAAACAATAGCATAAAAAACAAGAAATCTGTTTTGTATTTGTAATTGGTGATTATGGACAAAAAAACCCTTAACCAATAACCACCATATAAGACATTATTTAAAAAGCATTTTGAAATTCTTAAAGCAGATCCTCTAAAAATAATTCTATTTTAACAATAATCAAGATCCATACCATTAATTTATATAGTCCAAATTGTTAAATTTTTGAAAAGCATTGAAAATTATTTTATTTCTTATGCTTAAATAATTCTCTCAATAATTTCTTGATTAGTTTTGTTCTCAAATTCTTTATTCATCTCATTTATTTTAGAATTTATCATTCTTTTAGCTAATTCCATTTATTGTGTATACTCAAGTAATCGATTCTTGTTAGAATTCATGATAATATAATTTGTTTATTATTTGTAATTCTTATAAATTTAAGTTTATATTTTCTTTTGAAAATATAACTAATGAGCTATTTTTATTTAGTTAATATTTAATATATGTAATCAATAGTAAAAAGAGGTTTGAATAAACCTTTTTATATTTTTTATATGTTTTTTTTGGAATAATTGTCCTGATATATTTTGTTGGAATAAATGTTTTAAATTCTTATATAGTTCAACTATATATAAAATCACATAGATTTTTGTTTTGATCATATAATAGGTATATTTAGTATTATAATTATTTACTAAAATATCAAAAGGACTTTTTTATAATATTTATCAATATTAATTTTATAGAAGTTATAGCCATAGTCATATACATGTAATAGGAATATTATTTTAATAATTAAATAAATTCTCTTCTTCTTCAAAATAGGATCTCATATAAATTTTTTAATCAGACCTAAATACTCTATTATAAGTAACTTTAAAAATAACTAAAATCAAAGAGATTCTTATTTTAAATTGAATTTGTTCAATCTTAATGCCCTTTTAGCTCTATTAAGAAAATTAATAAATAAATGTAGAGGCCAATATTGATTTGTCTATTATTCAGCTAATTTTTATCAATATCAAAAAGTTGTTTGTTCAACCTTTTTTTATCATAGTGAAGATTATTTGCATTATTGTACAGATTACCATTAAATATTGTTGAATATTCTCATCATCATTCTTCAATAGAGATTATGAACAAAATTAATAAGGAACTATATTATACATGTCTGACTTTATCTTTAAGTTTTAACTTTGCTGTATTTATTTAATAGTATTATTTCAATCATAATTAGAATTATATATTTGTTGACAAGTAGATATATTTCTAATTCTGATTACATTCATGGAAATTTATCCTTAGAATTTGATACAAAAAAACATGATTAATAAATATTATATTTTTCAATTCCAGCTTTTATAATCATTTGATTTTTGATTCCATTTACTTTCATTTGCATTAACTTTTATTCTGAGGAATCAACTAGATTAAATTAGATTGAGAAGACTAATCTGTTATATGTTTAATGAGTATTATGACAAAAGTTATTATTAGGAATTTATAAAATTTAAAAAAAACTATCATATCTTTATGAGATTTGGATATTAAATAAAAATGGAAAACATATTACAAAGCAACAGAATACAAGATTATAGAAGCATGGACCATATTTATTTATTTTACTATTCACAAACATATTTGACCAGTGCTAAAACATAGTAATTGAGCAAATTTAACAAGTTTATATCAAGTGTATTTTTTTGATTTGATATGGTTTATTCTTCAAACCTAAAACTTAATAAATCATATTAATTTCAAATCTTAAAAGATTATTACTATTCGTAGTTTCTCATAAATTTAAATAGTAAATTTTCTCTAACANTATTTTACTATTCACAAACATATTTGACCAGTGCTAAAACATAGTAATTGAGCAAATTTAACAAGTTTATATCAAGTGTATTTTTTTGATTTGATATGGTTTATTCTTCAAACCTAAAACTTAATAAATCATATTAATTTCAAATCTTAAAAGATTATTACTATTCGTAGTTTCTCATAAATTTAAATAGTAAATTTTCTCTAACATTTATTTTTTTTTTCAATCTCCGAATTTTAATCCTATTATCGTAGTAAAGATACTTTCGATATTTAAGTATACTCTTTTATTTGAAATTTGGAGCAAATTAATTATCTAATCTTATAGTTCAATGTTTTTGTTTTAAAATAATATCTGATATAAAATAATGTATAATATTATTCTTGTAAATAAATATGTGTTAATTTTGTAAACATATTTTTATCATAGTTCATTTTATAAAAACATAAATAAAAAGAAGATAAATTTTCATTCTTGATTTCTAAAAGTATTTTCGATGATTTATAAAGTGAATTTAAAAATCTTGATGAATATTTTGTTTAATTTTAAAAATAATTCTTGATTAAGAATTTTTAATTTCTTCAATAAGTTTTATAAATTCAATCTGGTCATATACTTTAATTGTTAATAAATAATTTTTCATTTTGGTTAAAGAATCTTATATAAATGATTAAGAATTACCTTTGTTTTTAAAAGCTTAAGTATTTATTTTGGCAATCATTATTGACTAATCGTAATTTTATAAGGCTAAATCATATTTTTTAAGACTTTCTAAATAATAATTTATTTGAGTAATTCATACCCTATTAAATGAAATTATAGAGAAACCTTTATATAAAAAGGCATCTGCATCATTAGGATTTATTTGTATTTCCTTATCATAGCAATAAATAGCATCATTGAATTTTTATAAATCATGTATAGTCTACAAATTATAAATTATAGCTTTTTAAAAACAAAATATTTCTGATACTTTCTTGCAATAGGCAATAACATAATTAGGATCTATTTTTATTACCTTTTCATAGCAGTTAATTGCATCATTGTATTTTTGTAGATTGCATAATTAATTGCCTATGAAAATTAAATTATACATAAACTTTATTAAAATAAGCATCGGCATAAATAGGATTTATCTATATTGCCTTAATTGCATGATTGTATTTTTATAGATTTAGTACAATGAATTGCCTATTAAAGTCAAATTATATATAAACCTTTATAAAAACAAGCAATTGCATAATTAGGATCTATTTGTATTGCCTTATCATAGCATATAATTGCATCATTGTATTTTTCTAAATCATCTAATGAACAACCTATAAAGTAAAATCTTTATCATAAAGTTTTACGTTTTCTGTTTATAGCATGTAGATTTTATGGTTCCTCATTTAATATTAAATCACATTATTAAAGAGCTGACTCGTATTACTTTTGTTAATTTAATACATCACCTAGAAAAATGAAAATATTAGAAAATACTTTTTGCTATTAAAATACATTTATTTTTCGCATTCTTTTTTAATTCTAATTCTGAATGATTGAATAAATCTATATAGAAGTTATTAATTATTTATTTAGCATATTCTCTCAAATTATATGCTTTCTAACATTGATTCATTTAATATAATGAAATACCTTTAAAAATATATAATAAAGTACTTTGAAAGAAGCTAGCAAACGACTATTCTTTCTCTAATTACTTTAATCTTTTAAATAAAAATTCTTAGGCTTATTGCCATTTCTATTCATTTAGTTAAATACCATGAAATTTTTATTATTATAATTCTATTCCTAATTGATTATTGATTGGATGAAATAACTTGCTGAAGTTTAATATCATATTTTGTTTTAAATCTAAATGTTTGGAATATTATTATTATTGATCTTAATTAATGGCACTTATCATTCCTTTAATGTTAATTAATTAAATTCCTATAAATATTAAATTCTAAAAAAATATTAATTTAATTCTAATTTGTGATCTCATCTTAATTATTCAAATATTGATACCATTTCTTAATCAACTGTAAATCTTCTTTAATTTATTAATATTCTTATTATGATAAATATTCAGATATCTTAATTAATTATTTGTGCATTTTTTCAATTTCTTTTTAATATTCTTCAAATTTAGTTTTAACAAAGGATTTATTCAATTAATCTGCTAAATTATTAAGATTTTCTTTCGATTTGTTGATAAGATTTAAAATTAAACCAAATCATTTAAGATCTTTTTTACAATTATTGTGTGTGTGTGTTTTATTGGATCAGCAGCACATTAACTAAGGATTTGAATCTTTGCATCCAAAATTTAAACAATGTTAAAAAATATGAGAATGGAATTGAAAATGTTTCAGAATTATATGAACAATATTATTTAGAGATAAAAGTAATTCAAAATTGCAAAACTTAGGCTTACAAATTTATTGAGTTGAAAGGATTCTATTTTGTTTTTCTAAAGCATATTTTCCTATAGCAATACTATATTAAAATTAAAGTCCTTTTTTAAAAAAAATAGAATTGCGTCATGCTCCTGATCTATAAAAAACTCCAAATTGATCTTTTTCTATTTTACTGGACATTTCATCAACTTTTCCTTAATAATAAAAATGCTGATTCTCTATATTTGCAGTATAATTAATAAGTTTCCAAACCTTTTATTGCAATATAATTAAATAAATCCTCATACATTAGCTAAATATTGTTTCATTTTTTCATTGCTAGTTTTTATGTCAGATAAATAGTTAAATGTTTTAATAGAAGATCTATAATATTAGAATAATTAAATGCATGTATATTCAAAGTTGTTTTTTAAATTCCATCATTCAATGCTAATAGAAATAATTTCTTAATTTAATAATGGAAACAAAAAATAGGCTTCTTAAGAAATATTTGATATTTATATTTATTTTTTAATTACCTGCCTATTAGTATTGCTACAATAAATTCATTAAAAATTATTTAAGAAATCATTTTTCAAGTAAAGGTTAAATAATGGAATTAAGCTTAAGAATGAATTAAAATATCATTCATTTTCTAATTCTTATATCATATAAAATTTTGCATGTTAACAAATATATTTTTAACAATTAAACCTTAATTCTTTATCTTTTATGATTTAAGATTGATTAGATTGCTTTTTAATTTAAAAACCCATTTAAATTAAATGTAATTGATAAAAATGAATTTGATTGATAATTCCTTCAATCCTATAAAAATTAGTTTGAGTATAAAAAATCTTAATTGAAAGTATAAATATTCTTGATATTTATTATTTTTTGTATATTAAATTAAGAGACTATTTAGTATATTTATTTTTGCAAGTAAATCTTATAGATCCTATCTATATTTTTAAATCATTTTCTTTTCTATTTTAGATTATAAATGAACATATACTTTATAAGTTGCAATATTAGCATAGATCCTATAATATCAAATTATTAAATTTTTCTTCATCTTGATACCATTATTGATTTAGAAGGATTTTTTATAATAATGTGAATTTCTTATCGAAGTACAAATGTTGAGTTTTAACTGCATAATTATTTTTTCTTTAAAATTGTTAATAAATAATAGATTTGAAAAATAGTGAGTATATAATTAAAAGAATCAAATAGTAAAAATAAAGTTTCGATCATATTAATATTCTATATATATTATATGGATTTAAATTGAATATTAAGTTTAATGTTAGGATTTAAAATGTGAGTATTCCTTTCAAGACTGACCCAAATATAATTCCTCTGTTATTATGGGAAAATCTAAATCAATATAAGTTCTTCTATTAATAAAACAGGCTTATTTTGAATAAAGTGAAAAATACACATAAAGGTATCTTATGTTCTATCTTTTCATCTTAAGAACTATCAATAGTCATACCATCCAGTTCAAACTTTATCTAATTATTACAGCAAAATACCTACCCTACAGTTCCTAGTTTATTTGGTTCTGGTAATTATTTTGCAATCCTCTTATGTGAGACTAACACAAGATATATTTAATAAGTAGCATCCGAATTTGGATCATATGATTATGTCCTTTATTTCTTTGAATTTTGATTATTGATTTGCCTTTTTTCTTAATTCAATACAAATAAATATATTATAATACTCTTTCTTAAATAAAAACTCTTAAAAACTTAAATTTTTCTTTTAGTTTATTCATGCAATTGTTATAAATTTACTGCAAATCATAAAATTTTTCTTCTTTCATTAAAGTTTATTGTTTCTTTACGTTTTATGCGTTGAAATATCATAAACAGGCACATTACCTTGATTTCTGAAATTAAGCAACTTTTAAATATGTGCTTATTGAAAGAGGATTCTTGATTTTCAATATGAACACAAAATATTCGATCAATTTATATTAATATGCTCTTTATAATGTATTTTTTGTTATTATTGTATCAAAATGAATCTATTTTACCATTAAACATAATTTGCAGCTTAAATTAATTAGGATATAATGGATGATGTAAATTCAACTTACTATTAAACATATATAAATAATTTATGTCCAGAATGCGTTATTTAAATTGTTATAATTAAAATTTACTCCAAAATAATATAATTTAAATTTGGAAAATAAATAACTTATACATTTTAAAATTTTCTCAAACAAAAATGAAAATATGGTCTTTAATTTTGGCAAGCACTATCTCAAATATGCAAATGTAATAAATTTTTTGAAAATATTGTACTTTAATTAATCAGTTTAAATCGCATCTTTAGCATTTAAGCGAATTACTTTAGATTTCCTTTGATTTAGTTAAATGATAATTTTTATCTTAAACTATAATTCTATAAATCATCATCTTCTAAAAATTCAATGTTTGTTTCGGAATAACTCCTTTACTAATTATCAGGTGGAATTGAGATTTGAGAATCACCAAGTTCAAGTTTAATTTCTGATTCACTAAATGGATTGAGATTGTAAATTAATGAATGATTTGAAATCTGATGAATTGAGAGATTATCATCATTATAGTGCACTTCTTCCCTCTCATAATTTATGCAGACATCCCTCAAAGTCGCTTGAAATAATCTTTGTTTCTATTCAGCTGATAACAATGGATTTTAATGAACAAAGAAGTATAGCAATAGCATAATATGTAAATTACTCTATCAGCCATAATAAATCCAAATATCAATATTCATTATTATAAATAATATTAAATAGACAATTTGAATCTTATAATGAATAATTTACTCACTCAAAGAAAGAAAACTTTACTATCATTTTTGAAGGTTTTCTTTATTATAAAGTTTCCTATCATCTACTAAATTAATTCGTCTTTCAGGTATTATCTTAAATGGTTATTTTTTTAGTCCATTAGAGGTTATTTAATACTATTGATTCTGTAAGTTGTTCTCGAGCTTTTAAACTTGACTCTTTGATTCCTAATTAGTGTTTTTAGTTTTTAATAGCTTACCCAGTAAGAATTTCAATTTGTAATATAAAGATTGTATTATTAAGACACTTAACACAATTATTTCAAAAAAAATAGCCAAAACTACAAAAGCTATAATAATCCATCCAATTATTGTAAGATTATTTTCTATGAAATTGATATTTTTTTAATCATGAATTGCTAATAAAACAGCAATTAGTATAATTGTATTTAAGCTGAGCTCTGAAATAAAATGAGTCAAATATATCATTTTATTTGAAAAAGGATTCATATAAAATAATAATATAAAACCTAATGAACTTGTTATAAAACATAATGATGTTTGAATCAAAGGGTTGTTATAAAATTGTATCATGAAAAATATGTACAATATTTTTCTTAATAACCCTATTAATTTATAATAATATCCAAATGAAATCTCTGTATTAATTTCTTCATAATAAATTTCATACTATTCTTTAAATTTTTAGTTCTCTGCTAAAAGTCTATGGATATTGAGGGTTTAAACTTATTAATATAGTTGATAACAAATTAATCCTATTGAAATGAATGCTAATCCATGATTGAAAGCGATAATAATATTTTCAATTTGCTTGGCGAAAGTTAATTATAATACAATTGCTAATGTAATATCCAAAAAGCTAAGGTTAATCGTTGATTTAATTCTATTTTTGAATATTTTATTAATTGCTATTAATCTGATAACCATTTTAGAAGTGATTTAGTTGTACTAAATTTTAAATTACTTTTATTTAGTATTAGTTTTTAAAGTAATTATTTTCTATAAATTAAATATACTAAAATGTTTGCTCTTAACAATAATCTATTTTTTAAAAATAGAATCTAGAATTTAAAATAATATTAAAATCAAATAATTTATAACATAAAATGCTATTGCTGAACATATAAACATAAATGATACTTGGACATTGTTGATAAATAATGGATTTATACCTTTATTTTAAAATCGTAAAGGGGCTTAGAAATAATAATCACATCCTGGTTGATTCCATCCTTAAAAAGTTGGAAAATCTAATATTTAAGACCAATCACTTAATAAAAAAAAGTATTCAGCCACAAATGGATACCTGACATTTAAGAAATAAAAATTATTTATCCAACTTAAAACTTCTAATATACCCCATAAATATTCATATGTTTCAGTTATTATAGATAAAGGAATGAGTATAAGTATTAACAAACCAAAATTCTCCATATAGATTTAGATTAATTCTGCTTAAGCCTATTCAGTATCTGATCTAATAATTTATTCTTCTGGTTCAATAGAAAATTTAACTAAAAATTAATCAAATTCATTCAAAATTCTAAAAGATTAGACTGAAAGTATTAAGATCACATGTATAGTATTATATTTGAATATTGAAGTTGAATATGAAAATTGAAAAACGCAAGTTTGATTAATTTTTGTAAAGTTATACTAAAAATTTTCAAGTTTATAACGATCAATAGTAATATTGGCCGATTAACATTATACAATAAGATCTATATCTTATAAGTAGATGGAATATGAGTTATTTCCTTTGAATTCCCATCTTTTTTGTGAATTTAATATTTCTTCAGAGTATTCAATTTAACACTCTGAATTGCATCCATCATTATTCTCTTAATTTCCATCATCACATGCTTCATATTCTTTTATTTAAATTCCATCTCCACATTTAGAAATACACTACTTTAATTAAATATCAGTGTAAAGACCAGGAAATAGTTCACATAATTCACAATCATTTCTGTAACAAGAGGTACATAAATTTGATTGATCTTTACAAGTAATACAATAAGGATCACAAAGAAGACATTCATCATTGGATGGATAATAACCATCGAAACAGCTTATACATTAAAGTTTATCATTTGATATTCGTTAACAGTTAGTACAATTTCTATCACAAGTTTAGCAAGGAGATAATCCTAATTTAACACAAATATATCCATCTGCTTATTTACAATTTACACATCCTATTTAATTATAATTATCACATTCTTCTGTATATTCATTAACTAAACCATCCCCACAATATGAATAACAATTATTATCTTCATTGTAATATCCTTAATTACATTGAAGACAAATCCCTAAATGACACACTGCACACTTTTATTAAGAATATTCTTCATCATTATCACATTTATTAAATTTAATTAATTAACAATATGAACATCCATCAAAATTATCTAAATTACTATCATCACATTCTTCTTTCCCTCTAATAATAGAATCACCACATATAGTTTCACATTAATTAGTGATTGAATTTATATAGAAACCTTTATGACATTCGATACATGTTTTAAAGATACAAATTTCACATGATAATTCACATAAATTTTATAAGTATTGTAATGGTGTAACATCAATAATATCAAATTCACTAATAATTGGATTTTATTTAAATTAACATTCTCCCTTTATACAAAAACTACAATTCTACTCACATTAAAACATGCATAAATAACATCCATCAAAGGGTTCTAGATTTCCATCATCACATTCTTCATTATCTAAAACTAAATTATCACCACAAATAGGAATGCAAGGGTTTTATTATTAGTAATAATTAAATTAATCAAAAATATATCCTCTTCCACATTAAATTGATGTCACTTTAAAGTTTTAAATTCCACAAAATGATTATTCAACATTACCATCACAATGAAAAAGAATGTTCAATTCATTTTATATATCGGATTGATAATAAATTAATTAAGTTACAATAAATTTTTACGTCTTATAATCGTTATCCCAACTATGATCTTCTAATACATTTTAATTGGTTTATAAGACTAATGTTTATTAATTATTATTATTAATAGTAAAATGTAATGAATTTTATTGAACCTAGTTATTTCCCAAAAAGACTTCAAAACTTAATTTTATTGCTTATTCTTATTCAGTTAATTTTATATGAAATTTAAATTTTGCATTTACCCAAACGAATGGTCCACCAAATATTCTTTTATTAGGAATGTAAGCAAAGTAGATACCAGAACCTTTTTGAAAATTTAGAGAATTACTTTGACCATCCTAAAGAGTAAATAAATTATCAATTCGTTCTTTTGTTGTTGAAATATCAAAAAATTCTCTAACCAATATTTACCAAAATAAATGTTCTAAATCATCTAATTTTTCATCTAATTCAAAACAAACATTTTATACCTCTTTTGTGGATTCAGGACATCTATCAATACATTAACCATTATATAACTTCTTATATGAGTCACAAATTTGACATTAATTATAATTTTTACAAATTTAACAAAATTAAACACATAATTCCTATTCTAATATAAAATCTTTTATTTCAGATAATGAATTTGCTTCTGAACTCTTAAATTTAATAATAAAATCAGTTGAATCAATTTTATAATTTAACTCGATTCTAATATTATTACTTCCTTTATAAATAAAAGCAACTTTTGTATCAGGATCTATGTATTGAATTATTTAATTAATGTTGAAATTTAAGATTAATTTTTAATTAAAATATATTAAAATATTCTAATTAATTGAAGAGCTGCTGAAATATAAGGTAAATAACATTCTTAAAGAAATAGCTGATTATTGCAAATTAATTTTAATTAATTCAATTTCGTGTGTCGATGTCTAAACACTAAATGTTATCCCAATCTACAATAATCCTTAAAATAAATAAAACATGTACTATTATTTTATAAACAGACATAATCTTCATCGTAACTGTAACCAATAGGGCACTCTTATAAACAACCTTCAGGAATTTTTAAGAATCGTTAATTATCTAACTTTACGCACGAATCACAGATATTGGAATTAACTATTATTCCACTATAGCAATTGGTACAGCTATCCTTTTATTAATTATAACAAGTTTTGCAAGTTTTGTAACATCTATTATAAAAGATCTAAACATTTCTTAACAAATATGCTTCATTATCATAACCTTAAGTTAATATACTATGCAATTTTATCTTTATTTAGTTATTTGAATGAGGTTATTGAATTATAAATGTTTCTCCCATTTAACAGTTCCAATCTTATCTATTAATGTAGCTGCATTAAACTGTCTTTCCAAATGGACAATTTTTATAAGGCTGCTTAAAATATTATAACTTTTCTGAATCATCAATTATTATTTTGGTAGGTTCATTATCATCAACACTACCAAATGCATAAATATCTAAATAAATTTACATCTCAAAATGAGGAATACTAGCACTGACAATTACTTCTACTTCATTGCATTTATAATCTATTCTAATAGCATCTGATCCCTTTTGACACTTCTCAGTCTACATAATGCCTTAGCTTGGTGAATTGCATTTCCAATCTCCATATGATGAAATATCTTTTGAATTAAAGTATTCATAAAGCTACTCTTTCTAATAAGCAATATTTAAAAAGTAAAGAAATGATAGATAATTCAAGTACATAATTTTAAATAAATTAAATATTATTTCTTATGAATTTAATATTATTTCTTATGAATTAGAAATTTATGTATAAATACAAATGTAAGATCCAGATAAATGAAATATTTAGACTTAATCTTAGATTTTTTATAATTTGTTTATAATAACTAATAAATATTCAGTTATTTTATTAAATACCAATGATATAGGAGAAACTACTTCATTAAAAATATATACTAATTTTCATATATATTAAGTATAAATATAAATCTACTTAGTCAAAATATTATTTGTTGATTAATTATCCTTTCTTGAATATAAAATAATATTATTTATACATATATATTGAAATAATAATATTGTGCTTTATTTGATAATTAAACTTTGGTAGATTTTTATTTGGAAGTGAACAATTAGATTTAAATCTAAAGATTGTACTTCTGGAATTATTATCATCAAAAGATACAAATGATTTTAGCAGCAATTGGTTTACTATTTTTTTTTAATAGGATTCTAATGTATTTACAAAAAATATTATAATAACGGTGTAAAGAAACAAAAAAATAGTACTTAGTAACCTATATTAGTAAAACTCAAAACTAAATAATCTATTTGGATGGTCAACACATACTCCCATCTATCTTTTCATCTAAATTTATTAAATATTTAATATTTATTAATTTCAAATTATAAGAGCATTCATTAAATAGAATACTTACTTCATCGCTAGATAGTAGAGTTGCCATGAATGCTTGCTTTTGTTAACATTATAAATTACTATTGTTTCTTAATTTAAAATTTCAAATAGTGAAGAATTCAAGAAATTAGAAAATTATACTCTCTATAAATTATTTGAAATAGTTTTTGCTTTTAATATTAGAGATTCTTATTAATCTAATGAATATCATTAATTTAAAATCCTATCATTAATTTACTTAAATTTAAATCAGCTTAATATTATGGCGATATTATATTATAGAAGTATGGCTACTTTATAATTCATTTAAATATTATTTATGCCATTTCATTTTTGTTTAAGACTTATCTTTATAGAAGATGATTGTAAAAGCAATATGATAATAAGTACGGTTTGGAAAATCTTGTATTTTTTCATAATTTTTAGAGTAGAAAATGTGCAAATATGCATATAGTACAATTCTTGAGAGATGTAGAGAAAAGTTAACAGTTTTGGTTAAACTACCAGGAATTCGAATTGGATAGGATAACCTATAAGGTTAACTTAAGTTAAAAAAAGTTATAAATCTGGTAGATCATTTAGATATCATTGTTATAATTTTTCTAATTTAAATAACTTATATAAAGATTTAAAAAATAAATAGAACTATTATATTATGATAAAATTAGTTAAAGAGTTAATAAATTTATGAATTCTGATTATTTAAATATTCAGTCACTTTATTCAGTTGTACTTTCTCCAAATCCATAATTTATGTTAAAAAGTAACTTGAATAAGCTTATGATTCCATTGTCTATTATTATATATCAAAAAAAGTAATCCAAACTACAAAAATATTTGCATTATCATTATTATATAGAGATGTTATATCATCACTTGCTACTTTTGTGAGTATCTTCTACAAATTTTTGTTCTTCTTCAGTATTTATCTATAAATTCTGAGAAATTAAAATAACTTTTTATATAAATTTGAATTAACATAAAATATGAATATTATTTAATAAAATATAAAGAGTCTTCTTGATATTTTTATTAAATAAAATTATAAATTAATTAACTAAATTAATTTACTGACTAATTTTCTAAATCCTAAATTTAATTGTATTATATTTCTGTTTTTTTATTTAAATTTTTTGATTTAAAATCAGAATAAAAAAATTGATTTTGTTTCAATCTATATAATTTCAATTATTGAAACTCATTCAATTGAGAAAGACTTATTTGTTTAATTTTTTTCATATAATCATTAATGACCTCAGGTGAAAGTTCAGGCTATAAACATTAATTTTTTTTTTTTTTAATAAATTCCTATTAATTAATATTAATAAAGGCTGATAGAAGCCTATTTTTGACATCAAACTGAAAGAAAATTAGAGACTTCCAAAAAATAAAGATATTATATTTGCCAATAAAATTAATGTATGCAAAAAATATTTGCATAAAAGAAGTAAATACATAAAATAATAAGGTGAGAAAGATACGTTACCTTTACCAAAATTGTTATTCAACATCAAATTCATAATTTATTAATTGAAAAAATCGTGTAAATTTAATAAAATAGTACATTCTTAGAAAAATATTATAAACACATTAGACTTTGATTCTTATAAATAATAACTAATAAAAAGATATACTTATAAATAAATTTCTAAATGGAGATTTTTGCAATTTAAAATAAATTTATTTTTACATTATTAATAAGTTCAATGAGAGTACAATACAGCAGAGTTTAATATCCTAAAAATACCTAAGATGATTAAAAGAAAAGCCTTTTGATCAAGCCTCTTTATCTTAAAAAGCTTTTTTTTATTTATATCTATTTAGATTCATGAAAAATATATCTATAGATTTAATTTCAATAAAAATTATTTAATTATTATCACTAATTATTATTATATATCAATTCATAAATTCTAAATCTTAATAAAGGATACCAAATCCAAACAACAAAGTATTTTCCATCATTTGTAATATTAAAAAAAGAAACTTCCTTCTAGCATTCTAAAGGTTAGCAAACTTATTAAAATTTATCATCATCCAAATTGTTTTTGAAAAAATAAAATTATTTATGATGTTTTATTACTATTAATTAAGTTGGAATATTAAAAATAATTTAAAATTCTTATGGTTTCTAATCATGATTTTAATCTTCAAAACCAAATATTGACTACCTTTGATATTGATCTTTTATTAATTTATAAACTTCTACTTATCTTTAAGATGTTTTACAAATAATTTAATTATCCATAAGGAACCTAGCACCTCTATTAATTTCTTAAATCGATAAAAGAATGATATTTTTGAATTGCCATTTTAATTATTAATTCTTTTCCCATAAAATAACTTATTAGTCTTCACCCCAAGATATTAATTATTATTAAGATTAACTTAAACTTATTGATAATACTGATTGTTAATGTTTTTCAAGAGACTGAACAAATTTAATTGAATTTTAATCATATGAAATTCTCCAGATTTTAATTGTCTTATCAACACTACAAGATATCAATTCATTCTCTTATTAGTTTAAAATTAATTGGATAACCCAATTAGAATGTGTTTTGTTTGCTTTACTACTCTCCCATTTATTAGAAGAAAACCAACCCTATTTTTCCTTCCAGCTTCTAATTGTATGATCCTCACCTCCAGAGAAAAACCAATTATATCTTTTACTAAAAACAATAGTTTTTACTAGTTTTTCATGACCATCCAAAATTATATTTTTATTTAACAATTATCCTTATTAAAAATTCCATATTTTAATGTTGTTGTTTAAACTACCTACCATAATCGATTGATTATGATTGAATGCTAATGCATGACACCATTCATTTTATTTAACTTCTTAAACTAACTTGTATTATAAGCAGTTATATATTTTAGTATCTACATAATCAGTTTTTATATCTAAATTCAATCTCTTAAAATAAACACAAGATGAATGTAATCTTAAAGTATTTTAAGCATTAATCAAATGCTCATACAATAATTATTTTGTAAGTTAGATTTTTTTTTCATAAGACTAGTTAATCGTTTAAAAAACATTTTTAAATTCATCAATCTATTTAGTTCTTATTTCTTCAACAGATTTATTTAATTAATCTATTTCATCAAAAAAATTGTAAGAGCATTATTTGAATTCAAACTATTATATTTCTTCCATCCAAATGGTGACTTAACTTATCATTTAATCCATTGTTTATAAAATTTAATTTTTATTTTATTTAATTTCTCCAAGATAATTATTTAAAATATTAAGTATTTTTGAGGTAGAATCAGAAATTATATCAAGGAAATTATTTTTCCGTTCTTCTATTGTTTGAATTGCTTCATCTATATTAATACCATTAAATCGGCCTCTTATATCATTTATGCATTGTGAACATATTAGCCTTTAAACTCCTTTAAGATTATCATCAAGTATTACAATAATTGGTGGGCTATCATGCTAATTATAACATTGAAATAACTCAATTTTTTCTTACATATTGCATTTTAATTATGTTTTTATAATTGTGCTTTCAGATGATTTTATATTAGGAAAATCATCGCTTATATTAATTTTCTATTAAATTTTGTTCATCATCATATTTTACTTTTATCTTAATAATATTGTTGCAATATCTAAAAATGTTTCATTAATAATTTAATTGTCCCTGGCAGATATCTTATATAATTATTTAATTTTATTCTATATGCACCACTATTCAACAAGATAACTCTTGATTATTTCATTATTTTCTTCAAAATCATTTTAAATCACAAAAATTGGAAAGTTTTCTGGATCTACTATGTTGCTTAATTTCAAAAACAAATTTTTCCAATAATCTAAAGTTTTTATAGGCTCCCTATCCTAATCATTATAGACAATGATACAGCAATCCTTTTTAACATAATTAGCACTAATCTAATATTTTTCATGACCTGGCCCATTCCAAAACTAAATTTAACTTAGATTTTTACTTAAAGAGTGATAATTTGATTATTAATGTTTACATTCTTTTCTCTCATATCTATTCCTATTTCTATTCCTGTGTTGTTAATATTAGAATCTAAATATTGTTATATTATAGCTGTTTTGCCAACGCTGAATAAATATAATTAAATAAAATTACTAAGTAGAACCAATGACAAGTATTTTAAAAGTTAAATATGACTAAGTTGACATTAAAATTTTATATTAATATTATTGAATATGTGTATAATAATTTCTTGATTCAATTTGAATTTTAAAGTTTAAATTTTGCATCCTAAATTATTGAAATTATTTTCAGCAATTATACCATTGATTAATGTACAATAAATTCAATTTCATAAGATGTCTATTAGATGCATATTATTATTCTGAAATTTTATATTGTATTAAATTTAAGAAATCTATAACTTAATTTAATTTATATTACGAAATCTTAAATTTCTGTTTTACATTATCATCAAGAGTAATAATTTTTTATTCAAAAAGAACTATCTGTTTAACTTAGATTGTTGAACTCGCTTCTTAGTCTTTACATTACATTTTATGAAATATACAATTAAATTATGTAATTCAAAAGCAAATTATAGATTAAAGGAACTAATAATGAGTGACTGATTTATTATTTCAGTTATGAATTTTGTTTATCTCCACTACATAAACATTTTTTGAGTTAATTAAGTTATATAGTTTTTGAATAAGTTTTTTCTTGACTAGTTTTTGAACTTGATAATCTATAGATCACAATTAATTCCAATTTTAGAATTAACTTTCATTTTTCCTAATTACAATAAGTATAATAAATAATATATGCGTTTCTGATTTAGAAATAAATTAATTTTTGCAATAATAAAATTAAAATTTACCCTAATAAATTAAATTGATTAGGTAATGAAGGGTTTTCTGGCATAAATAGAAAAGATTTTGACCTAAATAATCAAATTTGAATATTTGGATCTTTCATAAGAGTATTATTCAATTTTCATCTTTCAATTAAATACAGCTTGCTTAACTAAATAGTCTTCTCCTGTGATTTCTAAATCTTTTTAGAATAATGAATAAGGCAGTAATGTATGAGGCATTTTGAGATGTATTGTATTTTATTTCACTTTTATGCTGTCTACTTATCTATCTAGTCAATAAATTGGCATTGTTTATCTTTTCTTTACTTCCTCATATTTTAATCCTTTATCTTATGATTGAATTAGTTTACTATTGCAAAGAGATTGAATATTGGAATTTGTAATCTGTGAATGATGGTATAATAATATCAATATAAATCTACTAGGATAGCCATTATAATTTACCCTGTTTTTATACAAGCCTTTTTTATTAACCCTTACGGATTAAATCTTTTGAGCATATGAACTATGCAATAGAAATAATCATAGTAAAATGAAGACAAAAGTGACAAAAAGAACTAAACAAACAAAAAACATTATTAATACAATATAATTTAAGAATATTTTATATCTTAATTTAAAAATAATAATTCTAAACTTCTATTGTTTCATAAATTGATTAAACTATTGAATTTCTAAAAAGAATTCTTGTCAAAGTTTAATTTCTCTTACCGGAAATCTAGACATATTCTTTGTAAAATAATTATAATTAAAAGTCCATATCATTTTTACTCCAAAACTGATTACTGAAATTATTGCAAAATTTGCGTTTGGAACCTAATGATCAAAAATTTAATTTTTTTCGATTCAAATTATTAAAACTATTTATAACATAAACTATCTTGTCATCTATTGCATACCAATAATATTTGATATTCAAAACGTACTTTGTTGTCTCCTAATTAAGTTATTTATTGATTATACTTGTAGTTTGAACATTTTAAATTGTTACCCTAAATTCAAATTTGAAATAAGCTTCAAGATGTTCAAGAATATTTTCAAAAACCCACACTAAATTTAAATTTAGATTAATTAATTTATTTAATTAATTTAATAAATCAATTTAATTTTATGCCCTATTATTCTATTCTATAGAAGGGCAATAATTTTCTCATGGTAATTTTTTGATATCAAATTTTTTGAAAAGTTATTCTTAAATATTATAGAATTTAACTACTTTTTTTTTAAATTCAGATAATTATATTATGTGAATACAAATAAATAACCAAAATAAATATTCAATAAAAAACCTTTTGTAATATTAAAAAATATATTTGTAAAGCATCTTAATATTAATTCATTTTAAAATTAAATTTATCTTTATAAATTTTTCGATGAATTTAAAAATTATCTTGTCATCCTTATAAATCTTTTATATATATTTATAAGTAACGATTTTTTAAAAAAATTATTGATAGTCTAATTTAGTTTATTAAATAGTAAAATTAAAACAATTACTTGAGAATTAAAAATAAGAAACCTTTTTTAAATCTATTTATTTTAAAATAATTGTAGTTATATTAAATTTTCAGAAAAATCTATATTAATATAATGATTATATGTTGTTCATCAAATTCCTTTTGTAAATGTAGATCCTAAATTAATTGATATCTGTTTAATTTTTGATGTTGGGCTTGAAATTGTATGGCTTTTTGAACTTAAATAATTAAACAATTACAATTGCCTTCCAAAATCGTTTGAATGCAACAATTATTACAATTTTTCAATATTTTTTTTAGCCTTTTCCTCTTTCTATCTTTAGCAAAATAATTTTTGATTCAAGAACTTTGTGATTTTAGAGGAATGTTTTAAAGTCTTAAATATTAAGAGGAGAAATGATAAAATACTTAATCTGTATTTTTAATAATAAACTCTCAGAATATTAAAAATAAATGGATAACTCAACGCTATGCTGTCTAAAATGATAAAAATTTAAATGATTATTTAAATATTATTTTAGTCTTATTACTCACTAATATAATTAATAGCCCCTAAAAATATAGCAATTTAACACAATTAACCACTTTAGATATCTAAGTTATTAAATTTTTTAAGTATATATGGGCTATAGTTATGAGCCAATAATTAATATATTAATAAACAAAGTCCTAATAAGGTAGCTTTGAAAAATATGTCAGTTTCATAATAGATGAGAATAATAATTATGATAGTTTTCTTCCATAATTTGATTATTTCCCAAAAATAATTTTTCCTTGTGTATTCATTAAATAAATATCCTATGTGTCTTCGAAATTGTATTTTATTATGTTATTCTCTATTGATGTACAAAATGAAAAATAATGATAATGGTAGAATCAATCCAATTAATGAAGATCCAGGGATTACAAATACTTATATCCATTAAATATGATTTTATGAGCCATAAATTAAGGATACATCACCTTATATATAATTTAAATTAGATATCTTTCTGATAGCCAGAATTGAAAAAAACCTAATATGACAATAAAATTATTACTAATTAATCAAAGATGCATAATTTTAGATATATAAATACAAAATTGTAATAGATATGACTCTGCTTTAAAACTTTGATTTTATAAATTTAAAAAATAGAAAATATCCAAAAAAGATAATGAAAATTTACGCTACCATTAATCCTAACATTACTAAAATTCTACTGTAAATTAATTCAATCTCTTATATTTCAAATAAAAAACATTCAAAATAATTAGCCATAAAATATGAAGTATCATTAGACTATTTTACAAAATTTAAAGAAAAAGTGAATTATATATTAAATGTAAAGATAAGAGAAAAAACCCACAAATAATTCAGATATAATTTAAGTAAAATACTTTAATGATCTAAAAATAAATTATATTTTACCTTAATTAAGCTTAAACAAAATTTCAGTGTGTTTTTATCTCAACTTCAATTATGCAAATAGTTTATTCGATTTTTCGATACTATTTATTGTCATTAGAGTGGAAATAATTGCCCTAACATAAATTTAAATTAAATTTACCAAATTGAAATGATAAAGAAGGCTATTATCCTTTATGAAAATTATTAACACTTTTAGCAATCCATGTATTATTAGTTTTTAAAGAATTGTCCATCTCCTCTTATATTATATCTATCACATTCTTCACACAATCCTCCAATATGCCCCTTAAAACAAAGATCATTGCCTATATTCCATCCTCCTAAACAATGAATTGGATTTTTATAACATGATTCTACAAAGTCAGAAATTTAATTTGGCCTCCAAAAACCAGGCTTTAATTAAATTTTATTAGATGTTATAGAATCAAATTTATTTTTATCAAAAATAGAACATTTGGTAGTATTGTAAGTCACAGAATAAAATCCTTACTCAGATTAACATTTTTAACAACCAGAAAATATATAAAATTCCCCTAATTAACACAAGAAACTATTAATTCTCATTCTATAAGCTAAATTAACTTCCTCATTTTGAGTACTACAATAAATAATAATTTCTTAAATTTTATTATCTTATTTATATGGATCAAAATTAAACTCGATAAAACTAAGGTTAAAGTTTTTTTATTCTTAATTAAAACCTATTGTTGATATATTATTAGATTCAATAACTTATTACAATTAAATATCATAAATTTATTAATTAACATTGCAAGAAGAATTTAAGAAGTTTATTTGTTGTTCATCTCTACTATTTTTAAATAGAATTGATAATTAAGATATATAAGACTAATATTGTTAAATCTTAGAATTATAAAGTTAGTAATTATAAATTTATTAACCACTTGGAATAAGTAGAACACTTGTGGATATAATGCTATCTTAGGATATAATTTTAAAAGGCCTTAATTTTAAGATTTAATAGGTTCTATTTTCAATTATTTATTCTTGTGAATACATTTCCTTTCCATTAATTTATAAAGATAACCTCATAGGTAATTCATTAATATTATTTGTAGATAATTTAGCAGTATTAAATAAAAGTATAGACTATATAAAATTATTTTAATTTAATTTACTATTTCCACTTAAATATATCCCTCCAGCCTCTTTGGCTGAATTATAACAAATAATAGTAGATTAAATTGTAAATCTTTAAGAACCTTCTTCAAAGTAAAATCCACCTCCTTTATAAAAAGCATTATTATTAAGCACTTTTGAATTTGAAAAATTAACTTTTAAATTTTAAACTGAAATACCAACTCCTTATCTTCCATTGTTAGCAATAAAATTAGAATAATCAATTAATAATTTATTATTAATTATTTAATCTGATTTCGCAAATATACAACCATAATTTTAGATATAATTGTTCATACAATATAATTCTGAAATTAGGGCTCTTTTAAAATCACTTATTTCTAAATAAAGTAAGCCATTTTAACAATATGAACAATTGTTATTTAAAATGGAATTTTAAGTGAAATAAATTGTAATTTCATTTGTAGCACAGTTTATTTTTATCAACGAACCATTTTTATTAGAATTTTACAAAAGAGCATCAAAAAAACTCTATAAAAATTCAGCTTCAGGAATCTATTATACAAATATACTTTATAATTTACATTGAGTCAAATTCAAATTAATATGATTATAATTAAAATAAGTTAAAGTAGAATAAATTAATTTGAAATCATTAAAATTTTTTATCATATTTTTCTAAAGACAAACCTTTGATTATAAAATATTACTTTATTATATGTCAATTAAATTCAAGGGATAAAAACTCAAAATATTAATAAATTAAGAATCTTTCAATAGAATTTATTTTGAATCTGTAATTTTTATTATAGTTGATAAAACAATTCCCTCTATTTGAATTTTAATTAAAGTTAATTAACATCCTTAGAAATTCATAATTGCGTTATTGGTAATCATTCTTTACATTTCAATTAGACTAAGTTTTCCAAGAGTTTAAAGGAAAGATATTAGAGCTTACTCAGTTTAAATAATCCTAAAATTTTCTATTTTTACTATATTTAACTAAACATTTTAAAAGTCAGATTCAAAATTAATTATTTAATTGATTAAAGAAAAGCAATTTAGAGCAAATATATCATTTAATTGGACATAATTATAATTTGATGATGAATATATTGTGAATATAGATGATGAAAGTTTGTTTAAAACATCTGTTAAAGTAATATTTTTAACATATAATGATAATAAACTTTTTTTAGCATTAATTGTAATGGCTCCATCATTTTAAGATTTTGATATTAAGGAATTATATGCATGAGTGATATTACAATTAGAAATAATTACTATACCATCACCCTATAAATTTATTTTAAATACTTGGCTACTTTATGTCTATAAAAAACTAAAAACACCATTATGAAAAGTAAATTTTGTAACTGCTGATGATAAAACCCCTCCTACATTTTCAAAATTAAATGTTTTAGAAATAATATAAGATATTTCATTTTAATTATAATCTCCCTCTAATTCAATTTCATAATATTTAATCCAAAATTCTTTACCAATATAATTATGATTTTCAACTTTAAAATTTTGTACAAATATTTCATTTGAAATTAAATATATATATGAAGATGAGGAATTTGTTAAAGAATTTGAAGTGCAAATAATATTTTTTAACTTAATTAGGCTTAATCCTGAATCAGCATACAAAAGACTTGCAAAAGATTCAGATGGGTCTTTTTCATATTAATGAAAAATATTCTCTTGAAAATTTAAATTTTCTATTTCAATAGTTTATGGTTTTTCAGAATAAAATTCTAATAAAGAAAAAATAATCCCTTTATGTTATTTTATTAGAATATTTCCTTTCACTATCATATCTTTAATAATAATATATTCATTCTTAGTCATCAGAAACAAAGGATTTGATTAAATCGAAATAATTGACTAATCAATACTAAATGAATTTAATATTTAAATTTAAAATAAGGTAATGTTTTTAAATCCAGAAACTTAAAGCAATTATGAATGAGAAATACAATTTTTGAAACAATCAGATGATATTCCAACTTTATATTCCTGAAATAAATTCTCATAAATGACATTTTCAATTCTTATATAAGGAATAGCTAATAATGATATAAATCGATAATTTGTAGTACTTGTTATAAATATATTTTACATAGTTAAATTAAAACAATTAACTTCTATAAGATATTATTCTTAAGAACAGGAGATACTATTTTCATCAAAATAAAAGTTTTATAATAAAAAGTTCACTTTTGAAGATGATTGTTTTTATTCAGTAATAAATATTGAAAAGTTTTTTATAGTATTTTCATAAATCTCTAGATAATTAATTTCAATTTCTTAATTAAAAAAGATTGATGAGATCTATGATATAAATTAAAAAGAAATAAATTCGTTTTTCTCCATATAAATTTCATTACAATACAAGTTATAATTTAGTATTATTAATTTTGAATTTATCATCATATTTTGAATCATTTAAACAAAATTGATAGATATGGTAGTTTTATCAATAGAATTTATTAAGATTGAATTATGAAATATAGAGTTTGTTATTAATACTTCATTAAATATTAATTTTGAATTAACATTTTAATTAATTAAATTTGTAATTGATGAATTGTAAAATTGACAAGAATTTATGGCAAAATTTTTGATTATAATTTTTCTTCTAGTGCTTTAAAATTAAAATAATGTAGAATTAGTTAATATACAATTCTAAAGTTAAAAATTTGTAATAATGATGTCATCCCCCTGATCAGTGCAGGTAATATTAAAAAACACTGAATTTGAAATGCTTAAGTCAAAAATTTCTAAATTTTATATATAAAAGTTTAGATATTTCTCTGCTTAAATAGATATTGATGATGGTGAATCTAAAATGGAATAAAATTTAGTATCAAGAATTTTTAAATCAATTGATTAATCTCTATTCGTAAAAGTCAAAGCCAGCTATTCTTTTATTTAAAATATAAGTTGGCTCAGTATGATTTAATCAAATTATAAAATTTACAATCTATATTCTTTGTATAATAATATGGGATTTGGAGTGCCCTAAATCTTCAATCTTGTTAATTACATAGAAAAGATTTTTTGTTTAAAATTATTCTGAATTGTGTAATCAGGATTTAATATAACGCAATTTTCCTGTAGTTAAAGTATTTCAGTAAATTACTAAAGACCAATTTCATTAAAATATTAATAGTTATATTATTTTTCTATAAATATATTGATATAATTCAAGTCATTACATGATAATTTTTCCTAAATAAATATAAATTTAAATACATAAATCTATTCGAAATTATAGCTACAATCATTCTAATAACAATATTTAGCAATTTTTAATTCTGCATCTAATTCAACTTATGATTAAGGGATTTTTTATATGCATCTATTTGTGTAAATTAAATTTTCAGTTGTTATTTAAAAATATGGGTTTATTTCCTAGATAAATTATATTTTTTTACATTTATTTCATTTAATGGTCTATTTTCACAAAGTTAACATAATGAAGGACATTAAATGCATTTTCCATCAACTTGAGATCTAATAGGATCTTTATAATAATTTAATTTGCATCTAGAGCAAGTAAAATATTAATTATTAACACCTTAACAAACAGAACATACTTCATCACAATATGGTTTGCACATATTCATTATCTTTTTATAACCTTCTATGCATTAAGTGACGATTGTCCTAGGATTTTATAAAGACGGATAAACTAAAGGTTAATTTGGTAAAAATTTAGTTATGAAACCTTGAACTAACCATTTCCAAGTTTCTTAATTGTTATCTTCAAAACATTATTTTGAATCCTAAATTATACATAAAGAACAAATTCCTGTTTTTGAAGAAGATTAATAACCATCTTCACAAATTAAACATTTAATATTTGATTAAAAAGTTTTGATGCATTATTTACATTTAAGAATGTGATTATGACAATTAATGATTTCAAAAGCAATACTGAAATCATCAATTGCAGATAAAGTACAAATTTCTTCATTTTAAAAATTAATGTATGATCTTAAACAATTTTCTTAAATTGGTTTCTTTTCAATACATGTTCCTGTTTTGAATTCAAAAATATATCCTTCATTACATTAAGCACATCCTATTTTAATCTCTTCATCAATAAGTGAGTAAGTATCAAAGCCGAAAGTAGTTTTTGTAGGGTCACTAGCTAAATAATTGAAACAATATTAACAATATTTTATTTCACAATTCACACATTAATTATAAAAATTTATGAAATTAGGAGTATCACAAATTTAAATTAAGCTTCTATTAGGAAAATTGTTACTAATATCTTACTTAATACAATGCAAATTTGTTGATAAAATTTCACATTTAAGACATCTAAATCCACATTAATAACATTAATTTTGTATTGATTTATTCTAACTACAAAAATTTTTAAATTAGAATATTGATTCAATTTGATTATATGAAGGATTAATTAATTGACAATCAGGGCAGTATTCTAAATCATCTCCTAAAATTATATAGTATAATTTAGATTCTTTTATATATTTAGATGTGTTTCCATTTTTATCTGAAATTAATGTTGTTTCACAATAAAGAGTTTAAGACCAATTTTTAGGATTTTACACACATTCTAAACATGAAATAACATTAATATTAACTATAGATGGGCTCAAATAATTAAAAATTAATACCATTAATAACATTCTCCATCATATTCGAAAAAACCATATTTACAGGATTGTTTTTAAGGATGTTCATGGATTAAATTAATGCCTTTTGTTTTATAATTTACACATTCATCATTTTAATCAAAGTTTCCATATTCACAAATACAAACTTTATGCTCAGATATTAATCTTCTATTAGACTATTCAAAACATGATAGACAATCATCTTTTGTCGGACCATCACATTATTTGCAAGTTGGATGACAGCTAATTTATACTTCATTTATATTTGGACAATTTATTAATTTTAAACCTATAATTTAGATTGTTAAAAAATTGATGGATTATAAAATATTGCCATAAAGCAATTTAAATTAAACCATATTAAATTGAATTACTTCTAAGTTCATGCTCAATTTCTCTTAATTAAATCCTATATAAAATGTTATTGAAATTTAAATTTAAGTATCTAACTTTTAAACCAAAATATAATGCCATAACTAAATATCCCAATTTATATTAAATGTTTCCGTCTTTAAAAAAGGATTGTTTTAAAAATCAATATTTAAAGATGGAAAAGTATAACTATAGGTTGTTATGATTATTTGATTGTTATTAGATGATATTTTATAAAATAACTAAAAAGGACATAAATTAGCTTAAACCAATTTAGGATTTTGATAATTACTTGATAGTTTAAACAATTAAAAATAAACTTCATCTCTAATTTAATTAATTCCCTTAATTTTCACCCATCCTGAAAACAAAAACTATTAACAATTAGTATTTTGGGATATAAATTCATATTAATCTTAATTTTCTATTTTAACATCTGGTATTTTAATTATTGCACTATTTTAACAAAAACACTTTTCATTTTTATTACTTTCTATGATTTCTTAAAATGAATCAAGCTCAGTAAAAAAGCCACTCTCGATAAATTTAATTTATCCTGGAAAATATGAGAATTGATGAATAGGAAAGTTTTAACTTACTTTTAGATCCCCTCCAATAATTAAATTTTTATTTTTTTCTTTAAATTAGAACTTTAATTAAATTTCCTTATTAAAAATTTAATTCATCTCCCGATATATATACATAGAAACTAAGGTTTCTGAAGGTGCGGTGAAGAATCCCTAAAAATACCAAACATATTCATAAGATGAATGATTGATTGGTATGTATTCTGTTAAAATAATACCATCAAAACCTAAAAATTAAAAATATTTCTAAATTATTTTAGTCTCAAGATTTATACATTCGTAAAATACAAAATACAAATCCTTAGTCATCCTATCTTCTATTCTAAACAAATGAAAACAACTACTATCTAGTATTCCAATCTCTCCAATCTAAATAACAGAACTTAGTGGCAAATATCTACTCCAAACTCCAAAACCTGCACAGGGAAAATCAAAAATATAATTATTTTCTATCGGGTATATTGCAAGCGGAAAAGTTGTTGGTAACTTGTAAATGACATAGCATCTTGATAAATCAATGGCTAAAATCATTATAAATATACAAGAAGGCAACTTTATGTTTTTCATTATCTTATTTAATAACATTTCATATTAAATATCCATATGAATTTATAAAATATCATTAATTAACTTATTTCTATTATTTATATTTATCCATGAAATATTATTTTTGACATGTTTATTTTGTTAAATAATAAATATTTATTTTCATCATAATTATAAAATAAAAAGACATATTTGTTCATATTCTTTCTTATAACTTAAATGATATTAATTTCTACCTCTATAATTCAAATTCAAGAACAAATTTCGAAAACTTAAAAGAATTCAATTAAAATTTTTTCATAATTGAAAGTTTAAAGATTTGATTCAAATATTAAAAAAATCATTAATTAAATATATTATACCTGGTTTATAAAAAATTATTTTTTATAGAATCCTAATATATTTAATAGCGGTAAAAGAGTTGTTTCTGTTATTAAACAAATTCATCTACCTTACTTTAGTTTGTTATGAACTTAATCTTAATCTGATTAAAATCTGATCGATTGAGCCTTTGAAATTTTCAAATAAGCATTAAAATTTCTTCAAAAATTATTACTAAGTATTTAAAAAACCCATAGTTGAAAAATTAAAATTAGTTGATAAAATATATCTGAATTGATTTTAGTTCCACAAATCCCAGGTTTTAGAGATCTAATAGAATCATCATAAACTCTTAAAAAATTATAACTAAACTTAACTTTTTTAATGAAAACTTTTAATTGGTCATTATTTATTAAATAAAAAAATTAGTATTAGATTTTTTGCATCAAATTTTGCTCTTTTAAATTATGGGAGAAGGATTTTTGGATGGTTTAAAAAATTCTAAATTAAAAAATAGGATAGATTTACATCGTGATTCAAGGAGGATATATTAATAAATATTTCAATTAGAATTAGATTTAGGAAGAAAATAGATGGAATTATTTCTAGAAGTTCATAACAAAAAGAGTGCTGTTATAAATATTTTTCATTTTAAGCTAAAACAATTCAAAATGAAGGACAAAAATCTTTCAGATAAAAGTATTTAAATATTTTTAATCAGTTAAAGTATCATCAATACTGAAAAATAAAAATAATTGTCTTATCAATAGTGAAATCAAACTAATCTAAAGATAGTTTCTGGATTGATTTATTATTAAATTTTTAAGAGCATTATAAAAGAATATAATTGAGTAAAAGTAACCTCATTTCTCTAAACTAACTCCTTTGCTTCATATTTAAGTGATAATAATTTATTAAAATAATTTAATCTATTCATTCCAATCTATTCGATCTTCCATTACTCAAATCCATACAGCCAATCAGATTTAGATATAAAATGATCATAACATTATTAATTTGCCAGACCTACTGAGCCAAAAATTAAAAATAAAGTCTTCTAATAATATCCATTAGATTTATAGGTTTGTAATGTAAATAATTCTAATTAATGATATGCTTTATACATCAAAATCAAATCGATTATTATAATTCTATTCATAAACCACAAAAAATGATCCTCTTTTAACTTTTTTTTTCAAATAGTGCATCATCAATAAAATCAAGATTTCTCAAATAAAAATGCTCTTCTCAAGTATTTAAATTCCTTATTTATACAAACCATTTATGATAAAGGATAACAATCATAATATGATAAGGTGGTAGTTGTCAATCCTCTAGCCAATCTTGATTATTAATAATATATATATTATTCTCTTCTAGCATGATACAGAAAAAATGAAAATTATTATATATTAATATTGTATAATTTTTATAAAGTATTAACTAAGTAATTGTATATCCAAACAGGAACACTGATGTTTTGGGTATTTTATAATATCAATTCCCTTTTTATTATTTTAATGTAGATTTTTCAACCATCCATATGAATAAAATGAAAATAATAGTTTAAAAATATGCTCATTTTTTTTTTATTTCCAACATCATCTTAAGAGCCTCTTAAATAAATTTAAAATATTTGGCTCTTAACATACAAATATTTAATTATACATTAATATTTGAAGCAGTCTTTTTGAATTTTATGATTGTCAACAGTTTCATTATGTTAATTTCAAAATTGATACAAAAAACCTTCATTGGATGTATTTGTTCAGTATTAAATATTTATAACAGAAATTAGAAAGATTATTAGAATTAACGTTGCAAGTTTTTAGTATCTTTTTATAAGAGAATTGGCAGTTTTCTAAGTATCTCCTCAATCACCAACTCATTCTATATTAATGGATGAACTTATTGATACATTATAAATCTTAAATGTAAAACCTATAAAAGGTGAACTATATAATTAAAGATTTAAGGATGATATATATTTATGCTTGTATATATTATGGCTGAAGCAAAATACCTGAAAAAACTAACCCACATTTTATAAATCAACTTACTCATATTTATTGTCACCACAACCTTAGGAAAAGCTTTCTATTTAAAGAGTTTAAGAATTATACGGTGAAAATTCTATTTACGTAAAAGTCATTTAAACCAAATGATTAAGTCTTTCTAATAGCTTTATTAGGCTACACTATTCTCCAAACAGAAAATAAGAAAGAAATGAATCTATGTCTCGCTTCACATTGTTTTTTTTAAATAGAATCCTATCATTTTATTTAGCAAATTATATTTATAATAACATTTATTAACTTGTTTTGATATTATTATGATAAGACTAAGTAATAAAAAATGATCAATGTCTTTAAGGAATTACAAAAATAAATAATTTTGAATAGTGAAAGTTCTATTACTGTTAAAACCCTTTATACTATATTATGTTATTTCAACGAGGAGAAATTAAAAAAATTTTAAAATGGAATAACCATTAATGGAATATTTCCTCATAATCTATGTCCTTAGAATTGTAAATCTAATTGTAATTATTTACACAAAGATTGGGAAAAAAAAAGTATGTTTTAAATAATATTGTTAAAATCTGTCTTAATAAAAATTGTTAATTTGAACATAAAGAATGAGAGTCACTATAAGAAAAAGCAAAAGATTGTTCAATAATTGAATTTATTACTCCTGAGGAAATATTTTCTAAAGATATATATGATTGTGGAAAATGCTCACATTTATTGAATGATTATTGTAACCTTTTGATATAGGGTTTGTGTAGAAATAAAAAGTTTTTTAAAATCATAAAGATTAGGAAATATTCTTAACAAAATGAATTAAACAAATTCTTTAAAATCTTGTATAGGATTTTAAAAAAATTTATTTAGTTTTTATTGCTTAAGAAAGAAAAAAGTAAATTCAAACTACAACTGATGAAGTGTAATTATTTTGCTCATAATCAGAATTTTTTCATTATTAAAAGAGGTATGATGAATAAAATATTATAGACATTGTTTTTATTATGGATTTAACGAATCTATGAAGCAATGGAACGAACTTATGTAAAATACAATGGATAAAATAATAGATAAATTTATAAAATCAATTAATGGATATCAAGTAAGAGTAGCATTAGTAGAATATAGAGATATATCCTATAAATTAACCCTTAATTCACCAATTAAATTTCTAATTAATTATTGCAGCAATTTAATTTAAACTTCAGCTTTATTTCTATTTTTAAATTATCTTATATCTCCATCTCTCTCATATCATCATTTTTTAATTTGCCTGCTCTCTTTTATAATTTACTCTAATTGTTTACTTAGCCTTAGTTGGTAAGATCAGTTGTACATATTTAATGACTTCTTATACTCTAAATCTCTTATATGATAAAGAAATTTAAAAAGAATATAATAACTCTATCGATGAAATATTTATTAAAATTTATTGATATGATTAAATTTAAATAAAATATAATAGTTTGAAATTTGATTATTGATAATTACATTTGCTCTGAATTCTTGGTTATGAATTTTTGAACTGTCTTAAAATGATCAATTAGAGAATTCATAGAACTGATCCAATAACTTTTGGAAAATGGCCTATCATTAGCTTAATTAAGGTGAAAGTCAATATTTTCTGATGGGTTTTATTCCTAAATTAAGACACAATTATTGTAATTCTGAGATAGATTTAAATCATAAACATAAAATTAGTTGTAGAACTTACATTACCATTTTTAATTAATAGATCTTACAGAAGGATTGATTTTTTAAAATTATTTATAATCTTTAATAATGAACAAACAAAATTCACTTAAGAAATAAAATATTAGTGTCGAAATTAGTAAAAAGTTATGGCATTAGAAATTAAAAGATGAAGAATTAAACTTTATTATAGTTTTATTAACCTCCTTAATGTTAAAGCCTCCAAAATATTACAAAATTTGATATATACGAACTTTAATTAATGTATTTGGTATCAAGTTTATTCAATTCAAATTTCGGAACCTATTATTTAAAAAACTTTATGTAAATAACATGATTTAATTTTGATGGATTATACGCATGACTTTTTCTCAAATGTTAGAGAATAAATTATAAATTTTTTATTATTCTAGTTCATTCTATCTTAAAAATCTGTATAAAATGGCAGGTTCTACAATAATATTAAAATTGATAACCTAATTATTGATCTAAACAATTTATAAATTCAATGAGTAAATAAAAATAATTATAACTCAAATAATTACAATTTTCTCTTTCCTTTCTTATGTTAATTATTATTGATATCAGAATATTTATTTATGTAATTTTTTGGGAGGTTTCTTAAAAAAAGTGGTTTTAATTTTAGATCTTATAGAAAAACAAGAAATAAATTTATTATTTAAGAGCCTATAGAGAAAGAAAATTATTTATTTTTCTTAAACATTTAATTCCTCCTTCATTAATAAATTTATGTCATTATACTAATAGACTATAGAGACATAAATTTATGAAACTTTTACAATAATATCTTAATAGATGTGACAATAAGTTTATATCTGTATTATACATTATTACAATAAATATTTAATTTATTCTATTTTAAATACAAGAAAAATGTAATAGAATAAAACGATATTTATTGAAGCTTAAATTGTTTTAAATTATAAAGTAATTAGTTTGGAGCAGTAGTGTTATTTTTCGATACATAATTCATTTATACTTCCTTAATTTTGATGAGTATTGTTTTATTTAGATTAATTATTATATAAAATTAAATAAAAATCAAAAAGATTTAGTTAAAATAAAATACGCTCTATTTTTTTTTGATTTTTACTTAATTAATCTACTTGCTTAACATAATTTATTAGCTATTATTAAGTTAAAAATCGTATAAAATTATTAGATTCACTTTTAAGTTTATATTTTTCCTAAATTGTAATTATATATTTAACATTTTTAATGTATGCAATCATAATTAAACTATGCTAATTTTCAGATTTTTTACAAGCTCTTCACTTTGATTTTCTATTTAAAAACATAATATTTGCATTGATAGAAACAAAAAAGTCCTTTTTAGAGATTAGCTTTGATTGAAGAAATAATATAAATTTAAAATATAGATTAAAAAGAACAATGATGTAATTAATTTTATATTTAAAGAGATTCCAAAAAATAATATTTTTAAACATAAATAATAATAATTAAAGATTTCAATCCATACTTATGCTATATAGCATTTAAACAGTCGGATTTAAAAAAATTAACTACCATTTCTAATATAATTGGAGAAGATATTTCAGAACAAGTAAGTATTTCTATTTTTTATCGCTTCTCAATCAATAATTATTAAAATTTGACCAAAACTTATTGAGTATATAAATACATCAGTGCTATAGAATATTAAATGACTAATTATAATATTAAAATATTTACGAATCAAATTGATTAAAATCATGATTCGATGAGATTTTATAATAATCAAGTATAAAGGCTTTCTCAAAATTAATTCTTACTGATTAAGAAGTTATTAACGATTCTTAATCTTAAGGATTTTAAAATTAATAATAAACTATACATCTTGCTATCTAGCTGATCAATTGAAAAGAATGATAATAACCCTAGAACCTTTTGAATTTTCATAAAGAAAAGAAATTAATCCATTTTTAGCTGTCTTTCTTTCATAGAGCCTGAATCATCTAGCATCAAATTTTCATGAGTTTTTCTTTACATAATTGCAAAACAACTTTATCCAGACAAGAAAACTATTAAGTATTATATACTGATTGTATTTGTATCCATTTCTTGTTTCATTAAGTTTATAATTCTTTAACCTTATAATCATCTTGTATTTCTTCATAAGTGTATAGTGATGGTTTACAACCAATCAAGATTCCAATAATTCCTTAGTTATAATAAAATATTACCTCTTATTTGATGTCCATGTATACATTAATGCTTATGATTGATATTATTTCATCCCATTTCCCTTTACAAATTGGACTGGTGGCATTCTAAAAAACCAATATACTTAAATTATAGTTTATTTAAATCAGTTAATACTTTTAATTTTTCAAAATCTATTTAAATCTGATTTAAATTTGAAATTGCCTCTTTTATTTTCTTTTAGAATGCATTAATAAAGGCTAATAATATTTATTATTCTGCTTCTGACTTTTAAATAGTACTACATAAGGGAAAATCAAAAATATGAAAATTTTTGATCTAAAATGTATCTGTTTTATCCTCTTAATTTATTCTAAATATCTTTATTAAACCTATCCTTAAAGACAACATAAAACTATAAAATATAATTATCTAAGGGCTTCATCAGGGTTACTCAACCATATAAAGTAATCTTAAGCCTTAAGAGGATAAGTAACATAATCATGTAACATTAAGTTATTCATTTTTTTGTGAATTCCTTATTTAATTCTAGCAATCTTATCTTTGACATATTTGTATACCATTCCTCTAATGATACTTTAGTCTATTTATTAAATATCTACTTTAAATTGAAATATTGTTCATCAGTTTAATATTTCAATTCCTATTTTTTTATTCAGTAAATTAATATTATCCGATAAGCATTTTTCTCCAAAATCATTTAGCATATCACCAAAACTTGAAAATTATTTATTAACTTCTTTAATTTATAATTCTATCTTTGTCATTATTCTTTTTATAATACTATATTAATTAACTTTGACATTCTCATTGATTATACTAGCCTAAAAATTATATTTACTCTAATCATCTTTTTACAGGTTAAAAGCATTTAAGAAGCCATTGCGATAGTTCATCCTTTTTTAACTCACTTTATAATGAAAAAATTTATCTAAGTTTTCTAAAACTATTTCAAACCCTAAAATTGAAAAAAAACCTAAAAAATGTTTGATATCTTATTTATCTTATTTTGATTTGGGTAATTATTCAAATCATATATGATATCATTTTAGTTATCCATTGAATTAAACCTATAATTTGAAAATTTTATTTATTTGTAAAATTTATTAATTTGACACTTATTTATTAAGTTTATAATACTTGGCTTAAAATTTTAAACGATTATTAATAATCTTCTTTTAAGGGGGGTTATTTTAGTAAATGTTAATTATGAAATTATTATTTATAATTGGCAACATTCTTTGTTTTAAAATTATAATTTGAGAACCCTAATAGGATTAAAATTAAAAGTTTATCACTAAACTCTGCTTATTATTTTTCAATCAATGAACCACAAAGTTTATTTAATTGTTCTTTAATTGTTCTTTTTTTTATATTCTTTTAATTCATTTTCCTTTTCAATTTCAGTCAAAATGAATAAATCAAATTAAATTTTACCTTTTTTTTTCTATTAAAAATTTTCTTAATTCTTAATTTCTTCATATATCGCCAAATATTCTGATTTTTCAGGATTTATAATATCTTTTAGCATAATTTCATATTTTGTAAATATCTATTTCGATATTCTTTTTTCCTTTTTAATTGCTGTTAATTTTTCTTTAAAATTAATTCTTAATTGAATCAAATTAAGCATAAATTGTTTTAGTTTCAAACTATTGAATCTCATCTAATTTTTCAAAAATCAAATTATTAATTTTCTCCAAGACTTTACAAGCAATAATTTAAAAATAATCATTTTTATTAGAAAAATTGAGAATTCAATATTGTTAAAAAAAGACACTGATTATTTTTTTCCATCTAAATCACTTTCTTTTGCCTTTTTGAACTTCTGAACATATATTTTAATTAATCTCATTCCATATAAAAATAATGTCCTTAAGAAAAAGCTCTATTAATTTTAATTGCCACCTTATTATAATCAATAGCTTTCTCACTTTGATAGCTTAATTTTTTACTTAAGCTTGTAGCAATTGATTACAATTATTACAAAAATGTGGTTTGATTCTTTGCATTAATATTTTAATTAAAAAACCAAGTAATTTATTTTTCAATTTTAAAGCATTTCATTTAGAAAATATATAGATTTCTACTAATGATTTAAATTATTATTTTAAATCACCTTTAACCTTCACTACAATAATCTCACTTATTGATAATACTATTCTTTTATCTAATTCTTAATTTTCTTAATTAGGATTTTAAAACCTACAGAATCTAAAAGTATAATGAAATCAAATAAATCATTAAAAAGTGCTCTATGTTAAATTTTTTATAAATATCAAGAAATTCCTTTAGAGCTTCTTCCAAAATCTGTTGTTAAATGATATTCAAATATTTTATTAAAAATTATTGATTTACATTGAAATAAGTGGCATCTCGAAAATTTGAAATTAGTTGCTTCAAAAACTAAAAATCGATTCTCAAATAATCACCTACCAAAAATTTTAATGTTCTCCTTTAAAGATCATTTCCTTCACAATTTTTACAAGGTCAATATCAATTTGGAAATCATTGCATTTCTCAATTTATGATATTAATTCTATTCTAGCCAAAATAAATCTATATCAATAGATATTTTTCGTATAGTGTCTCAAAATTATACCAATTTTCTATTTCAAAACTATATGATTATTAGCAAATTTATAGAGTTTATATTAGATGACAATGGAGATGTTTGCATAAAAAAGCTCAAAAATATCATGATGGTGAAAAAAAGAATTTAAAAAGAATGAAGAGGGATCAAAAATTAAAGTACAATTACAGAGAGAACATTTGATGGAATATTTAAAAAAGTGGCATGGGAAACAATTAAATGGATAAAAAATTTGAAAATAATGGATGAACAAACAGATGTAATGCAACTCATATAAGATCATAGGAATTATAGAACAGGTTGCATTTCTTATAAAAAAAAGACTTAAGCAGTTCTTAAGTTATTAATTAAATATAATAAATTCTTAATATAATATTGAATTCAATAACACTTATAACTTATTATTAAACTTGTAAAATTGTCTTAATAGGAGATAAAATTAATTATTAAAATGATAGAATAATTCCATTTAGATTATTCTTTAATATTTCGTTCTTCATAATTTTTAAATCTTTATAATAAATTCTATAATTTTCCATTATTTTTATAATTTCCAAATCACATTAATGAGATTTTTTATAGTCCAAGATACATATCTTATTAATAATCATCTAGATTATCTGAAAAATATTTGATCTAAATTTTGAACGTTTTGAGTTAACTTACATAATTTCGTTTCATATTGTTTTTAAACTTTATCATCATAATATAATAAAAATTTACAGTAGAATTATTATTTGGAATATATAAATTTATATGAGTTAAGGTGATTTTAAATATTATTCTTGAATTTAATTAACTCAATAATTCAGTAACTTCAAATATTAGTTTAAAGGATGATTAAATGTTCCTTAAAA